TCATTACTTTCTTATTATGGTTAATAGTCATATAAACATTGTTATTAAAATATCACATAAGTTGCTTTCTGATAAATTTAGACGCATTATGCGAAATAAAATGTTTTGCAAACGCTCCAATCACTTATCGACATGTAAACGCACTAAACCGATTTCGCAGCGTTGACACATTGTCACCTTGAAACTTATTTAAACTGGGAACTGACATTTGTATTAATTTTGACACTGAATCAATTTGTGGCATTTCAAATCTTTATAAATCCTTTGGCCCCGCATACTGTAAATCAACAACTGTTTGTTTCAAAACAAAATTATTCATTTTACGAGTAGATAAAGGCAATTTTGGTATATAAAGATGTCCAAACAGTTAAATAGTCGGTGTAAGGAACTCGTGGCCTCGTTAATGCACTACTTTGAGCAAGAAAGGGACAACAACGGGCCTTTGTTGCCTTTAAATGCTGTTCAAGAGGTAGGTTACTAATAATTATATGTAATGTATATTAATAATAGTGAAATTTTATTTCATTTTTTGTAGCGTGTTGCTGCTGCTTTAAAAATTAGTTTAAGGACAGTTAGTCGTATTTCCGAGGGTGTGAAAAGTGATGCAAATTTGGAATCGCCCAAGAAAAAGCGGAGTTATATTAAACGTGTAACCAACACAGCGACATTGGATACAAGTGCCATTCGAGAAGTGATCTATAATATGTATCACAAAAGTAAGATCTTATTATAATAACTTATCAGAAATTTGCATTAATTTGTTAACTAAATTATAATGTCAAATTACACATGGTTTCAGAAGAACAAGTTACGATACAAACTTTATGGTCTCGATTAAGAGATAGGGCATTATTTGATGGTAGTGCCACGTTTTTAAGGCGGTTGCTTAGAGATCTTGGATTTAAGTGGCTTAAGGACAATCCGCGACGAGGGCTCATGGAACTACCAAGTATAGCTTTGAAAAGGGTGGAATTTCTAAGGCAATACAATCAAGCCAAGGTTGAGGCCTTATGCCAGTTTGTCTTCCTCGATGAAACTTGGATATTTCAAAATGGGACCATAGGTCGCTCTTGGCAAAATGGAAACCAAAAAAGCGTGAAAGCTATTAAAACAGACGGTAAAAGGTATATACTTTTACACAATTTGCACTATAAAATTTAAAACTAATATATTTTAGATACATTATATTACATGCTGGAAATGAAAATGGGTTTATTGAGGGTAGTGAAGCGATATTTTCTTCGAAAACAAAATTGAGCGATTACCATGGAGAGATGAACCAGGACAATTTTTTGAAATGGTTTCAACATCAGTTATTAGAAAAATTGGAGAGTCCATCTATGATTATACTGGATAACGCCCCTTATCACAGCATGATATTGAACAAAGTGCCCAACAATGCATGGACAAAAAAAAATATCCAAGACTGGTTGACAAATCAAAACATACCATTTTTAAACACAATGTTTAAAACAGAGCTATTGAGTATTGTTGCTCGGTACATAATGCTTCTTAATTATATATATTTTGGTCGACAGTTTATATTTCTTTTGTTTATTCCTAATCTTAAAATAACTGCTTTTTTAGAAACAAACCACCTAAAATATACGTCATTGATGAATTGGCGGAACAACATGGGCACAAAGTTCTTCGTCTGCCTCCTTACCATTGTATATTTAACCCTATTGAGTTAATTTGGGGCATAGCAAAAGGTTACTATAACAGACATATTGGTAGAGATGGTAACAGTGAAAAAGACTGTTTGGATATGTGGAATGAGGCTCTACAAACGGTTACCCCAGACATGTGGAAAAATAGTGTTCGACATACTGAGCAAGAAATTTTTAAATGGTATGAAAGAGAACGAATTTTTGATCGACCAGACATCGAACCTTTAATAATCAACTTTGAGAGTGATGAAGATTCAGATTCAGACAGCGCTGAAGAAAGAAACTCCGACTAACTTTAATGTACAGAAAAAGCTTACACCAGTAGCTTACCTAATTTTAGAATGCATTTTTCTGTATGAATTCTGTAAAATAAATACCATGCATAAAATTTGGAGGACCTCATTTGGATTTTTATTCAGTACCTTTAAGCTATCAATTAAATATGGTAGTTTCATAGTGTCATCTGATCAATAATTGTCATACTTAATGATTATGCAAGTACAGATCTATAATTTTATTATACTATTATTTTTGTTCTCATTTGAGGTTAATATTGCTTATAAACCTAGATATGTAAATAATAAATTTTATTATTTTACAAAAAGTTTGGCAACAATGTAAATTTTTCAACACACCCACCTTGATGACGTGCACGCCACTTTGTTTGGCGTTGACTATATTTGTGTTTTTCTACAAGATGTCAACTTAGAACTAACTGAACGTCATGACACATCAGCTATCATGGTTTGGCTCTCATGTGATGTAACATCTGCTTCAGAGCTGCAAGTTGCATACTATAGCTGGAAGGAAACGGCAGTGCATAGGTTCATAGTGAGGATTTGTGTGCTAATAATCTGTGTTGATGATATTTTCATTGGTTTCTTGTCTCAAATACACATACTTGAGATGTATTGAAAGCTAGAAATTAGTGGCGCATCCTTTTTTGATTCTTCTCGGAAATTTCATATGCAGAAAACCCCTGATTGGTGAAGCATATTACATCTAACAGGTCAGAAAAAAGGCTACAGACAGAAATATACTCAGTGACATTAGAAATGTTACACTCCGAAAAAATAATTTCTTCAACTTGATTTTTTGGCAATGAGGTAGTCTTACATCAAGAATGAAACAATAACATTCTCACGAAATTTTATTGACAAGTAATAAGATAATAATTAATAATGTAATTTGTTATGCTTAACTCTAGTAAATGAAAGGGCAATAACTAAAAATATCTTTATTACTCAGCTCTCAGAAAGTGCTTTCTTAACAAAAACTAGGAGATAACATTTCAACAAAGGTAAACAAAAATAAAACGTTGACATTGTTGCCACATCATGATTTAAATTAAATAATATAGTCAACAATTTGAAGAAATTATGTTTTTTTGGGTGTAACACTTCTAATGTCACTGAGTATATTTATGAAACATGTAAAGGTTATTTCATTTTACATTAATTTTTATTTCTAATCATTTATTTTGCGATGTCAAGTAAAAAATACAAATCAGTGCCTAGATGTAAGACACTGCGAAAATGTTTTATGTGTGATGCGTCATTCCTAATTTTTCTGTGATGTGGCTTTGAAGGTAACCCCGATAGCACGAAATATTCACTATATATTTAATGAATATTTAATAATATTTTTAATATAATATGTAAATATTTGTAATATAATATTTTTATTAAATATTTATTCAATATCCTTTAAATATTTTAAATACAATATTTCTTTTATAATGTTCATTAAATATTTAGTTTTTAATCAATGGAAAATATTAAACTCCAATATTTGAAAATATTTTCGGCTATTTTACCTGTGACTTTCACTATGATAGTGTGGTTCATTATTTCAGTGTTTGTTTGTGGAAAAGGGTAAGTTTTTCGATAATTGCAAAGCATAATTTAACTGACAAGTAAACATTAGTGTGCCAGCTGAGTACTAAGGTATTCACAAGACCATAAATAAGTAGCCTTGAAATGTAACAGTTATTTGGTATTGATGGATTTATCTGAGAATGGATACGAAAATTATGTTCATAACATCCCAATGAAAAGACATATAATCGCAACTTGATCGAGATACATCAAAAATGCTTTTTTTAAATATCTCAATTATTATTATTTTTGTCGTAGTACGAAAATACTATACTTTTGTCCCTTTAATTACAATATAAAATCACAAAATAGTTATGGCTAAGTTAGCTCCCTTACTGAAAAACTCAAATTTCAACAAAATCAATAAGTGCTCTATTTTCAAAAACGTTTTCTTTAAAAGTTAGTCAAAGGAGCAAGTTGTGCCTAAGGACATTTTTCATCAAGATATCTAAAATAACATACCAACTTTTCTTAAAAATTAACCAAATCTCGAACTATCATAGACAGAAAATGTGGGGTCCTTTTAGGTGCATTATAGAGCTGCTTTTCAGTGACCCAGTTGAGCTACTCGGAGTAACTCACCATGCTCAGCACCAATATTGTTCCACTGCATTTTATATTCCCATAAATACACTGGAAAGCAGCTTATGTATTCAATAATACTTCATGATTAGTTTGTTTTTTTTTTCAGAAGAGTGGACTTGCAAGATGCAGAAGAGGCTTAGAATGTTTTTTTAATAATATTTTTCTAGCAAATTAAACGATTATATCTAGAATGAATTTTCTTCATAAACTCAATTTTATATAAGCATTCCTACAGAATAACCAATGAAAAATTTTCTATATACACTAAAAATATGTATCAGATTAATGCTTGAAAATCCATACATATTTACGAAAAATGTTAGATATTTCATCAAAATATAAAATTGATACTTAAAAATCTTTTAAAAATATATTAATTATATATACTACAAATGCCTATAATGAATATTTTATAAATATATAAAAAATATATTTATTAAATATTAAAAAATCTGTCGCTACAAATATTTAACAAACATTTTTTTAAAATATTTAATAGATATTTAATGCTATCGGAGAAGTGGACATTTATTTTTTTAAATAAAGGATTATATATAACTTTGAACATAACCCCTCTTCAGAAAGGACAACAGAAAAATAGACGGTCTTGCACAGCTAATACATATACTTTATGCTGAGCATATTCAGTAATAATTATATTAAAAAAAGCATGCTGGAGAACTGACTTGTAGCATGGTCATTCCTCCATAAATAACGCCCACAACGCTCATAGCGAGCAAATGCGGAAGGAACTACATGCACACTATGAACTACATATCTAGTCGGCAGGTTGACATCTTGTTGTTTATTTTATATGATATAGGTTTTTACGTAATAACACTGCTGGTATAATGTACTTTGTGCATACCTTTTATGCGATCAAGTTTCGACTGCAAATATTCCACAAACATCACAACAAGCAAATAGTCATTCACATTGTTCCCATCGGCTAAGACTTCGTCAACAATTTTTCCCAACTCCGCTTGTGGGCTAAGAGTAGGCTCTTCGCCTGGGAAGAACCTTGGGGTTTGAACCTTTTTGACTGCCTTTTCTGTCACAGTCGTGGCTTCTTCGTCTGTCGTTGCGTTGTCTTTGTTTTTGCTCTTTTTACCTTTCAGCAAATAGAATAACAAAACATTAAATATTCTGTAAGCATCCCTCACAATTATTGTCGTCGACCCTTGAGGGCTACGCGCCGATTGAAGATTGGTCAATCCTTGAACTTTACCTAATACTATATTCGCGCGTCCGAAAAATTATGAGATAAAATTTATATGAATCGCTAGTTATTTCAAATTTCACTTACTGTTTACCTGCCATTTATACAGGGTGTCCGCAATGTTGGGGTTTTCCTTTACACGACGTGTAGATCTTGAAAACATAAGCAATTTTTCTTAGTACCATATACACCAATGTCTTAAGGGAACCGAGATAAAGGGCTTTGCAACATCAAAAATATCTGAATACCGTCCTGTAGCCGCGACATCCCCAACTGGTACTAGGACACTAGCTGATCCCGGCGACAGAACTGGGTCGGGGTCAGTGTGTCAGGTCAGTATGCAACCTTCAACCGACGGTTACGGTCACGCGTGTAGAGGTAAACGAACTCGTATAATCGATTGCGTTTCAAAAAACAACAAGCACTAGAGACGTGGCTAGAGAAGTGCAAGTATCAAAAACTAAAGTGTGGCAAACGCTGCCTGAAGAGGGGCTGTATCCATTTCACGTCCAACGTGTACAAGCCCTTCAACCTGACGATTTTCCAGCAAGAGTGCGGTTTTGTGAGTGGCTGTTGCATCAACATGACAATAATCCGGACTTTTTGAAGTGCATATTGGTGACAGACGAATCTACGTTCACGCGTAATGGGATGAATAACTTTTGCAACACTCATGTTTGGTCAGTAGAAAATCCGCACGCTGTCCGTCGGGCACATTATCAACAAACATTTTCGGTGAATGTTTGGGCTGGCATGGTGAACGGTATGCTCATTGGACCATTTATTCTCCCAAATCGATTGGGCGGGATGCAATATCTAGACTTTTTTGCCTTCCTTGTTTGCCTGCGTCTGCTCGGTAGCGCATCAGCTGATTTCATTTTCTGTTGGAGCGGTATGATTTCGGGCAGAGACGTACTTAGCCCTTCTCGTCAACTGGAGAGTGAGTACTTTTTCCTTTATTTTTTTTTACTTGGTCGCCCTCGTTTCACTACACATTACCTTTGTTATTTCAAGGGTAGTTGTTTCCGAAAAGGAAAACCCCAACTTTGCGGATTTACAACATACCTTGAACGTCTCCAAAAAAAAATCAAAATTCTTAGTGCAGATTGATCAACGACTTAAGGAATACATTACTCAAAAAAATTAAGGGAGCAAGAAAAAATCCAAAATCTTCAATGGTTTTTAAGGTTGCATGTCGGTGAAAAATGGTCGTATCTAAACTTTAAAAAGAGCATTTTGGAGCTTTGAGATTCTAGTTTTCAGATTTTTGGCCGAAAAATTCGGTCGGACGGAACTTTAAAGATTTCCTAGATCCACCCCTGGAATTTTCCATAAATAAAAGAATAAAATTCTTACAATTGCTATTTTCAAAATTGAAGTGGTTACCGATATCCAGTAGTGACAAGAAATTGATTTTTGATGTTTCTATACATTTGGGTATCATCGACGTAGTTCATTATTTTACAATTTTGAACTTTGGTTAAATTTGAGGTATACAGGGTGTCCCAGAAATAATACGCCAGAGTGACACGGGAGGTAGATTGGCTGCAGATCAATCAGATAAAATCAAAATGACTTTAGTAGAATTTTTCTCGTTTTCGAGATATTGTCACTTTTAAGCTTTTTAAAAAATCCGCACTTTTTGCTCTTTTTTGCCTGTTATGGCTATAAAGAACTTCTAGCTTATGTTTTTTCCTGGGCTACCATTAACAGGTAGTTTTAAGACAACCGAGTATTCATTTAATTGAAAACTAGCACGGTATGCTAAAAAAAAAATATTGCATATTGTTTCAATGTGAAAATCTTTACTAAAGTTTGACTAATTACTGTTAAAAAAAAGTGTACCAAACTGAATCGGCAAATGATCTTAAAAACCTAAATTTACCTAGATTTTTTGCAACATTATCTAATCATTTTTTTGGAAGATGTGACTCTTGAGACAAGCAGAAGGATGTGGTTATAGAGTGATGGGAGCCCTGCACAATATTCTAGTGCAGTAAGGGGGTATGAAACATTCCCTTGAAGATGGATTGGCTTGCTAAGATCAATTTTGTGGCCCACACGCTCCTCAAACCTGAACCCTCTGGATTTTTTTTACTGGGGAGGTTTGAAAGATGATATGGAAAACCAGTTCGATCAGCCGATGAACTGCGTCATCGAATCCGTCAAGCAGCAAGCAAAATATCCGATTTGAGTTTGAGCCGTTTGAAAGAACAATTTTCAAGAATATGCAAGTTGTGTATAAGAGTCGGTGATAGACCTATGTCGTGAAAATAATAATAATATTGATAATAATAATTTACTTCAGGCAATATTTACATTACAAGATGTTAATTTAATTTTTATTTAGTTAATTTAAGATGTTAATAATGATTCCTAATTCTTTATTTGATATGAATGTTGTAAAAATCTATCGAAATGAAAAATTCAACCTAATGTTCTGTTCATTATTTTTGATGAATAAAAAGAAGGATAATGGATAGCTGTTTTAAATATTTGCTAAAATTAATAGCTTTACAGCAACTACCACGTTGTAATTTGGATACAAAATACAGCTGCAGTTATTTTGTATTTCTTATTTGTAGGATTTCGCAAGCATTACGTCTTCAATGATAAAAGTTGAAATTATTCAGTCTTTAGTAAAAAGAACCTACAAATGTTTATTATACTACTTTTGAAAGAGCATTAAATCGCTTGTTTTTAAGTTCATTTGCTGATTCAGACTGGTACATTTTTTTTCACGGTAATTAGTTAAACTTTGGTAAATGTTTTCGCATTGAAACCAAATGTGCTAGTGTTCAATGAAATGAATCCTCGGTTGTGTCAACCAACTATTAATTGTAGCCCCGGAAAAAATCGTAAGTTGGAAGATCTTTATAGCCACAACAGGCAAAAAACCTCCTGTTTTACCTCTGGGACACCCTGTATAATGTGAATAGTAGTGGCCCTAAAACAGAGCAGCGTGGAACGCCAGATTTCGTAAGCCCAAAAGAGATGAAATTTTGTCGCCTAATGGAAGGTGAAAACAATCCCCAAACGACGCTCAATCCTCAGGAAACGTCTGTAAATGTGACCTTGATTTTGACCTTCAAAGTATTAGAACCACACCTTTGACATATTTTTTGCTCTTCCTTCCTTTCCTTTCCTTCACCCTTTCTTTCTTCTTCTTATCCGCTTGATCATCCTCTGGCTCATCTGGTCCATCATCTCCAGTTCTGATTTCTGCCTTGTACGCGTTCAGACAATAGTCGATTACATCTTTTACTTCGATCACAATTATCTGTGATTGAAAGAAAACAAATCAATACTTGCTTGGTTTAAAAGTTAGTCGAACTAATGAAGATAGGCAAACTTTTATTTTTAATTTTTTTAAAAACTGCATAAACATACTTAATGACAATAAGAATAGAACACCCATTAAAGCAAGAACAAAGGAAGTGGAGGTTTTGACATTGCACATTAAATTTGTACTTTTCTGCGAAAACATAAAAGTACGTAGAGGTTCCATACAATTCTAGTGTTCCAGATGGCTGCCGAAAATGGTGAAGGTTTTTGTAGATGACATGCAGCTGTTTAAAATGAATAACAGTAATCGTTTTAATAAATCATTGCAACACCAAAAAAGGTTATAATGTTAAAATCATTTTTAAACTTAGGTCCAAAATTATTGGCAACATATTAGAAAAAAACGAAGACCATTATTAAATATAGATTTATAAGAGTGGCTATTAGCTACTGATATAAGGTTGATGTAATGTATGAAAACTGTAACATATAAATATCTTTTCTGCATTACTAACCTATGTTCAAAATTAATGCATTACATTTATATTATATAGATTTTTTCTAGTCATTATCAATAAATTTATTGCAACTACTGAGTTATATGTTAATATTTTAGAATGATATCCACACGCAAGGATATTTTCCTTTTGTGTCATATCGATTTATGCACAATTTATAATTCATGTGGATAAATATTATTATTATATAAGATTTCATTCTAATAAGGTAATTTTTACTGGGAGTTGTACTTCCATTGGAGTGCCTTCTTAAAAATACGATAGTCCCATTGATTGAAGTTAACATTTTCCAGACCTCTCTATGCTGCAGCATTTTTTGCAACAATGGCAAAAAAGAAGTGTCACTGAGTCCGTTGACGCATGCACTGACTCTCAACTTGTCAAAGTTTGGTGGGGCGGGAAAAGCTGCGATTGGATATTTCATCTCGAGTAAGCTGAAAACTATCCGGCCAACAACACGCTCTCCGTTTTCCATGTAGTACAAAGTTTCTTCATCTGTTTCGATGTTTTCAAGAAGCCAAGGCCATTCGAAGTTTTGGTAGCTTTGGAAGTCTTTTTTGTCTATCTGGTCTTGCCTAGAAACAGTCTTTTACTTGAAACTAGCTTTCTGCCTGTATACAGCGTGTCTCAGTTTAATTTCCCACCCAAATATTTCGAAAAGTGCGCATTCTAGAAAAAAGCATCCAACAAAAGTTGGGTTTTGACAATAACCTTCAAGGCCATTCCAAGGCCGAGTAAATATTTTTAAATAGAATCCCCCTTTTTTATATCTGAATTGAGAAGAAGAAACCTTACGTCCGAATATCACCTTGGCCATGAGCTTGACCATGGCCTTCAAGATCATTTCAAGGTCAAATTAAGAGATTGAAAACAATTAGCCCCAGCAAAAATGTTCGATAGTAAATGCATGTGAACTCACCTATCTATTTCCTTATGGATAATTTCCTCAGTTTCTTCATCTTCTCCTTTTGGTCTGATAATATCCTCAACGGGCCTGAATTTCGCCTCGATCGATTCTCCAGTGATGAATGCCTTTTTCCACTCATCCTTGAGTCTTTCTGAAGGTTCTTCTCCATAAAAATTCCTGCGAGAAAATGTCTCTCAATATAAAAGATTATTTCAACTTTTCTTCAAATACTTCGATCTCGAATATGCAGTTACGAGTACGTCTTGGACTTAATGTGGTATTTATGTTCCAAAAGATTGAAATTTCAAATAACTTACACAATCCATTAATAGTAATAATGGAAAAAGACCGAAAAACTATTATGCACTTAATGGGGTTAGTGGTATACAGGGTGTCCCAGAAGTCGACGTCAAGCCGAAACCGGGTGATAGGCAAAGTCATAACAGCTATCAGAAAAATATTTAAAAAAAATTTATGTAAGTGTTTTGAAAATTATAGGTCTTTGAAAAAGATATAGAAATTTCACACCCTACGGCAGTCTGTCAACTCCTGTTACTACAAATATTAACTTTTTTTGGATTTTATTTTTACAATGTAATGATGAATAATGCATCTTCAAACTGGTGTCTCAACCTTACTGCCAACTTTTCTGGTTCAGGAAAAATTGCCACTTATTTCCCAACCAAGTATTCCAAAGTAAAACTTTGCTCAACTTTAACTGGCTGTACTGGAAAAAAATGTACTACGAGAGTTTGGCAAGTAACCTTAAAAGTTGGCGCATTTAATAACGATTCCAAAATGGCATAACACTTAGAAGATTACTCGTTAACTTATGCACAATTTTTATTTGAAAAAAAACTGATGAAAATTTTTCAAAATTTCCTAATTAAACAGCGATTATGAAAACGCACAAGGATAACTGTTGCACAACAGTGGGCGTCAAAATGCTGCTGATGATGATTTACCTTTACAGCAAATGCTCAAACTGTTTTCCTTCAGCCGCAATACACGCTCGACATCTTAAAAAAGATCGGATTATTAAACGAGCGAATCCACGGTTATTAACAAACTCAGCTGCTTCCAATAGTCTTTGCCGTAGCTCAGCTACATTTTGAATCGGCTTGAAATACACTTTTTCTTTTACAGTTCCCCAGTAAAAAAAATCTAACGGATTCAAATCTGGTGACCGGGCTGGCCACGGTATTGTACCAGACCGCCCTATCCATCTGCCTGGAAAGTTTTGATCGAGATACTCTCTCACTGAGAGTGCATAGTGCGCTGGGCAGCCATCATGCTGAAACCACATATCCCTGTAACGTCCTCCAATAAATTTTCTAAATGATTTTGTCGACTTCTGGGACACCCTGTATATAACTTAGTAAAAGAATCAGATCAGTCATATTTTTCATTGCTTATTATTGAAAAATGCACTTAAATATTGACTTAACATGACACATGTTTCAATTTTGCATGTTAGTCCTAAGAGGAAACCCGCGTTACATCTAAACCGTGAATACACCGTCATGAAGAAATACATAGACTCATCCGTTCAATTTCCTTCAGTAATCAGCAACCGTTGTTCATGGAGCCGAAATGCGAGAAATAGTACATCGACAATATAACAAACAACAGTGCCACCTGAAGATGGCAAATCAAAACATATCGGAACTATGGACAATACAGACGCAGTTTTACTACGAGGGATGTCTTTTAAGTTTTGCATATGGAAATAAAACAACACGGTAGGTAGTTTTAAATGACTTTATTGTCTTTCGAAGTATTCTCCACGAAGGTTAATACACATCTGCATGCGCTCGACCCAATTTTCGAAGCACTTATTCCACTAGTTTGCTGGCAGATCCAAAACGGCGTTTTTGAATGCGTCAACTGCTTCTTCTGGTACTGGAACCTTTCCCCACGCAGTCTGTTTTTAATTTTCGGGAAAGTAAAGAAATCGTTAGGACTTAGATCGGGACTATATGGAGGATGGTCCAATAATTCCATGTTTTCTTCCGTTAAATAGTCCCTTGTTTTTTGGGCTGTGTGCGAGCTTGCATTGTCTTGGTGGAGGATAATTCTTCTTTCGGGGTTGATTATTCGAAGCTCGGTGATGACTTTTGGCAAGCAAATGGTGGTATACCAATCCACAGTAATAGTTCTTTGCTCATTAAGAGGAATTGTTGCAATATGACCCGCTTTTGACACAAATGTGGCGACCACCTTTTTCGAAACACTTCGAGAACGGATGACTTTTGTTGGCTTTTCTTCACCTTGGAACACCCAAACAGCCGACTGTCGTTTATTTTCTGGTTCATAACATTAAATCCACGATTCATCACCACTAACACTGCTGTACACATTTTTTGAGTTTCCGGAATTGAAACAGTCAAGCGTTTTTTGACACCAATTAACCCTGGCTGCTTTCTGCTCTTCAGTCAACAGGTTGGGTATCTAACGAGAAGCTAATTTTCTTGTTGCAGTAAATTATGGCGCGAAAATGGTCTCGGTTGAGTTCCATTTTTCTAATGACTTGGTGACACTTAAATATTCACTGTAGTGAGAACACTGCACGTATCGTTGTGGAACTTTGAATTTAAGTTTACTAAAGAGTGAGGTTAAGATTCAGTACTGACGTTCGATCCGCGCGGCCTATTATGTTTCTGTATGCAAAACTTAAAAGACATCCCCCGTACCTAGCTCAAGATTATATAACAATCAATGGGTGTGTTACAACTTGCAACAACAGTTGTGGGTGGGTTTTAGCTTTCTCGAACATGGGAATCAACCGTTATATTTTTTGGTCCTTACTTGAAGTCGCCTTGTGCCATCGATAAAGTCAATATGTCAGTGACAACATCCGAGCACAGCCTTTTGGTCCTTTCTTCTTTAAGTCTAACCTTTTCGTCAAATAGTTTGCGGTGAAGATTGACTGTTCTTTCTCTGTCTATATAGTACAGAATTTCTTTTTCATTTAGGTCTTTGTTCTGGTCTAGGAGCCTGTCTACGAAGACTTTTTCCCTTTCTTTGGCCAAGGCGTCATTGGTTACTTCCTTGATAATTTAAGAATTAATAGATATTATACTAAGTGACATATAAATCCGAACACCCAGTTTAAATGGTTTTATTTTAATAAAAGTTGGTGAATGTATTTATCTTACTGTAAATAACAAGTGAAAAAATTTTCAGCCTTATCAGTTGGACATTCCGGTTTTTATACTGCTTTTTTTTAATTCACTAACGCTCTAAAAATGAATATTTCAGCCGCAGTAAAGAATCATCGTTGGCGGATTTTGGTTCTTGACATCCTTTACGATCGGTTACGATGCCTAGAGTACGGAGACCTGTACGATTTGGTCAACTTAGTGAGTTTGATAGGGGCCGTATAGTGGGACTTCGGGAAGCTGGACTTTCTTTTCGGGCAATTGCAGTTAGAGTGCAAAGAAGTGTAGACACTGTGGTTAGGTGTTGTCAGGCATGGCTTCGAGAAGGCCGTACGTAAAGAGCAAGGGGCACTGGACGCCGCCGTAGAACAACAGACCGTGAAGATCGCCGCCTAAGATTATTGGGCTTAAGGGACCGTTTCTCCACTACCAGGTCCATTGCAAATGAATGGTTTGCAGAACACGGAAGACCTATTGGCATGCGAAGTGTTTACCGACTAATGAGAAGTTTTGGCTTGTTTTCATACCGGCCACACTGGGTCCTCCCTTTAACTCGAGAACACCGACGTAATCGCCTTGAGTGGTGCAGACAACGGTCACTCTGGGATCAGGAATGGAACAGTATTGTCTTTAGTGACGAGTCTCGATTTTGTTTAGGCATGCACGATGGTCGTGCCAGGGTTAGAAGGCGACGTGGTGAAAGGAGGAATCCACAGTTTTTTGTTGAAAGACATGTTCATCACACTGTTGGAGTTATGGTCTGTTGTGCTATAGCTTATAGTTCCAGGTCACCTTTAATCTTCATCAGAGGTAACATGAACGCGCAGCGTTATATCCACGAAGTTCTAGAACCCCATCTTTTACCCTATCTTGACACCCTGGCAGATCCAACTTTCCAACAAGATAATGCCCGACCACATGTTGCAAGAGTCACAATAGACTTCTTTCAACATAATGATGTCACATTGTTACCATGGCCACCAAGATCTCCCGACTTATCCCCAATTGAGCACGTGTGGGATATGATGGGTAGGAGATTGCTCAATTTGCAACGTCCTCCTCAGACTCTAGAAGCACTTCGAGAGGAGTTGGTGGTTGCCTGGAATGAGATACCACAGGCGGACATTGACCACCTGACCAGAAGCATGCCTAGGCGCGTTGGAGAATGCGTAGCACATCAGGGTGCATCCACACATTATTAAAGGTCAAAGGGCTTTAAAGCAGTGCAATCATTTTGAAATTTTTATCATTTACTTATTATGCTTCATTAAGTACTTATACAAAATTTTATTAAAATAAAACCATTTAAACTGGGTGTTCGGATTTATATGTCACTTAGTATATTTAAAAGATTATATACTCAGTGATATTAGAAGTGTTACCCCAGAAGGAAAATTTCTTCAACTTGATTTGGCAATGATATAGTCTTAAATCAAGAATGAAACGATAGCATTCTCACGAAATTTTATTAACAAGTAATAAGAAAACAATAATGTGTTGGGCGACCCCGCAGCGGAATACACTCCTGTATACGTCTAGGCATCGACAAAATGAGTTGATCGATGTCTGGTTGTGGCACCTCATTACAAGCAACTCGAACTTCGGGAATTAGCTGGGGCAGATTCTGTGGGCGATCGTGCAAAGTGAATAGTCTCCTCCACGTGATATCCCACACATGTTCGATGGGATTCAAATCAACTTAACGCGCAGCAGTCACATTGCCTTTAACAAAGAGAAGCGTTGATCGGCTACCATAGGCCCCCAAACCATTCCTCCGACAGTCCTGTGTACATGCCTCTCAAAAGCAAATCCAATATCACAACGTTCTCCAGAGCGGCGTCTTAACCTTCTACGACCATGGTGCGTACCTATGCAGAATCGCCATTCTTCGCTGAAGATGACATCATGACATTCTGCCTCCCAATGTTGAAGTTCTATGCTCCAGTTCAAACGTCGACGACAGTGGTCCGCAGTCAGAGGAAGCATTAACCGTGGACGGTATGAAAAGAGTCCAAAGGCTCGAATGCGACGATAGAGTGTACGCATAGTAGCAGGTCTACTTTCTTGTCCAAACCATTGGTCAGCGATCTGACGCGTAGTAGCAAAACGGTTTCGTAGGGCTATAGTTGTCTGAAGCGCCAGTTGGCCATCTTCGTCTTCCTCTACCTTCTTCCATCCACACACGACACACACGCATTACCATCATTGCAGTACAATTAACACGGCGGTCAATTTCGCGATAGGTCAAACCAACATCTCGATAGGTAATAATTCTACCGCTGTCAAAATCGCTAAAATGGTGATAATTTGGACGTCTTCGAACTCTAGACATGTTATGCTTAACACTAGTAAATGAAAGGTAATAACTATAAATACAGGATGGCCCATAAGTCCTTTGAGCTGGAAAAAAAGGAATAAAACCAAACTAGTTACATTATGAAGAATTATTATATTTTGTTATCATCTTTATTGAATGGGAATTATGTTTTAAAAATCACATCGTCTAAATGCAATCCATTACGATCACGGCACTCATATAAACGACGTCTAAAATTGTCGGTGACTGCGCGGCAAGTCAACACTGTAATGCTTGCCATTTCGCTTTGGATATTTTCTTTCAGGACATCAACTGATCGCGGAGTGGTGTCGTACACTTTACTCTTGAGGTAGCCCCATAAAAAGAAGTCCATTGGGGTCAAATCTGGACTACGTGGTGGCCAGGAAATGTCTCCTCTTCGAGAAATTACTTTGCTGGGAAAAAGTTAACAGACGACGGGCATAGAAGTGTTGGAGGTGTGGGCAGTTGCTCCGTCCTGTTGAACCCAGGTCTGCGTATTATAGCCTGGAAAATTCTGCAACGCTGGTGTCAAAAACTCTTCTATCATACCGCTCCGAAGTAACAGTTAATGCGCGACCTCTGTCGTCCTCAAAAAAATAAGGGCCTACGATGCCATGCGCTGACATAGCAGCCCAAACTGTAACTTTAGGGCTGTGTAAGGGCTTCTGATGCTTACGCCTTGGATTTTCGGGGCTCCAATAACGGCAATTTTGTTTATTTACATGCCCGTTTAAATGGAAGTGAGCCTCGTCCGAGAACAACACATTATTGAGCGAAGAAAATCGATTCAACATTTCATTCGCAAAGTTTAGTCTCTGAATAGCGTCATTATCTTTTAATTCCTGCACTAACTGAATTTTGTAAGCGTGCAGACGTAAATCTTTCCTTAAAATCCGCTGTAAAGATGTTCTGGGTACGTTTAGTGCACTGGAACGCTTACGAGTAGACTGGGTAGGATTTTGACGAACAGACTGTGCCACAATGTTGATGTTTTCTTCAATACGAGTTGTCCTTGGTCGACCCCACCGCTGTTTATCTAACGTCGAACCAGTCTCTTCGAACTTAGCAACCCAGTTCTTAATCGTTTGAGCTGTTGGACACTTTGTAAAATTGTGTAAATTGTGGTATTCTCGATATTTACGCCGCGCAATGGTTGCCGAATCATTATTTTGATAAAACGCGCGCACACAAAAAGCACGATCCGCTCCAGTGAAACACTCCACGGCGACTGAATTCCCAGACACTGAAGATACTGCCCCCACCTCGCCCGCGCCGCTCACGCTCACCCGTTAAATTTTATTCAAATTTGAAATTTCAAAGGACTTATGGACCACCCTGTATATGTACTACTCAGCTTTCAGAAACTGCTTTCTTCACAAAATAGCATTTTAAAAAAGGTAAACAAAAACGAAGATAAAACGTTGACATTGTTGTCACAGCATGCTTTGAATATAGTCATTATGTGGCCAAAAAGTTGAAGAAATTATTTTTTCTAATGTCACTGCGTATAGAATTGTAAACGAAGTTAAAAATCTCACTATTTGAATTCTGTGGATGGCACGTAAACAAAGTAAACCTAACCTCAACGCTGCAAGAGGAAAGAAATCTCACTCATCTGATGAATTTGATCTGAATTTTGGTGATCAGAACGTGTAATAAACCGAGCACCCTGAACAGAGATAGTGTGAAGATCGAATGCAGCTATAATTATGGAATAACAACTTCAATTAAGCATATTTTTAATGATATCTTTGATTATTAATGTTTTATAAATAGAAACAACAATACTTTTAAAACTTGTTGAAAAAAATATTTTTTAAGCAAAATACATACTTATTTGTTTTCTTCTAATTTTTTTAAACAGCAATAATCAAGCTGAACTAGAGGAACATAGAACTTCAAAAGTGAAAGCTTCACAATCGTCTCTATTTCAAGCCTATTTTGTTGAGGTACATAGACAATAATTCTGAATATTTGCATTCGCCTAAAAATTGACATGCTACTATTCAGCGAGGTTTTTTTGATATTTGTTCCTTCTACCTTAGGCTTAAAAAAAATCATCCGTAGCCGCCAGAAATGCCAAAATTACCGATTGCCTTTTTCTATAGTTAATTAAAAATAGTTCGCTCAGCCTATAACCGACATTCTTTACCGTACGAGGTCTGGAAATTAAGTGATGAGACTGGCAACGTGGCGTTCGATCTGGAAACACTGGAGGCGCCGGGCGTAAAGGGGTTACAGATGAACATGTGATTGTGATGTGATCCTCCTTTAGTACAAGTACAAATTTGAACTCGCTCGAGTCATTTGCTTGTCCGTAGCGATTTTTTTGTGAAACAGTTTTTTCTTAAAATGAGTGACATCAACGATGTGCTTTCAGGTTTTGCTTCAGACCTGGGTACAGTTCAACAGAGCCTCTTGCTAAACAGGCCTACGGAGGTACTGTCTTGTCAAGAGCCCAGATTTTTCGACGTCTTAGGCCCGTATCGTCAATTGTCCCTACAATTGTAGGGCGCCTTTATGGCCTCCTTGATTGTCATAGTTTTCTACTTCTCCGTGTCAGAACTCTATTTTGAGGTTATGTCACAAACATCTATTTGCATCAAATTGTGCTTGCTTTTGAGTTATATCATGTTTTATCAGCCTGAAATTTCCTACAATTTAAAAAGAAAACATATCTTCACAATAGGAGAGCGCTGACGCTGACACGGGACAAGTGTAATCTAGAAATTTTTGATGGAGAGAAAGAAGTATGACAAGTAGTCCATAAACGCGCCCTGCAATTGTAGGGACGACTGACGATACGGGCTTTAGGGCATTTTCAGAAGCGAGATATTCGATTGGAGATAAACCGCGAAGCGGAAGGCCTTTATCGTAAATAACTGATGAAAATATTGACAGAATCTTGTGCGTTCAGATCGTCGGTTGACAGCCAGAATGATCGGGAAACGGGTCGAAAACATTCAAACGGCTGTAACCGATCAGCTGAAGGGTATTCCAGTATCGAAGCTCCAGCACTGCTTTGAGTAGTGAAAGAACCGTCTTCATTTTGTGGGTGAGAATGTAAAATTATAACTATATTTGAATATTTTTTTTAAATCAGTCTGATCACTTAATTTACAGAACTCGTATTTTATCTTACAAAAATACTTTTCATTCGCCTATGAGATTAATAAAGGTCGAGCTTAATTTTTAATTAATGATTTTTCAAAAAACGCACTGTTCAAGATGAGGGTTCAATATGCCTATGACTACCTTGTTCTCTATCATAACATCTTTCTGCTGTCTAACATCAACCATTTTCCTGACCATTTGTTTCTCATAAAAAGACTGCTTCATCACTTTATCGGTGAGATCGTTATTGAAGCTTTCACTATCTGAGGCTTTTACTTCTTCCCAAAAGGCGCTCAAAATATCGTGATGCATTTGCTTTTTGATCCCCTCGTTTGAAATCTTCTTTTCCCTTTGAGCTTGTAGCTTCCTCAAGATATCGCTTGCTTTCGTCATGTCTGGGACGAAGAAGCCAGCTTGCTTCGCTTTCTTCGTTTCTTCCATCAAGTCACCTAGGAAAATAATTTTGGAAGCCAAAGTGTAGTAGACGTAAAATCACAGAAACCTCGGAACCCATGTCCACTGATTGGATGTTTACTGCCTACCATCGCGACGAATCATAGTATCATCTAAATCAAGGCTGTCCAACTTAATGTGGCCCAAGGGCCACTTCAAAAAAAAATGTAGTTTGGAGGGCCGCATTATAAAATCTTTCTATACAACATTATTACTGAGTTTTAATAGGTATATACTATACTATATGGAATACAAAAATAGTTTTTTTATTATTTTTATTTATTCAAAAAATATGAAATTACAAAAAAATCAGTGGGACATTTGAGGATGTTGGTTTTCTAATACTAATGCAGCAATATTGACATTAATATTTGTTGTTGATAAACGAAGTAACTGAGTAAGTGACTTATCCTTTAGGGAACATCTATACTTTGACTTGATAAATTTTATGTTGGAAAAGCTGCTTTACAACTTGGAAAAAATGAAAAATCATTTTTTGTAATGAAGACTTGAAAAGCTTAATTTTATTCTTAAACCCATTTATGTGTCCAAATAAGTTGGCAATATTCTGGTGTTTTCCTTGTAGCTTCAAATTCAAATCGTTAAGGTGAGATGTCATGTCTGTTAAAAATGCAAGGTCTGCTAAAAATTGTGCATCTGCCATTTGATTTTCCAGTTCCGTAGTGTCGGACTTCACATTTTTAAGGAAAATAGGAATTTCCTTGCGTAGAGCGAAAAATCGTTGCAAACATTTTCCGGCGCTTAACCAACGAACATCGGTGTGAAGTAACAAGTCCCCATATGTAGCATCCACTTCGGCCAAAAAATCGACGAAACTTTCTGTGAGTCAAAGCACTAACAATATTAGTTATTTTAACAGCCACTTTCATGACATTTATTTGACGTAAAGATTTCCCACATAAGCTCTCTTGGTAAACAATACAATGTATCATAGGACAGTTGATGCTGTTTTGTTTCAATAGTCCTGCAAATCCAATTTCAGTCCCTGTCATAGCTCTGGAGCCATCAGTGACAATACAGGAACATTTATCAAATCCCCCGTAGTCTGACACCAACTTATTCACAGCTTCAAAAATAGGGTTTGGTTGTACCATGGAGAGGAATAAGGTCAAGCATCTCCTCTGCTACACTGAAGTCGTCTTGAATAGTTCGGATAAAAATTACAAGCTGGCTAATGTCAGACAGATCAGTGCTTTCATCCAGGCATAGCGAAAAATATTTACATTTTTCAACCACGTGACGCAATTTTTTGGATACATGTTCATTGATATGGTCCACCCGTCTTGCAATTGTTTGATGCGATACGTTTCAAATTTTTCGGCAACTTTTAATTCATTGGATTGTTTCGCCATTTCTATTGCACACTTTTTGATAAGCACTCTATCACTAAAAGGTTTTTTTGCTTTGGCAATTTCCGGCGCTATTTTGTAAGAGGCGGCAATACTGCACTTGTTATCAGAGTCAGATTTTTTGAAAAAACTTGCTTGTTGTTTTAGTTTTTCCTTGTATTCCGTTATGATAGCTTGCCTCGAGTCCCCTGAATATTGCCGAAACGTTTTCTCGTGTGACGTAGTGTAATGTCGTTTCATATTATATTCTTTAGGAACCGATAGTACTTGCATACAAGCAATGCACTGAAGTTTATTATAATTGTTTGAGATTAAATATTCTGATTCCCAACGGTCATTATAAACTCGATGTTCGTTCGTTATTTTTCGTTTCTGTGAAGACATATTTCACGGAGTATTTTACTTAAAAAGGTTTTAGAGTTGCTGTGTACTGAAACGCACTAGCACTAGAACAAAACTGCCTGTCCCGCTTGATTCAACCTTCTTATATACGCGCCCGTGGCTTCTCGAATATTCGGGGATGATCGAGAGATCGGTCCAATTTCCAGTAAATTCGCTGCGGCCTGCTATCGGTCGCCAGTGGCGTCACATGTTATTGTATTTTATCGTTAATGTAAGAATTGTGCATATTCGGTATTTGAGAATAATTTATACATGTGATGTATACATGACCCGTGAAGCGGGCCGCAAGAAAGGAGTTCGCGGGCCGTATGTTGGACAGCCCTGATCTAAATCACTCGAGTAATTTCATCAATAGCCTCAAGCACAAATACGTTTGTCCGACATTCGCTAGATGGCGCCCTCCACGAATAGTTGCCATAGTTATAGCAAAATATTGCTATACAAATATTGCTCGTTTCGATGCTCCATTAGCTTTACTAACCGTAACTCTGGTGTAACTTGGGAACAACTTCGTGTGGCCCTTCCTTGCATTCCTCGTCATATATTTCGCTTACTACGCTTGGATTAAAACTTGTGCTTACACTTGACATTCTCAGCATTTTATTCTTTGCCTGAACCTAATTTGGAAAAATACTTTGATTAAAGTATACTTATGAGGATTGATTCCTATGGTCTGACCAACGAACTTAGACTAGGTGGAAGGAGCCAGTATAACGAGGATCACAGTCTACTAGACATGAGTCAATTTTTTAGTTCCGGAGTTAGACGATCTCGAAATATGGTACTTGTCACATCATTTGCAAAGAGCAGCACAAACCTCCAGTAAGTACTGTTATGTTGATACAACGCTGTCGCGGAAACATGTAGAGGCTTGGCTCCTTCTAATCTATTCGGATTCGTTGGGTCTGATCATGGTAAGCTAAGCTTGGTTTACAAATAAAGCAACCCAAACAAAAAGTTTAGTGGATTCAACTCCAACAGTCTTTATCAGTGATGGGCGTTTACGCGTATACTTTGTCATCTTTTTGACGTAGACAATGCATATACAATGTAAACAATACGTATACAATGCCGTAGACAATGTACGCTTAGGCAACCAATTATGTGACTACGCATCGAGAGCGCTCGAGAACCATCGAGAATCATCGACCGTCACCCAGAAAGCTTCGACAAAGGCTCACACTGTGCTTAGAAAGCGCGGGATTGCATCTGGACTTCATCGTATTTAAAACAGATGTAGAATGCAGGGTAGAGTCGATTATAAGTCAGCAGCGTGAAACGCGATAGTGCAGAAGACATATTGTCATACATTTGTAATAAATTTGTTACAAGTGTTGTTATAAATTAGTGTGAGAGATACAAATTAGACTTTAAATAGTAAAATCGGTGTTTTCGCTACAGTATAGAATAGCAGAAGTGAGGTTAGGTTTACTCGCAAACGTCAAAACATTAGCGAACCGGCTACTATAAAAACAATATAAAATGCAACAGCCAGAATTATTTATTGAATTTTGATAGAAACTTGTAAACATATTTGCTAACATGGAAGTATACGCTGATAAAATGTTGAAGGCATTCCAAACGTAGACTCTCCGGACGCGCTAATTTCACTCAACTTTTCGAGTGTGAGAGAGATCGGATAATCGAGTTACGTGAAGCCGGATTTTATTTAGAGAAATCGCTAATCGGGTGAATCGAAACGAAGCTACTGAAGGCCGAAATCGACGAGTTAGAGGTACTGGACGTCGAAGACAGACTACAGAGAGACAGGATCGTTATTTGGAGCAACTAGCACTTACAGTATATTCAGATAAGAGATAGACCGGATGTAAACAAAAGGTTCGGGTGATTTTCACGCTAACGCCGCCGTCTCGACGTAAAACAGGAGCCCTCGTTGGTCAATTCGCAATTAAATGCCTTTGCCGAGCGGCAGAGCAGTCGTATCAAGGCAGAGTCACATTCAGGTTCAGACGTGTTACGTATGTCGTGTGCATCATTGCAATTTGATATTTCTTTGGACGTTTTCGTTTGTTATCTTATTAAGTTGTTGAGTTTGTCGTTGTTATTGTTATACCTTGTTATTGATTGTTATTGTTATCAACTGCTTGCGCAAAATGCCCAGTAGTACAGATACTGCCGATGAAGTTGTAAACTCCTGTAGTCCACCTAGGAAACGCTCTAAAAAAAGACACCTGAGTGCAGAAATGAAAGAGGTCATTTTGAATATATACAGGGTGACTTTGAAGTTGAGTCATTAATTTTCAGATAATGATTGTAGAAGGAAGATAAACCAGAATATGTGTGTAAAAATAAAAAAAAATTAAAAAAAAAATTTACCTTGTTTTATAAAGTATCCTCCCGACAAGTATTTCAGTGCGGACCTGTATTTGATCGTGAGGTCCCCTGTGAGGTCTTAAGTCACCTGATTCACGAGCCCGTTGTACTACATTAACAAAGGCACGAGGGGTTGGTTGCACTCGATTGGGAAACCGATCCGCATAAACATGTGCCATTTTTTATTTCGTTTGAGCCACGCAACAGACACTATTCACAGGCTAACCGACAGACACTGACTGTATGTATAACTGAACTGAATAAAATACTTAATTGCAAAAACATCGTTCCAAATTCTTTCGCTTTTTTGTTTCCGATGCGATGAACCGGTAAGGCGGATTATATCCGTTGTTGCCAAACACGAGTACATGATATTATTATTGAGACAGGGCGGTACTCAAACTTCCAAAGGGCTATAACTTTGTTACTTTAATTTTACCAGAAAAATGGTAAAGGAAAAAAACATTTCTTTTGATCAGATCTACTCACTGTTAAAATAAATGACTCAACTTCGAAGTCACCCTGTATAAGATCGAGCGCGAGGAGAACGAGGCATCAACCATCAAAGAAATTGTTGTGAAGGTTTCTCACAAAGTTGGGGTGTGTCGCGCATCAGTGTTTAATGTGTTAAGACAATACAAAAAAAATCACACCTTTTCTGAGCCAATGACCAGTAAACATCGCAAAAGTATTGTTAAATCATTGGATGAAGCTGATAAGCATGCGATTAGGAGGAAAGTGCATGAATTCTTCTTTAGGAATGAAATACCTACTATAGATAAAGTACTGCAGGAGGTAAATGGAGATACAACGTTGCCAAATTTCAAACGATCAACTTTCCAAGCGTTACTGAAGCATTTAAATTTCAAATGGAAAAAACGGGGTCGTAATAGTTTACTACTGGATAGAGAATAAATTGTGCTATGGAGGAGGGATTATTTAACAAAAATTGGGAAATATAGAAATCAAAACAGGAAGATTTATTACCTTGATGAAACGTGGGTAAACGCAGGACACACTACAAGTAAAGTATGGGTTGATGATTCTGTAACTTCATCCAGGAGGGCCTTTCTAGATGGACTGTCCACCGGATTAAAAAATCCAGCAGGTAAATACGAGTAATAGACAACAATCGGATGTTTTTCAAACCTTGGGAACAAGGTTCTAAACATTAATTCCAGGGGGCAGATAAAACATATTACAAGTAACAAAACTTTTATAACTTTCGATAAAATGCGTGGATGTTTTATTGTCATTTTCATTTGTTAGAACTTTTTTAAGCCACGTTTTTATGTGTTTTCGATATTTCAATAATTTTTTAATATAATCTTAAAATATGTCGAATATTATAAACTTAAAAAAAGTTACTAAGTTTTATATTGTGTACCGTTCCTAATATTTCTAATCATTTTAATTCATACTTTAAGCTTTATAAAGTTATAATTTGTTAATATTAATATTTGCGCGTATTTCAGGTTCCTGATCATTCATTTTTTAAAGGTTTATAACTTTAAATTAAATTGTGAAGCGCTGAGTAATCATACGACGTTCAATATTCTTTCTTTCAATATGACTAAATAATCCCAATTATAGCAATCTGATACTCATGTCTCAATGTTTTTTCGCTGAATGTGATGAAAACATTTGAAAAAGGTTCGCTTATTGAAATAAATCTACACCAGTTAGTACTTCGATTTCCAGGTAAAGGGAAAAGGCTCATTATCTGCCATATTGGCAGTGAGGATGGATTTGTTGTTGACGGTCTGTGGTGCTTTGAGTCTAAGAAAACTGGAGATTACCACGAGGAAATGAATGGCGAATCGTTTGAACAGTGGTTTTCAAAAATTTTACCGAACTTAGAGGAAAACGCAGTAATTGTGTTGGATATTGGCTCCGCTCGAAAAATATCAACTTTGAAGAAGCAATGCTGAAAGTACAATTATTAAGAATTGTCAAGGATCACAAGGCGGAATATCAAAAATACGCCATTGACGAAATGGCAGCAAGTCAAAATAAAACTGTGCTCCGTTTACCTCCATACCATTGCGAGCTCAATCCCATTGAGCTCTTATGGGCAGAGGTTAAAAATTATATAGCTAAGCACAATACAACTTTTAAATTTTGTGACCTCAAAGGACTTTTCAAAGAAGCACTAGAATTAGTAACAGCGCAAAAATGGGAAAACTGTATTAAGCACGTGAAAGACAAAGTTGAAAAGAGAATGTGGGAACTGGACAATATTTTAGAGGAACAAGTCGAGCCATTCATTATTGACGTTGGTGCTTCAGGCAGTAGCGATGATGAAAGCTCATCAAGCTCATCTTTCCAATAAAAGATGTCGTTCATCAAATTCGGTAAGTTATAAGTAATTATAAAGCTACTGTATTTTTTAATTAATTATTGACATTTTTGAACCCATTTTGGCAAAACCTATTCAAGAATCTACTTTCTGACAATGTTCAACCATGCACATTTTTTTACGTTTTGAACGTTTTAATTTGGTTACATATTTACCTAGAAATCAAAAAATATACTAATCAATATTCTAAAAGCAATTTTAAGAGATATACGATTATTTTTAATTTAGGCTAATTTAAACGCGATTTTGAGATTATATTCGACTGTATTTCACCAAACATCAGGCGGCATCCGAAGCTGGAAATCGAAGCGAAAATTTTGAAACCCTTATGTATATTTACATCATTATATATTTCTTACCCCACCCCCACATGATCCTATATCCATCACCAATCGTATACACATCGAATTGTGCTAATTTACTACAAAGTTACGCAAAGCAGCATCTACTATCTAAAATATGTACTGCGTGACTCTTAATACGTCCCTGCCGAATGTTACAGCGTTCGATGATCACGTGGTCTTGTTTATGTCCGGTCTATCTCTTATCTGAATATACTGTAGAGATCGATTTTCCACAACAAAGGCAGTTGTGAACCAATAGTTTTGTGCTGTCGGAAGGGCAATAACAATGAGGACAGTTTATCGCCGAATCAGGTCTTTTGGACTGTTTCCATCCCGTCCCCAGTTTGTACTACCTCTGACCCCACAGCATCGTCGACAATATTGATATGGAGTAGGGAGAGACTTGAATGGAATATTGTGTTCAGCATTGAGTCCAGATTCTGGTTGGGCACACATGATGGCCGTGCAAGAGTAAGGAAGAGATGTGTCCAATATTATCGAACGGCATATTCATAGCACTGTGGGTTTTATGGTATGGGGTTCCTTTGCTTACGGCAGCAGCACACCATTAGTGTTCATTTGAGGTAGCATGACTGCCCAGCGCTATATTTACGAAGTTTTACAACCAGATCTGCTTTCTTGTTTGGAAACATTGCCAGATCTACTTTTTCAGCAGGACAATGCACAACCTCATGCCGCACGTGTTAGTTCAGAGTAAATCTGCTTCAGTGGCCTCCTCGACCTCAAAACCTTTCCCCCCATCGAACATATATCGGACATGATGGGAAGAAGGTTGCAAAGTTCACCGCACTCTCCACAAACATTGGAAGCTCTACAAAACCAAATTCAGATGGCCTGGGATACAATACATCAAGAAGACATCAATCATTTAATCCAATCAATGCCGCGACGACTTGACAAATGTGTAGCGAACAGAGGAGCTTCAATACATTATTAACATTAAGGTGGGATATCTCAGCTATTTTGCGAAATTTCGAGTTAAAATTCTAATCACTTCTATTTATCAAAACTTTTAAAAGTATGATTAAAATTGCAGCACTCTTAGTCGGTGTTGCATTTTCTATGTCATTTAGTATATTCTGATTATATACGATTTATCAGACCACAGTTATAATATTGTAACATGAATGAATAGCACTGTTGGCGCCATCTGTTGGGGACCGCGCAAGACTCTCCTACTCGCCAGAGCTTCATGACCGATCTATGTTTTTACGCGTATCGCGACCGGACATGACGCTTGGCGACATCTGTTGAGGACCGTGCGGCAAATCCAACGAGAACCGGACATGACATTTGACCAATTTATGGCTCACCATGCTAATGGCCATAACAGTCAGTATGGCGTGACATGTGAAGTACAGCAAGGTCTGTTTACCACTTCACCGGAGTATGCCTTGGTACGCTGTGTGGCTCAAAACTGGCGAATGTCGAGAGGTATAGCAAAGGTCTTTCTCAATAAGTTTGGAAGAGTGCACAAGTCGGACAAGTACTCCAGATAACTGAAGACGTTACCAACCAAAAGATCTATCTGGTCATCAAGAACGCTTCGTATCAGAAACCGAATTACGAGGATGTCTGGAAGGCTTTGTGTTGTCTTAGAGAAGTGTTGCTTGCCTAGGATCTGAGAAAACTGGCAAGAGAAAGCTGACATGTGGACTGAACAACCTGGACTAGAGAATCATCCGAAGCATGCTTGAGGTAGCCTTCCGGTATACAGGTATTCGATTTCTGGTGTGTTGTCACAGTCCTAGACGGCTACCCCCTGGAAGGAGTGTGCATTTTTACTTCTTCAAGAACTCCTACTGCAAGAAAGGGCAGTCGTGCCGATATCGACATCCACCAGCAGTAAGATCATTCCGGGACGGAATGACTTTAGGGAGCGGGCATTATAACAAGAATGAATAGTACTGTTAGCGCCATCTGTTGGGGACGCCAGAGCTTCATGGCCGATCTCTGTTTTTACGCGGATCGCGACCGCTCATGCAGCTTGGCATCATCTGTTGAGTACCGCGTCAGTGACTCGCCTTCTAGATCGACGCAAAGTGGGTCACCGGAATCTTCTCGACCCAACTATGCGGACTATATAACTCGACAGACATGAGAGGGATGCAGAGTAGAATAGAGCAGAGTGGAGTATAGTTCAGTCAATGGCGCGACATAAGAATGTTCTATCTAGTCAAGTTAAATAAATTAGTGCATTTCCTTTTGTGGAATCCAGTGTTTTAATCCACACCGAAAAGAATCGAGAAAAATGCTACAATATACATCATTCAGCAAAACGCAATGTGTTCTTTTAAATTCCAAATATTATGCAAATATACTTTTAAATCTAAATAAAACAATTCATTCAAACTAGGCAAATATACTTTTACCTAAACTAATTAAACAAACTTAATAAATATAGTTAAATTGTTTTGCTTGGAGTAGATAAACTCATTTTAATAGTTCATTAATTTTAAATAAATCGGTGTCTTCAATATAAGTAAACGGTTTAATAAATTTAATTAAACGATTGCGTTTTGGTTTAATTAAACTAGTTTCATAGATTCAAGTAAAACGTTTCAGAAATCGGAGTTTAGTTAAACTTGCTAGCTGTCACACAGTTGATTATTTTTTTCAATTGTCCTTATCAAAAGCTCAGTTGGTTCAAGTATTTGTTTCGCAATGTAGGCGTTGCGTATATGCAAGCGACCTAATTTAACTATCATTTGCTTTTGTTTACATTGTCCACATTGTTTATATTGTCTACTGCGTATAGATTGGTGTATTTGCAGTGCGTCCATTACTGATTCTTGATAGCAATGCAATAAAGTCGCTGCGCCAGATCCACCTTTATGAATGTTGAATGCGATTGAAATTATCTCGACCTGGCCGAGTGTGGTGCAGAATTATATTGTAACGCCCTCGTATAACTGGTGAACACTTCTACAGGAGACCCGAACTGCTTAGGCCACCAGAATTACGCGACCTATATGGAGCATTGTATGTTTTGACGCATGGTCGCGTTTTTGGACAGTTTGCTTTTGCGTTTGCAGAGCCATCGCGGATCTTCACGTCTGGATATGAATCTGCTGCCATCCAGATCACTTCGACGGAAGTTCGTGGCTCACCCTTGAAAAAGCTAGCATGCTTCTCGACTCGTAGTTCAGTAAACATGGTTATACATTGTTAAAGTACAATTAGGCTAGAAGTAATATTTTGGACAGTAAAACCGGTGTTTCCGTTACAATATCATGTCGCATCAAAGCACTCAGAATTGAGTAACAAACCCCGTGGGACACTTTTTATAGTAGTGGCAATACTTTTCCGTGTTCTATTATGTATACGAGAGATCAATATGCCATTCTGGGATACCCTGTACAAAAACTGATAAATATTTAAAAACTACCAAGTAGGCATCCCTAGCAGCTTTGCACTTGTTCACCAAAACCTCGAAGCGATCTCTGTGCCAATGCACAACGTCATAGGATGATTCCATCGGAATTGCATGCTTGTTTCTTTCGCAGGTTACGTCAATCTGTTCCTTTACTTCTGTGAGGCTGAACTTCGATTCTGGACGCAGCTTCTGGTGCAACCTTTGATGTGTTATGACGTCTAGACCATTCTTGTCGTGCAGCTTCACGAATAGCCTTCAATAAGGAAAGTTTAAATAAGTTGGTTTGGGCAGAATGAAAGGAGAGTCGACAGTCGACACGGTCATAAATGTTGTAATAAGTTAGTTTCAAGTGTTGCAATAAATTAGTGTATAGTAAAAACGGTGTCTTCCTTACAATTGGGATGCTTCCTGAAACAAAAGATCCACAAAATTTTATTTGGTTTTACTTTTTTTGTAAAGGAGAAGGGCCAGTCATTTTTTTATTGTTTGTTGAAAATTTATTTAGTATGCTACAAAGTCATTTTTTCTATAATCGTTCTTTTATACATTAAGACACGTATTAACTAATGAAATCCTTACTTGTGAAAAACTGCAATGGAGGTTGACTCTTTCCCTTGTACGATATCCATGACATCATTAGGTGTCAAATTCACCCCAACTCTTGCAAGCCATCTAACAATATACTCATTGAAATTTCTCAAACAAGCCTGTTCACCCAGCATATCTACGTTGGTCTTTTCTATCAGGTTATATTGGTCTTCCTCAATAATCCCGTAATTCTTCAACAGAATGCAAAGGAGGTTTCCATCTCTGGTTGCCTCCCCGAAGCTCTTGTGATGGTCTATAAGAATGCCCAAACGGTGTTGGAACCATCTATTGATGAGATCTGTCATTTTTTCAGAGCTTTGCCAACGGCTATTTTGGAATCGATCGATTTGACGTTTTCTTTCATAACCTGTAGGCGTGACTTTCGGGCATAGATACAGAGTGTTTCACTGATCGTGTATAAAAATGAGTCAAGATGCTTATAATACGTTTTTTGGTCGCTGAAATCTAATCTGGAACCGATTTAGCTAGGAAATTGGATAGGAATGTTAATTGTATCAAAACGTATCATATAATATATGTGGCCGCAGGCATGATACGAGGCAACACCGGCTGCTGCTGAGCACTAAAACCTCTTTTATTGTTGTACTTTACATTCAACTTTCTCCGCCGATCTTTTTGTGGAAAGATGAGAAACAAAAATGTGTAAAAGAATATATATAAATGAAGACTTGAAACTTGTCTCAAAATGGTTAGCATCTAACAGACTAAAATGAAATGCAAGTAAAACGAAAGCATTGTTAATCGGAAAAAAGCAATGTACAAATGTTCAACTGAATATTGATGGTGAAGATATTGAATTCGTAGAAAATTTTAAATACCTGGGGGTTTTTGTTGACTCTCGATTAATTTTTGATATTCATTATGAAAAAGTTATAAATAAGATTAGTAGTAAAGTGGGATATTTATCAAGAGTTTCTGGATGTCTGAGTTCATATAGCAGAAAAATTATCTATAATACCATCATTCTTCCAAAGTTCTTGTACTGTTCGACTATTCCATATTTAGCAAATAATTCCATTTTTGAAAGACTGCAAATTTTACAAAATAAGTGCATGAGAATAATACTAAATAAAGATAAATATACTCCAATTAGGCAAATGCTTAGCAAATTAAAATGGCTCAATGTAAAAATTTTTATCAAATATCTTGTAATGATATTCATTTATAAAGTAAAAAATAATATATTTCCATCAAGTCTAACTAATTTAACATCATCAAATGTCAACCATCATTTACATAATACCAGAAATAAAGATGACTTCCATTTAATGACCAAAAAGTATAACATATGCTACAAATCTGTATTCCATCAAGGGTTGATTGAATATAATAAATTATACTCAGAGATAAAAGACCAGAAAACTTTGACAAAAAGTAAAATTGAGAAATAACTTGTTAAATCTACAATTATAGGTTGCACAGCAGTTACATCATACACCATATGTCTTGAATTTACTAGTAAGTTGTTTATAATTATTCTGTTTATGTAGCCAAATGTGCTAAATAAATCTTTCTACTACTACTACTACTACTATTTATTAACAAAATTGAACACATATTCCCTCACAAAACTACATAACTGATCACTTCTCGAACAAAAACGCTGGCAGAAACGTCGTACTCTGTAACAACCGTTTGCTTCTAAATAAGTATATTATACCAAGTGACATATAAATCCGAACACCCAGTTTAAATGGTTTTATTTTAATAAAAGTTGGTGAATGTATTTATGTTACTGTAAATAACAAGTGAAAAAATGTTCAGCCTTATCAGTTGGACATTCCGGGTTTTATACTGCTTTTTTTTAATTCACTAACGCTCTAAAAATGAATATTTCAGCCGCAGTAAAGAATCAACGTTGGCGGATTTTGGTTCTTGACATCCTTTACGATCGTTTACGATGCCTAGAGTACGGAGACCTGTACGATTTCGTCAACTTAGTGAGTTTGATAGGGGCCGTATAGTGGGACTTCGGGAAGCTGGACTTTCTTTTCGGGCAATTGCAGTTAGAGTGCAAAGAAGTGTAGACACTGTGGTTAGGTGTTGTCAGGCATGGCTTCGAGAAGGCCGTACGCAAAGAGCAAGGGGCACTGGACGCCGCCGTAGAACAACAGACCGTGAAGATCGCCGCCTAAGATTATTGGCCTTAAGGGACCGTTTCTCCACTACCAGGTCCATTGCAAATGAATGGTTTGCAGAACACGGAAGACCTATTGGCATGCGAAGTGTTTACCGACGAATGAGAAGTTTTGGCTTGTTTTCATACCGGCCACACTGGGTCCTCCCTTTAACTCGAGAACACCGACGTAATCGCCTTGAGTGGTGCAGACAACGGTCACTCTGGGATCAGGAATGGAACAGTATTGTCTTTACTGACGAGTCTCGATTTTATTTAGGCATTCACGATGGTCGTGCCAGGGTTAGAAGGCGACATGGTGAAAGGACGGATCCACAGTTTTTTGTTGAAAGATATGTTTATCACACTGTTGGAGTTATGGTTTGGGGTGCTATAGCTTATGGTTCCAGGTCACCTTTAATCTTCATCAGAGGTAACATGAACGCGCAGCGTTGTATCTACGAAGTTCTAGAACCCCATCTTTTACCCTATCTTGACACCCTGGCAGATCCAACTTTCCAACAAGATAATGCCCGACCACATGTTGCAAGAGTCACAATAGACTTCTTTCAACATAATGATGTCACATTGTTACCATGGCCACCAAGATCTCCCGACTTATCTCCAATTGAGCACGTGTGGGATATGATGGGTAGGAGATTGCTCAATTTGCAACATCCTCCTCAGACTCTAGAAGCACTTCGAGAGAAGTTGGCGGTTGTCTGGAATGAGATACCACAGGAGGACATTGACCACCTGATCAGAAGCATGCCTAGGCGCGTTGGAGAATGCGTAGCATATCAGGGTGCATCCACACATTATTAAAGGTCAAAGGGCTTTAAAGCAGTGCAATCATTTTGAAATTTTTATCATTTACTTATTATGCTTCATTAAGTACTTATACAAAATTTTATTAAAATAAAACCATTTAAACTGGGTGTTCGGATTTATATGTCACTTAGTATATATTGCCAAAATACATCAAGTGCTTAACTAAATTGGTTTCACGAGGATGTGCTCGTCACACTACATGCGTTGATAAGCGGTTGATTCCTACAAATGAAATCGCAAAGTTTGCAGTAGTTTGATTTGCCAAATGTCACAGCGTGTCAGCTGTCAAGATTCTAGTCAAGCGTCTACTTGGGACCAGGAGCTTTACTGCTCCTTCTATGCTAATTGAAGTTTGGAAACTAACGTTTGGATTTATTTGAAAGAAACTAGGTGTCCTAAAGATGCATTTATTACCAAAAATGAACACATGTATTAACAAAACTACATAACAGATCGCTTTGACGCCATTCCGCGAATCCTTAAATTCTTTTTCAAACTGGTAGAATGCTCGAACTCTTCCCTGCAACGCTTTTCTTTTAAAGGTTCCTCAGACTTTGTGACAGCCAGAGGCCCCAACCAGACTGTTTCCTGGAGTTCCTTCACAGCTTCAACATCATAACAATCGTTTGCTTCTAAATAAACTTCACAGTCTGTCATATTTTGATAATGCATCAAGTGCTTCATTAAAGACGGTTTCACCACGAAGCATTCTCCACACCCCATGCATTGATAAGCCGTTGAAACTTCTCGATGGTCTTTGGCAATTGGTATGTTGATCAAACCCTGTGCAATTCCCACCCGCAAATTTGCAGTAGTTTCATCTGTCAAATGTTATGCCAGGTTTCTAATCAAGCTTCGAACTGGAACCATAAGGCCTTTTACTGCTCCTTCTATGCTAATTGCAGTTTGGAAACTAACGTTTTGGATCTATTTGAAACAAAGTATCTTAAAGACGCATTCATTAACAAAGATGTTCTCTTATTTACGAAACTACATAACTAATCACTTTGAATTCTTCAACAAAAACGCCATTCCATGAATCCTGAAATGCTTGTTCAAACTGGCAGAATCTTCGAACTCTTCCCTGCAAACCCTGCATTGATTTTCTTTCAAAGGTTCCTCAGAATCTGCGACAGCCAAAGGCCCCAAACGAACAGTCTCCTGAAGTTCCTTCACAGCTTCAACATCGTAACAATCGTTAGCTTCTAAATAAGCTTCACAGTCTGCCACATTGTGAAAATGCATCAAGTGCTTCATTAAAGACGGTTTCACCACGAAGCACTCTCCACACTCCATACATTGATAAGCCGTTGAAACATCTCGATGGTCTTTGATATGTTGATGAAACTCTTCCCTATTCTCATTTTTAAAATCGCAAAGTTTGCAGTAGTACGTTCCATCAAACGTCATTGGTTCGCCAGCTGTCAAATCAGGTTCCAAATCAGGCTTTGGTCTGGGCCTGGAAGGCCGTTTTCTGCTTCTTCTATTTTCATCTTTATTTGGAGACTTTGGGTCAGATCGACGTTTTGGAGGCGGGGAAGCTAACTCGTCTTTGACGCCCCCAGGTACTGTGTACTTTTGGATTTGCCTGTGTGTCAGTTTTTTGATAAGGACTAGAGGATGGGCATATCCACAACGTCGCATGTGTGTCACTTTTTCTTCTATGGTTATTTTGTTCTTGCAAAGAACGCAGTAGTATCTGGAAAAAGAAGTAAACGTATTTTTTCATCTTTACAGAATACGAGGGTAATCCCAAAAGTAGCGTGGTTTTACTTTCTACGCCACTGGCGAGGAAGGATTGTAATCGATAAAAATTGCGGATAATATGCCACTCATTTCGATCTGTCTGTCCGCTAGTCACAGGGTGTCCCAGGAGTCGACGTCAAGCCGGAAACGAGGGATAGGCCAAGTCATAATAGTTATCAGGAGAATATACAAAAATGTACTTTTCAAATTATATGCTTAAAAAATTAAATTACTACAAATTTCATTTTTTTCTTAGACAGACTGACGAACAGTGTGTCATTCTATGAAGTGACAGCAAGACAGATAGTAACACTACTTTTATTAATTTGTGAACGTATTTATTAAATTCACAATAAATATCCAAACTGCCTTCCTTCAACAGTAATGCAAGCTTGTCATCTCAAAAAATGACGTTATATCGATTTTTTTGACATTATAGTGTTTTTTTTACAAGTAGGTTTTTCTACAAGATGTTAACTTAGCACTTAGTTGTACGTGTTGCCTAAACATCATGAGGCTTCAGTTATCCATGTTTGGCTCTGATGTGATGTAAAATCTGCTTCTGAGATGGCATTCCTGGAGGTCTAAGCTGTAAGTTGTATGTGTTGATGATAGGTGCATTGGGTTCTTGTCTCAAATACACTTAATTGAGTTTCAAAGCTAGAAATTAGTTGCGCAGCCACTCTTTCTTATTCGTTCTGGAAATTACATATACAAATTTGCTGAATTTCAAAAATGAGAGAGATAAGAAATAATTATATTGTCGAATACAAACCATACATATATGTACATGCTAACAGTAATTACATACAACGCGGGCGCGGTGATGATTTCCCGTAATTCTCCTCAGTTTTTCGTAATTTATAACTTTGAACATAACCTCTCTTCAGAAAGCACAACATATAAATAACCCGCCGGGCACAGCTAATATACTAAGTGACATATAAATCCGAACACCCAGTTTAAATGGTTTTATTTTAATAAAATTTTGTATAAGTACTTACTGAAGCATAATAAGTAAATGATAAAAATTTCAAAATGATTGCACTGCTTAAAAGCCCTTTGACCTTTAATAATGTGTGGATCCACCCTGATTTGCATTCTCCAACGCGCTTAGACATGGTTCTGATCAGGTGGTCAATGTCGTCCTGTGGTATCTCATTCCAGGCAACCACCAACTCCTCTCGAAGTGCTTCTAGAGTCTGAGGAGGACGTTGCAAATTGAGCAATCTCCTACCCATCATATCCCACACGTGCCCAATTGGGGATAAGTCGGGAGATCTTGGTGGCCATGTTAACAATGTGACATCATTATGTTGAAAGAAGTCTATTGTGACTCTTGCAACATGTGGTCGGGCATTATCTTGTTGGAAAGTTGGATCTGCCAGGGTGACAAGATAGGGTAAAAGATGGGGTTCTAGAACTTCGTGGATATAACGCTGCGCGTTCATGTTACCCCTGATGAAGATTAAAGGTGACCTGGAACCATAAGCTATAGCACCCCAAACCATAACTCCAACAGTGTGATGAACATGTCTTTCAACAAAAAACTGTGGATTCCTCCTTTCACCACGTCGCCTTCTAACCCTGGCACGACCATCGTGCATGCCTAAACAAAATCGAGACTCGTCACTAAAGACAATACTGTTCCATTCCTGATCCCAGAGTGACCGTTGTCTGCACCACTCAAGGCGATTAGGTCGGTGTTCTCGAGTTAAAGGGAGGACCCAGTGTGGCCGGTATGAAAACAAGCCAAAACTTCTCATTCGTCGGTAAACACTTCGCATGCCAATAGGTCTTCCGTGTTCTGCAAACCATTCATTTGCAATGAACCTGGTAGTGGAGAAACGGTCCCTTAAGGCCAATAATCTTAGGCGGCGATCTTCACGGTCTGTTGTTCTACGGCGGCGTCCAGTGCCACTTGCTCTTTGCGTACGGCCTTCTCGAAGCCATGCCTGACAACACCTAACCACAGTGTCTACACTTCTTTGCACTCTAACTGCAATTGCCCGAAAAGAAAGTCCAGCTTCCCGAAGTCCCACTATACGGCCCCTACCAAACTCACTAAGTTGACGAAATCGTACAGGTCTCCGTACTCTAGGCATCGTAACCGATCGTAAAGGATGTCAAGAACCAAAATCCGCCAACGTTGATTCTTTACTGCGGCTGAAATATTCATTTTTAGAGCGTTAGTGAATTAAAAAAAAAAGCAGTATAAAAACCGGAATGTCCAACTGATAAGGCTGAAAATTTTTTCACTTTTTATTTACAGTAAGATAAATACATTCACCAACTTTTATTAAAATAAAACCATTTAAACTGGGTGTTCGGATTTATATGTCACTTAGTATAGATATACTTCATTGGCAGCATATTCAGTAATGATGTTCTCGCACAGCAAATATTACTGTTTTTATACAAATGCAGACCAATACACAAAATCATTCAGATGCGATCTTGCTATTCAACCAACTCTCTTCTCAGAGATAAAAACTACAGATATGAACCACTCGGTCTCACAAAACATATGCAACCAATAATGCGTGTAGTTTAGTTGAGTGAGTCCTCCATAGATGGACGTACACAACGATCCTAGTGAGCAAACGTGGAATGACTGTTTGCGCCCTAAAAACTACCTAGTCTGCAAGATGACATCTTATAGATTTTTTTGGCGTTTTATAGGTTATTTACATGATACCCGTGCCGGTTATCAGACGGGAGGCTCTTCAGTTATTAACAAATCCAGCTGCTTCCGTTATTCTATCCGGTAGGTCAGCTAAATGGTCGATTAGTTGTGAGTAAGTCTTTATTTCACCGCTACCCGGTAAAAAAAATCGAGTAGATTCAAGTCACGGCAAACCGGCTGGCTACGAAATTGTACCAGACCATCTATCTGGTCGGGTATTCCGCATCAAGATATTCTCTAACTGAACGGGTATAGAGCGCCGGGGAGCCCTCTTGCTGGTACCACGGTCTCTGTAAATGCTAGTGGCACGTTTTCCAATGAATTTGGTAAATAATTTTGTGAAAAGTCTCAATAAATTTCGCTATTTAAGAACTAGACTCCCGGTCCACATGTTTAAAATGATTCTGTCATCTATCTTATCAATTGTGGATTTTCTACATGCCACTCGAGTAAGTTGTGTAGATTGATGTAACCATCTGGAGCTGGAGCTCGTTCTTTCGCAAGATTCGTTGGGCTGCACTTTTGGGCACTCCCGTGCTTGCTTTCATTTGACGTACTGAAGTACTAGGGACTTCTTCAGCTGCTTGTCGTACGACGTCCCTATAAGGGGAGGAAATTCTTCCTTCATCATGTGTTTGATTTGGGAATCCTTCTTCTGAGAGTTAACGTCGCACATAAATGAGGTGCATGTGGGCGATTTTTTTAAGACCTTAATTCAAAAAATACCGAACTTCTGGGACACCATGTACGGGTAGGTGGTACGGAAAGTAAAATGCAATTGTGCCTAGCCAATTCTCACCTTTTATGTACAAGCTTCTGTGGCTTCTCAGGCACTTGAGACTTCTCTGGCTCCGGTTCAGACTCGATAGAGGGCGGCTTGAGAAGTTTGGTCATCTTACATCCGTTGCAAAACCTTAAAGGTTTTTCATTGCTGTAGATAATTTTGGTATCACATCCTTCGCAGTCTTTAGTAAAGAAGCCAGACTTCTTATTTTTCGCAGAATTTCCCCCAGATGGTCCTCTGCCGTTGCACCTCAGCGAGTGAGACGCGAACGTCGTAGTCGATCTGGAATTAAAGAATGGTGTCAAGTAGACTGACCCTGTATTTTCCACGAACTGATATAAGTCGAAGTCAGAATCAGGACTAATGATTACGTTGAACATAGATTCCTTGAAACAGCGACATTTTTTATTTGTTTTCTTTTTAAAATAGTTAATGGTTTCTGATTCAATATCATTCTATGAATTACCGTATGAATGAACCAGTTACTTAAATTCTTAGATCTGGCAACGCCGCTACTATATAAATATTTTCAGTAGCAATATTAAGCGCATCAAAAAGCGCATGAAAAATGTTTCTGTTTAACTCCTGTTTGTTAAGTTTTAAATATAAGTAGGTTGAATAACACATGAATCTTTAGTTCTTGTGTAGTTTAATCATACATATGAATATATTGTAATCGTAAATAAGTCTAAGCGTTGTTAGTGATAAGTAAGACATGAGATACTCCTAAGAGTATCGTTTCGGCTTGTTTAGGGCTAAGAAGTACTTTTCTTTACGTAACCTCCTTGCCCTGTTCAAGGCCCAGATAGGAGAGTTGTCCAAATGAGTGATGACTCTTCTCTATCGGACAGTCTTGGGACTCTTAGGGACCGTTCAAGAATTACGTAACCAGATTTATTACAATTATTTACCCCCCCCCTCCCCCCCCCCCCCCATCGCCCTTGTCAGCAAAAGTAAGCAAAGCTCTTACCCCCTCCACCCATGCTTACGTAAACATTTGTCAATTAATGTATTGTTTTTTTAATATTATAATTATAACGTTATAATTATAATTTGAAAAATAAGAAAATAGATTTAGGAAAGAGATTATATTTTACTGATACGGTATTCAACATAGAGTAAAGGAAAAAAATATTTTATCTTACGAACATAACAAACTTATTTCAAATTTTTGGTACATATATTAAATTCAAATTAACAGTCTTCAGTCCATGAAACCCGAATCCATGATTCTAAGTTTTCGATAACATTGGATTGCTTCGATTGCTGCTCAGTGTTGTGAGTTTGCTCGCTTTCATCGGATTTTGGAATGTCTACGTCGTTCTCATCGAGCCATTCAACATCATGGTGCTCTAAATTTTGAATAATGCACTTCAGTTCATTAGCACGACGAGCAGCGACTCTTACAGGTCTAACTTTCCTATCAGTGTTTACTGTTTTATGGATATTTTCGATGTGACGATTTAGTGACTTGACGGAAGCACGATAAAGACCACACGTTTTGCATGTTCTACTTGATCGCCTCAATTTTACCGTCGGACAAACTCGTAGGGCATTTGCAGGAAATCTTTGAGTGAAGCACTTAAGCGTATAGCTAAATTGACTGGAAGATTAAGAAATTGCCCTCCTTCATCCAAAACCAAGTCATCAACTGTTTGTTTTACTTTTACAGGTGGTGGAAGAAACCTATTGTCTAGTAATCTAAATAGGCCACTTCTTGGACGACAGCATTCTATATTTTACAATTTGAAGCAAGTATTGGCTCTCACGCACATGTTCTGAATACCATTTAATGTCTGGAAAATAAGGAAGATCTTGTTCACCTGCCCCAACATATTTTGCATTAACATTATAGCCATCAATTTCCATTGAACTCCATACTTCAGCTAATACATTTCCTGCAAATTCGAAATTAGATCTTTCTAAATGTTCATCAATTGTTACGCCACGTTCATCCAAATGAGACCCTGGTTTTACTAGTCCATGGTCAGTTTTAGCTAATGGTCGGAACTCTTCAAGTTCGAGAAGCGTCTCGAAATCCTGAGCATGAGTATTAGCAGTAGATGAACTATGCTTTCCAATTCGAATAGCGATGTATGTTGGTCCAGAATATCCAACGGCTTGCGGTTGTCCTAGCATATTGGAAGTGATTTTGATACCAGCATAAATAGATGTAATTAATTTATGACGCTCAGCGATTACCCAATCGTGATCAGGCAATTTGATTCTATATTCCATGTGCATTCGAAGAGGTGCTTGCTTATTTGCCGCAGTTACGTCTATAGGGACTCGAGCTTTATCATCTTGAGATATGAAAAATACTTGATCTGGTCCAAGTATGGATGCTATGTTCTGTAAATAATCGATTCATGTTTCTGCGAACTTGCTATCTAAGTGGCTCTTGTGGTGATCAGTTTGAGCCCGAATGAGCTTAACAGGGACTGTCGATACATGTCTTCGTTCCTCTGCAGAATTAGATTTTCTGGGAATCAAATGAAGATATGTCCCACTTCGACTAATGTCAAATCCTATTTTACGTAATTCTTGTGTGGGTTCATCAAGAGTTTCTACGCTGCGAATTGATTCCTTTCGTCTTCTATCATCTGCTGCACTCCCAAATAAAGCTATATCCGCGATTGTTTTCAATGGTGAATGTTGATTGCTTTCAAGATTAGGACGTCCCACTTAATCCCTCAGAGATAGTCTTTTTTTTATTTCTGGATTTTCATGACAAATATCTTCTAACTTTCGTTTCATACCATCCCTGTGTTTCTTCTGGGCAACTGCGTTTTGAACTTTCCTGTTTAAATACTGTATTTGCTGTTTTTATTTCCCGGCGCAACTTAATGATCTGTTTATCAACTTCAGCACGGCCTGGCCTAGTATCTCTGGCAGAATATAAAGCATTCAGATTTTTTTAGAGTAGAGCAATCTTATTTTTCATAGCTCCCTGAGAAGGTTTTGCTCTCTGTTTATCTGTATTTTCATTAATTTCGCATTGCTGTTGTGATTCATTACCGGGTTTTATTTTATCTTCTTCCTCTTTTTTAATATTTGAAGCTGACTGTATAATTTGTGTTTTTTCTGCAGGCTTACAGGTTGCCTAAAAATAAAAACTTTCTATGGCTTCTGCTAAAGATTCTCTAATAAGCTACATAAATACAAAGTATGGCAATATATATGGTAAATACAAAACCCTATGGCTTTAAATCTAATATGTTTATCGAGCAATTCGTTCCGATCACAAAATACAGGGTGTTAGTTTTCTCTATATATGTATAAATCTAACATCCTGTACTTTGTAACCAATTGACGGAATCAATCACAAGAAATAAATCTATAATACAATGAATATTACCTCTATACTTCTAATCAGTAAAGAGAAACTTTTTTTCGATTTCTAATATTTCTAGTACTCATAGGTACCTAAAATGATTTCGTCACTCACCTTAGAAAAAAAAAATTAGTAGATTGGATTTATTCTTAGTCGCCGCTTGCAATTCTTCTTCGATTCTTTTAGATACAATAATATCTAGTTCCTTGTCGGATTTTGCTTGTAATTTGTAATTTCGCCACACTTCGTTAACTAACTTTTGTACATTTTGTACTTTCGTATTTGTATGAGATTTTTTAAAACTTTCAAACAATTTTTGGTATATCTTGGATTTGTCTAAGTGAAACGACATCTTATTTAAACATTGAACTTTGGCTAATGGAATCAATGGTAACACAAATATTAACTTGCTTTACTATGCTTACAATACGTCTACTCGCTATAGTATCCAAACAAAACAATACACTGATAGAGGAAATTTAGACAAGTGAACACCGCGCGGTAATTCCCCTACTCGGTTCTAAAGCAAGTAGGGGAATTACCGCGCGCTGTACACTAAACGTATGCATTATTTGCGGGAATCCCCGAAAATGCGTTTCGTTTTCAAGCAAAGACAATGTGAGGGTTGCCATTCGTGTAAAAAAGTAAATATCTACCGATGACGTAATCATCATCTAGACGCCCCTACCTCCCATGTCATCCAAAATAAGCAAAGCAAAGAACCCACCGCCCCCCCCCCCCATAGTGCTCACGTAATACTTGAATGGCCCCTTACGCACCGACGAGTCATCTGCGATCTAGCTCTCTTCCATCGCTATTTCAATGGGTTTTGCTCCTCAGAGGTGTCCTTCATGATACCGCCGCGCGATGTGGCTGCAAGTCAGCCTTGCCAGACTCCGGCCTACCATTCTAACCGTGTGAGACTTCGTACGTCTAGAACTGGTCGATACGACTGACAGATCTACGAGCCATGTCTCAGTGAAGTTGGCTCAACTATCAAAACTACGTTTTTTATGAAATATATCATATTAGCGGAAACGTATTAAAAACTAAAATATATTTGTGATAACATACGATACTTTTATTTTGATATTAGCCTAAAATACATTTTTTTGTAAAGAAGAAAAAATATCTTCCAAATTCAAAAAACCAAATAGCAGCAAATCACCCACTGTGTTACATCGTCTTTTCGACGGATTACTGCTTCGACACATCTTGACATAGTGTCAACCAATGTTTGGCAGTCATCTGGTGTAAAACTGTTCCAAATTGTTTGGAGATGAGTTCGCAATTCTGTGACAAGTTGATCTTGAACTTTTTTATGGTTGCCTGATTCCATAATATTGTCAATTCGTTATAATTAGCACGCCGATTTTCCTTTATAATGATCTAAAGTTGGTATTGGAATAACGCGGGCGACTTCCAGTTCTGGGTTTTTGAGCTACAGATCCCATTGTTATGTATAATTTAATAATATTTCAAACTGTGTTCCTCGATTTGTTAACACTGTCAGCGATTTGGGAAGCATTTTGGCCTTTTAAATGTAAGTGAATGATCTCTTTTCTTATTTCGTCAGAAACAGCTTTACCACGAGCCATTTTTAATTGTTTACAACAACACCAATGCATTGAAAGTTGATTTAAACGTCAAAAAACAGCTTCTTAGCATGTTATTCTTTTGTTTTACAAAGCGTACCTTTACTGAAGCAAATAAACCGACCATTCAACTTAAGTTCTCTCCGTCATGTATTTTTCTATACACAAATCATTTTGCAAAGAAGAAAATTTCTAAATAAAAACGCTTTAATACTGGTAATAGTCGGTTTTGCATTATATTTGAAAAAAAATTAATTAGCCCTCAAATAAATTCACAAATATCATGTTTTCGGGCGTTGGACCACAGGACTGACAGGGCTCTTAATAACCTTAGGTAGTTCAAAAATGGGATTAACAAAGTTTCATCAAGCTCCACCCAGCAGCCGCGGTGCCCTGGTATTTAGGCTCTCTCTACGCAACTACTTCGGTATAAACAAATTTATCAATTATTAGAAAGAATTTAAAATAATAGAAATCGTACTTTTGGTATAACCCTCGTATTATAGAAACGAACTCTTTCCTGCCGAATCTGTTCTTCGGCCTTCCTGGCAACATTTTGGACCACTCTGTATACAGACAGCTTGAAAAACTTACCTAAAACTGCTCCTACACAGCTTGCACATATACACGTAAATACAACGATCCATTTCGGAAGTATGCATATTGATGTGCTCCGTGTAGTTCTTATCAGTGATAATATCGTCTGGACAAATGAGGCAGTGATGTTTCCTCCTGAAAACACAGTTTTGTCTTTCTTCTTCGGGATGTCGCAATTTGTGCTCTTCCGCCTCGATGTTGGAATGCAAGATGGCGTTGCACACACAGCAGGTCAAAGATTGAATCAGATGATTCTTGAGGTGTATGCCAAAAGTGTTGTTGTTTGCGAACAATTTGCCACACTTTTTGCCTGGGCATCTACGACAAAAAAAGTTTTTTTATGTAAAAAACACTGACACAGATGTCACGTCAGCCTAAGTGGACAATATAAAATGTTTATAAAAATCAAGAGTTTGGGCAAACAAGGTACTTAAGCCACAATGGCTTTATTTCGAGAAATGTAAAGTTATAGCTTTATGTAAATCCTGAAATCACGTTTCTTGCTTAATTTCGATTTGTATGCCACAATAGGTTTAGATTTTGAGAAATAAAGATTTGGTGACAACAGAATCGAAAAACTATAATGCATTTTCGTAAAATAAATTCATTTTTGAAAATACTGCGTTTTTTTGTGCCTTATTGAAAAAAATCTGTACTCTAAGGGTATTTTATTAACATATAATTTGGGTTTTTGTTGTTAAAGTTCTTTTTCGTGGCAGAAATAGCACCAAACACATAAAAATTCTGTTTTTCCATTCGGACTGTGCCAGATGCGTTCTCTAATTCAAAAAGATTTCTGAACGCTGAAGAAGATCAGAAACCTCACAGATTATATTTGGTCGAGAAGGGCATAGGCATCACAAAATAACGTATTATTCACAGGTATTAAAGTAATTTGCGGTATGCGATAGTCGTTTTCAATAAGGATAATGATATATTCTGATAAATAGATGGTATGAAATCAACCGGTGGTGTTTGGTTTCAACTTTTTCATTTTAAGCGACGCGGTTTGTAATAGCTGTCAACTGATAACGGCAGGAACTGGCCCTTCGTGACGTCACTGTTACAGACAGTTAAGACCAATAACAGCCTTGCATTGGTGATGGATTCTATGCGGCTCTGAATGGCAAATGTCAACCCGTGAAAATGTCAACCCGTGAATATGACATAACCCAATTCCTATTCTTTTGTGCCTTTTATGTTTATTTCGTGTGGTGTCTATTTATAATTCTCCTTAAAAAGGCGTAGACCATTTTATCACTTGTTGTTCATGGCAAGATAAATCGATATGTAAAAATAAAAAATTCTTGAATTCTAATAAACAATAAATGTATATTCACAAAGTCAAATGATGATTGGGAGGTATATAAAACTCTTAGGAATAAATGTGTGTATGTATTTAGAGAAGAAAAAAGGAAATTCTACGATAAACAAATCGATAATAACAAGTGCGACAGTGTAAAGATGTGGAAAACTTAAAAAGACTGATCAATTCGAAGCCGCGTGCTTGTGTAAATTAAGTTCAATTCGAAAACGGTACCGAAACAAATTCTTTGGTGATTGCAAACAAACTAAATGAATATTTTGTGGAAAGTATTGTTGATATTGTGGCTACTGCCAATGCTGCACCTGGCTATATGAACATCAGTTTCCAGGGGGAAGTGTTGTATACACTTTCAAAATTTGATAGCGTATCATTGAATTATCTAAGAAAAAAAGTAAACAGCTTAAAAACAAACAACAACTGGTCCGAAATCACTACTAAAAACGTGCTGAAAAACTGTTTCGAAATTTTGAGATATCCTGTATCAAATTGGATCAATTGTTCACTGAGAACCAGTTCTTTCCCTGAAAATTTGAAATGCTCTATAATAACACCAGTTCCCAAAATAAAGAATTCTAAAATATGCAGCGATATGAGACCAGTAAATGTGTTTACCAGACATTGAAAAATTATTAAAGTCCATAGTGCATGGCCAATTAATGCAGTTTATAGAAATAAACAAAATTTTAGCGGAGGCGCAAGCAGGCTTTCGAAAAAAATATTCCACAGAAATGGCTTTCCACTTGGTAATTCATAATTGGAGAAGAGCCATAGACTCAGAAGAAGTTGTCATAGCAGTATTTTTGAATTTGAAGAGGGCATTTGAAACGATTGATAGTTTGTTAGGTAAATTGAAGGCATATGGTATAACAGGAAGTGTTTTAGATTGGTTTAGAAATTATTTGTCTAAAAGGATGCAAGTTACAAAAGTTAATGACACTATTTCATCAAAAATTGAAAATACGTTGGGTGTTCCACAGGGCAGTATCCTGGGACCACTTCTTTTTATTTTATACATAAATGATTTACCTGCCATAGTCAAAAAATGCAAAATTCAAATTTTCGCCGATGACACTATGATTTATATAAGTACTAAAAATATTCAGTCTGGTATCTCTTATATAAATGAAGACTTGAAGCTTGTATCAAAATGGTTAGCATCTAACAGACTAAAATTAAATGCAAGTAAAACGAAAGCCTTGTTAATCGGAAAAAAACAAGGTACAAATGTTCAACTGAATATTGATGGTGAACATATTGAATTCGTAGAAAATTTTAAATACCTGGGAGTTTTTGTTGACTCTCGATTAAGTTTTGATATTCATTATGAAAAAGTTATAAATAAGATTAGTAGTAAAGTGGGATATTTATCGAGAGTTTCTGGATGTCTCAGTTCATATAGCAGAAACATTATCTATAATACCATAATTCTTCCAAATTTCTTGTACTGTTCGACTATTCTATATTTAGCAAATAATTCCATTTTTGAAAGACTGCAAATTTTACAAAATAAGTGCATGAGAATAATACTAAATAAAGATAAATATACTCCAATTAGGCAAATGCTTAGCAAATTAAAATGGCTCAATGTAAAAAATTTTATCAAATATCTTGTAATGATATTCATTTATAAAGTAAAAAATAATATATTTCCATCAAGTCTAACTAATTTAACATCATCAAATGTCGACCATCATTTACATAATACCAGAAATAAAGATGACTTCCATTTAATGACCAAAAAGTATAACATATGCTACAAATATGTATTCCATCAAGGGTTGATTGAATATAATAAATTATACTCGGAGATAAAAGACCAGAAAACTTTGACAAAATTTAAAGTAAAATTGAGAAATCACTTGTTAAATCTACAATTATAGGTTGCCCAGCATTTACATCATACACCATATGGCTTGAATTTACTAGTTCTAAGTTGTTTACAATTGTTCTGTTTATGTAGCCAAATGTGCTAAATAAATCTTTCTACTACTACTACTACTAGAGATAAAAGACCAGAAAACTTTGACAAAATTTAAAGTAAAATTGAGGAATTACTTGTTAAATCTACAATTATAGGTTGCCCAGCATTTACATCATACATCATATGGCTTGTATTTACTAATTCTAAGTTGTTTACAATTATTCTGTTTATGTAGCCAAATGTGCTAAATAAATCTTTCTACTACTACTACTATGTAGGTGTTTATCTTTTTTTGTCACTCAGTATATTTTGATCCAAAAGGGATCTGTTTTAACTTTGCATTTCGTTCTCAAGCATGTGTGGATAACGATAAGATTTTGTGTGTACAGGAATTTCATCTGTGGTCCTAATATGACGCTTCATTTGATTTGTGAAAGTTAACGTGTCACCCTCGTAATAGAATACAACGGAATGAGCTAGACACAATTTTAGAATATGAATTTTTTCTTCATTGAGATGAAACGTTCGTATTAGTTTACTGATATCGTGTCGCAACGGCGAAGCTGATTCGGATGGTTTGGTCATAGCGTGAAATAAAGCGTAATTGTTTGTATCAAGGGAAAATGAAACAAGGCTTATACAACGAAATTTCTTCATAATGGTTGCTAGGATTTCCTAGGTCAACCAGGGCATACGTAAGCGTTTCCTTGACGACACAGTTTCTAATTTTGGAATTTGGAATCAAAATTTCTCCATTATTAGTATCGACAGGAATTTTGACTTGGGCGCTATATAGGGCTCAATTTTTATGAAAAAATAACAAACATTTTTTGCAAATCATGAAACTTTTTGACATTTTTTGTATGCAAAATGGAATTTCTAAGGGCAATATGCGAATTTAGAAGTTTCAAAATATCTAACCCACTCCGACACAGAGTACTGGTATACTAATATACTGATTTTCACTATACTGACAATACTCCAAGTGATAATAGTCATTATAAGGGTTATTTCCAAAATTTTAATCATAAGGATGCTTTCGCTGTAGCTATAGTGTTAGAGTTATCTCTATCTATTCACGATAAAAGATTTTCAAGTCGGCATAATAACAAACTTACTCGTTGGAACTTACCTATATCGCACCAGTTTTGCGAGATGGAAGCAAACCTCACTCATGTGTTCTCTGAGTGTCTCAGGATTTTCAAAGTGCCTGCCACAATCGGGACATACATGAGGGGGAATTTCAGAGTGGATCCGGATGTGAGCCTTTAAGGAGCACTCGGTGGAAGCGATGAATTTGCAGGTGAGACAGCGTAGGTTCATATCGGCAGGTCGGTTGTCGCCTAGGTAATGTTCGGCCATCGTGCACCTGTTAACAAATATTAATCAGCAAGTAATTTTGATAAATAATAATAATTCTATAAAAACACAATTTCCTTGTTGTAATTCCCACCCTTACTGGCGGGGAAGTATGTAATCCCGATTTTTTTTTTTAATTGATATTGTTTTTATCTCATTTCCTTGGTCTGTCTTCTAATTCTATAACCGCCTATAACTACGTACCGCTCGGATTTCGATGATATTTTTACACAATGTTACCACTACGCCAAGGACGCAAAATCGTCGTAGTTTTTGAAAATCGGTTCAGTGGCGGCGGAGAAAAAGTCCAAAAACAAAAAAAAACTAAAACTCCGTTTTTTGACGTTTCAGACAATGCTGATCATTTTCGAATTTTTTTTTTTGTAGAGGTTAAAAATTGGTGGTTAGGGTCGGCAGGGGGTGAAGGAAGGTATATCTCAATTTCTTGACATTGGTATAATTATACGCCTCCAACCCCAGTAATTCTACGCCCATATCTGTTCTAAAAATATTCAGAGGAGGGCTACATGCATCCTGTATGGTATTCAACGACCTTGTTAAGAGGAGAGGCTGAACATATTCAACTTAACTCACTTCTCCGCTAGACGCTTACAAGGTAACTTGATAATCACATACAGAGCGGGTTACCTATCCTATTTTCTGCTCCAATCCACTTTCCTTCTTTTTGCGGATTTTGCCCATTATTTTCCTATTTTTTGTTATATACATTTCTTCCCATGATTATTTTCTCCTTGTAGATCCTTTGGGCTTGAAGTACCACAGCAAGTGGCTATAATCGGCCGCGTGGTTGTGGTTATATGTCGCCTTGAAAATTCGAGGTCTTCTAGCCATTTTATACTACAATGTGTAAGTTGGCTCTTGTTGTGGACTTCGTGTGTGATTTTTTTCACTCTCCATCTTTGTTTCCTCAGGTTACACCCGTATCCGGATGTATGAGCATGTGTATCTGCTTCTGGAGTTGCATATGTGCATTCATTTCGGGCCTGATGAAGCCAACCAGCAGAAATACGTATCGCTCGGGTTACCTATCCTATTTTCTGCTCGAATCTACTTTCCTTCTTTTTGCGGATTTTGCCCATTATTTTCCTATTTTTTGTTATATACATTTCTTCCCATGATTATTTTCTCCTTGTAGATCCTTTGGGCTTGAAGTACCACAGCAAGTGGCTATAATCGGCCGCGTGGTTGTGGTTATATGTCGCCTTGAAAATTCGAGGTCTTCTAGCCATTTTATACTACAATGTGTAAGTTGGCTCTTGTTGTGGACTTCGTGTGTGATTTTTTTCCCTCTCCATCTTTGTTTCCTCAGGTTACACCCGGTTCCGGATGTATGAGCATGTGTATCTGCTTCTGGAGTTGCATATGTGCATTCATTTCGGGCCTGATGAAGCCAACCAGCAGAAATACGTAGCGCTCGGGTTACCTATCCTATTTTCTGCTCGAATCTACTTTCCTTCTTTTTGCGGATTTTGCCCATTATTTTCCTATTTTTTGTTATATATATATATACAGGGTGTTTCAGTTTATTGTTGCATAACTTTAAGATTCGATAGAACTTTTAAAATTAATACATAAAGTCTATATAAACATGGGTCGAAAAATGCGTGGCTTCCGAAATACAGGGTGTTTAAATTTACTTTCTAAAATAGTTTTTTTTAAATATTTCGAACAATATCTGATGTATAACAGTGAAAATTGGTATACAAGGGTTGTTTGGTACGACAAAACGAACCATGGGCATAGTTTTACTGTAGCCGCTAGAGGACGCTCTCTACTGTACCTGTAGTGTATTAAAATGACCGAAAAAATTTTCTTAGTACAATTTTTTGCTTTTTGAATAAAAAAACTGATTCTTCGCACTTTTCAACATAAAAAAGCTCTCTTGTGAATGTTCGTTATAGCTAGCCGTTTTTGAGATATTGCGATTTTTAAGGTTCGATGCATTTTTAATGATTAATGATAAAATAACGTTAAAAAGTCAGTATCTCGATAATTTTTAGAAGTGCAAATATTTTTGAAATTGAAAGCAGAATAAGGTTAAACGTCAATTAGTTGACAGTTAGTTTTGTTGTCTGTTGAAACCTGAAACGTTTTTTTGCAATTGTGAATGCACGAAATTTAGTTTCTTTTACCTGGTTTTTTTGTAAGTTTTATAAAAATGCCATTTTTATTCTCCAATCAAGAGTTAGCGGATATTCATTTTGTGTATGGCTTTGTAAATGGAAACGCAGCAGAAGCAGCCAGAGAATACGCACGAAGATTTCCAAACAGACGACATCCAACTCGCTCAGTATTTGTAAGAGTGCATCGCCAAATAATTGAAAATGGTTTTGGAAATCTCCAAAGAGATCAAAACATAAATGTTCGTCAGCGCAGATTTACCCGTATGATTCTGCGTGAGTTTGATAGAGATCCGACCACAAGTATTAGGAGAGTTTCTGGTGCCTTGGGAATTTCAGCAAGCCATGTTCACCGTGTTCTTAGAAATGACCATAGACGCCCTTACCATTTGCAACCTGTGCAAGGACTACAGCCAGGGGACGGAGAACGAAGAATCACATTTTGTCAGTGGATTCTTGATAGAACTGATCATAATAAGGAGCTTTCAAGTAACGTTTTATGGACTGATGAGTCATGCTTCACTAGACGTGGAGTGGTAAAATTTTAATAATCAACAAATTTGGTCGCATGAAAATCCGCATGCAGTTCGGGAAAGAAATTTTCAGCATGAATTTAGTGTGAACGTGTGGATTGGTATCTACCGTAATCGACTATTTAGACCCTACCTTTTGCCTGCAAGGTTAAATGCTGCGACCTTCTTGGAATTTTTAAAGGCTGAAGATGCAAATATGTGGGATGATGTTATGTTAGATTTAAGAAGATTGGCATGGTTCCAGCTTGATGGTTGTCCAGCTCATTATTCGAGAATAGTTAGAAACTGGCTGGACGAAAATTATCCAGAAAGATAGATCGGCCGTGGAGGACCAGTCGCCTGGCCTCCACGTTCCCCTGACCTAAATCCATTAGATTTCTTTGTGTGGGGATTTCTAAAAGAAAAAGTGTACCAGACTTCCGTAACCACAAGAGATATTCTAACAGACAGAATCAGGAATGCATGTGATGAAATAAGGCCTTATTTGAATAATGCTCGATCATTCGTAGATGTGAATTGTGTATTGAACAATTGGGTTTACATTTCGAGCAACTACTTTAGATTTTGTATGTTTGTCCTAACTATCGAATAGCATTTTAGTTGTAAATAATTAATTTAATTTGTTAAAAATAATATTGGAAAAAAAAAAAAATATATATATATATATATATATTGCATAAAAGTAACTACAATGCAAAATTTTCTACAAAAAGAAGTATTGTATGGAAAACTTAGGTTGACTCTGCACAGACGTGTATGTACATAGCGAATTTTAAACACACTTTAGGATATATTTTGGAGTAAAAAAATAAGATAAAAATGGTAGAAGTTACCCAAGTTGTGGCTTAGGGCGTTTCCTTCCAGTTTTGCGACCTATTTTTTTTTCAATTTACAATATTTAATAAACTCAAAACTAAACGATAATTGAATGGTAAAATATATTTAAAATGATAATTAGACCTGAAAAATAGTCATAGTGTAGCCCTTAATGCAATATCTCGTAAACTAGTCGACCTAAACAAGCGACTAACGCCATAACCAGCTCGGCATAAAACACAAAAACACGTATCTACTTAATTAATGCACATGCCATTTCAAAAACTTCTGATGTATTTTAAACACACTTTAGGCTATATTTTGGAGAGAAAAAATCGAAAATAAAATGCGAACTTGGCCAAATTTTGGTATGAAATGTTCATTTCCAGTTCAGCAACTCAAGTTTTTTAAAATCTCAAATTAGGTTTTTGTATCTGAAAAAAAAACAGAAAATTTCCTAAATAGAACCTATGTTTCATATCCCACTATGATACTTTTTTAATTAGAAAAAAATCTTCGAAAAAATCATGCCCAATCTGAGTGAATTTTAAAACCCCACTTTTTCGCTGCCCTCTTCATTTCCACTTTCTTAGTCTCCTTGTTCTTCTGATGTATTTTAAACGCACTTTAGGCTATATTAGTATAAAAATCAAGAAAAAAAAACGCGATGTTGCCCAAAGTGTGGTTTGAAATGTCTACTTCCGGTTTAGCACCACACAAGTTTTTTTTGTTTTACTTTTTTTTATCTGAAAGTACAAAAAATTTTGTATACAAAATGCTATGTTTCATATCCCACTATCATACTTCTCAATACGAAAAAAAAAATTAAATACTGCTTCTTTTTCGAAGCCCGTAACTTAAGGCCCGTATCGTCAGTCGTCCCTACAATCGTAGGGCGCGTTTATGGCCTCCTTGATTGTCATAGTTTTATACTTCTCCGTGTCAACGCTCTATTTTGAGGTTATGTCACAAACATCTATTTGCATCAAATTGTGCTTACTTTTGAGTTATATCATGTTTTATCAGCCTGAAATTTACTACAATTTAAAAGGAAAACATATCTTCACAATAGGAGAGCGCTGACGCTGACACGGGACGAGTGTAATCTAGAAATTTTTGAAGGAGAGAAAAGACTATGACAATCAAGGAGGCCATAAACGCGCCCTACAATTGTAGGGACGACTGACGATACGAGCCTTAGCAAATGAACATGCCACGAAAAAAAATCGTGTTTTCTCTTTCACACCTACTAGATGTTCAAACAGGCCCAATATGAACGAATTTTAAAACCTCACTTTTTTCGCTGTCATGCCCCACATGTCATATAGTTTTTAAAAAACATAATATCTCATTTTCGAGTTGCCCCACGTTTTGTATTGCAGAAAGCAAGTTACGCCTGAAAGATCTGTGATCTTACTCTATAACTACTGATAACACACTGATCTATCAAAGCTATGACTCACTCTTGGTACAAATTGCATTCCAAACACTTGGGCAGAATGACTGTGTTATTGTTTTCTTGTAACGACTCAACCTTGGCAATGACAGGTAGGGTCATGTTCTGATGATAGTCAGAGCTGGAGTTATCGTCATCCTGAGGTTCTTCCTTGATATCTACAGGCGCTGCGCCATTAACCCTGGACACCAACGACTGCAATTGAAGCTGTTGTTGGTTTTGCCATTCTTCATGATGTCTATTTGCTGAGTAGGCTTGTTTCAGTTTCAAGTGGTGCTCCAAGGTGATGAACTCGCATTTTGGTACTTCCTTTTAACAAGAAGAAACCAGAATAAAACAAAATTCGGTAGAAGCAAAAAAACATTTCAGTCTATTTTGCAACAATCACGATTTTTTTAAAACGAAAAGATATTTTTTCGATTCAATCGCGTTTTATTTTATTTATAGTAGTAATAGTATTATTTTATTCAGCCAAAATACAAATGCATGGTTCAAATGGCAAGTCACAAGAAAGAATGAAAATGAAAAAAATACACTAATAAAATACGCAATAATGAATTTAAATTTGAAATTGTATGTTTATACACATTGAAGGTAGTATCATCGGCAAAAATTTTGACTTTACCCTTCGAAATGAAATTTAGATGGTCATTTATGAAAAGTATAAATGAAAACGGTCTCAACATGAAGCCTGCGGTACACCAAGATAAAATTGGTATCTTTCAGACATTATGATTCGGTCCAATTTAAAATAAGACCTCTAAGACCAAGTGAATGTAGTTTTTCTAACCTTATATCCTCACTCAGGCTGTCAAAAGCTTTCGATGAATCAAACATTAGACTTGCAATGAAATCACCTTGATCTAGTTCGGAATAGTCATAATTTAAAAGTTCAGAGGTAGCTGTCTCCACAGACTTATTATATCTGAAACCATGCTGGGTATCAGATAAAATGTTGAATTTGACAGCAAAGTCAGTAATCCGCTCAATGCCATTAGAAAATTCTGATAGGAATGATATTTGTCTGTAGTTTTCTAAATCCTCCAGAGTTTTCTTTTTTTGAAGACACAAAATTCAGCAGATCAGGAAAAATCCCAATGCTTGAGGAAAAGTTTAACGTATGAGTCAAAGATAGCAAAATATACTAAGTGACATATAAATCCGAACACCCAGTTTAAATGGTTTTATTTTAATAAAAGTTGGTGATTGTATTTATTTTACTGTAAATAACAAGTGAAAAAATTTTCAGCCTTATCAGTTGGACATTCCGGTTTTTATACTGCTTTTTTTTAATTCACTAACGCTCTAAAAATGAATATTTCAGCCGCAGTAAAGAATCAACGTTGGCGGATTTTGGTTCTTGACATCCTTTACGATCGGTTACGATGCCTAGAGTACGGAGACCTGTACGATTTCGTCAACTTAGTGAGTTTGATAGGGGCCGTATAGTGGGACTTCGGGAAGCTGGACTTTCTTTTCGGGCAATTGCAGTTAGAGTGCAAAGAAGTGTAGACACTGTGGTTAGGTGTTGTCAGGCATGGCTTCGAGAAGGCCGTACGCAAAGAGCAAGGGGCACTGGACGCCGCCGTAGAACAACAGACCGTGAAGATCGCCGCCTAAGATTATTGGCCTTAAGGGACCGTTTCTCCACTACCAGGTCCATTGCAAATGAATGGTTTGCAGAACACGGAAGACCTATTGGCATGCGAAGTGTTTACCGACGAATGAGAAGTTTTGGCTTGTTTTCATACCGGCCACACTGGGTCCTCCCTTTAACTCGAGAACACCGACGTAATCGCCTTGAGTGGTGCAGACAACGGTCACTTTGGGATCAGGAATGGAACAGTATAGTCTTTAGTGACGAGCCTCGATTTTGTTTAGGCATGCACGATGGTCGTGCCCGTGGTGAAAGGAGGAATCCACAGTTTTTTGTTGAAAGACATGTTCATCACACTGTTGGAGTTATGGTTTGGGGTGCTATAGCTTATGGTTCCAGGTCACCTTTAATCTTCATCGGAGGTAACATGAACCCGCAGCGTTATATCCACGAAGTTCTAGAACCCCATCTTTTACCCTATCTTGACACCCTGGCAGATCCAACTTTCCAACAAGATAATGCCCGACCACATGTTTCAAGAGTCACAATAGACTTCTTTCAACATAATGATGTCACATTGTTACCATGGCCACCAAGATCTCCCGACTTATCCCCAATTGAGCACGTGTGGGATATGATGGGTAGGAGATTGCTCAATTTGCAACATCCTCCTTAGACTCTAGAAGCACTTCGAGAGGAGTTGGTGGTTGCCTGGAATGAGATACCACAGGAGGGCATTGACCACCTGATCAGAAGCATGCCTAGGCGCGTTGGAGAATGCGTAGCACATCAGGGTGCATCCACACATTATTAAAGGTCAAAGGGCTTTAAAGCAGTGCAATCATTTTGAAATTTTTATCATTTACTTATTATGCTTCATTAAGTACTTATACAAAATTTTATTAAAATAAAACCATTTAAACTGGGTGTTCGGATTTATATGTCACTTAGTATATACGGTGTAATAGATTTTAATACTTTGGGAGGAATTTAATCCATGACAGAACTCGTTTATATCAATTTGTACTGATTTTACTATTCGCCCAGAAATATTTTTTGTCTAGATTTATAGTAAGAAAATTCCGGAGATATTCAAAGAAAATCCGTTCGTCTTTAAAATAAGCGGCTGACGCGAGATGGATCATTTATCAACTTGTAGTAGGCTCATAAGTAAATTGTCGACAATACCACAATATCTATTAGCAAACGAAGAAAAGAGTTGTGTTTTGAAACCGCAAAAGAACCCAGTCGATTCTTGCCACTAATAAGGTTTGATGAAATTGTCAAAAGCTTTAAATTGGTGAGGATCCCAAGATAATGTCGATGCTATTCAAAAAGTACTGCCCACTATTAAGCAACTATTATCTGTTACAGCTTCTTCAGCATCTGTCGAAAGAGTGTTTTTGACATTTGGTTTGGTACTTTCCAAACTTCGAAATCGCTTAGTAACCGAAAAAGCCGATAAATATTACAATTTACTTACCAAACGCATATTTTGTGTTTATGTTTTTTGTAGGTTAACTTTCGTTTTCACTGTACATATTATAATACCATTCAAGTATTATTTAGTAATCTTTATTTATTATTTATTCATGTAGGTAATATATCAAAACTATAAACTGCTTTTGTTGTTGTTAACTGGGGGTTTTTAAGTTTCATTTATGAATATTTACGTTGGACTGATGAGGACTTGTTTTTTCCAGCAATTCATAATTTGATTCAAATCACGATAATAGAAAAAATAAATTGACTTAAATCCCCGCAACCGTGATTCCAGTAAACCTACCGAAATATGAATAGTTATGGCATCACTGCCCCACTTACCAGTGAAACCTGCATCAAGGTAATGCCTTGCCCCCCACTCTCCTCAAACGTCAAACTATTCGCCTTCAGTATAACCACTTGCTTTCCTCTCTCTGTCAAGTCAGGCGTATAGAACTGGGTGTTGATATAACTATCGACTCGATCGTTCGATTCTGGCGCATCGTATAACCTTGGAATATCGGGGTGAGGTAGAAAGCCAGCCAATGAGATAGGCAGGAAACCGGTGACGAGCGCATCAAGGTCGATCTCGCCCCGATCGAAATCGAAATGCGTGCGCAGATGCAACAAGAGGGCGCATCGGTTGTAAAAGACGCACGGTTGGATTTCGGAGCAATTGGTGCAGGTGTACTGGAAGACCAGCACTCGGCGGTTCACGTGGTCTTGTAGGGCGGATTTCGTACTGAACCTAAAAAAATCAATGAAAAAAGTTATTTGTATCACAGTAAAACCACAGGAGCTTCGTTCTTGTTCGTTTTTCAACCGGCATCGCTACAGCGATACGCCGACTTCAGTGAATAGCAAGGTATAGAAGCATTAACAATGACAAACTGAAAGCATCGACAAAATATAATCAAACGTTTCCACTGATATCCTTAAAAACTGGAAAAAAACGTACTTAATCACCGCGAAGTTGATTATAGAGGTGGTGATATTCACCATAAGTGACTCTCTTTTTATTAAGTTCATGAACGCCTTATCTCTTTTCATTTCTTTTTCTAATTAGCCATCGTAGTAGTGGATTTTCCATAAGTAATAACCGCTTTGTTACCAAACTCTTCAGATCTAATTCGAGAAAATACCTGAAAAAACGTTGTATCAATATGAACACGACAACGCGCGCGATGATAACGCTCAAGCGGCATCGCTTAACGCTCGTCGCTCGAGCGGTGCCAATATGAACGCGACCTAAGACGTTTGTTTATGTAAGCTCACAAATATACGTATTTTTAGTTTAGTCTCACTGCCTTGAAAATTTTCTCATCAACGTTTACGTCTTCTAGAGAGGGCCGATATAGGGGGTCATAACCCCCCTTCTAGTTTGACCACTAATATTTATGACTTTGATAAATTTAATGAAATAAACACTTTTTGCAAAGATGTAACGGATACAAATGGGTAAAAAATTAACAGATTTGGTGGAAAATCACCACATCCCACGACACTGATCAATTAGTAAGCGCTTCGATGATGGTGTGGAAATAAGAGAGTTGCTTAAGTCTGGTTGAGTATACGTTCAGCTTGACCGAGCCATCTATGAGCGAACTTCCAATCCAAGGTCGGATCGCTCATGGATCGCTGTGTTTTTCTTGCTAGCTACAGTATATTCAGATAAGAGATAGACCGGATGTAAACAAAAGGTTCGGGTGATTTTCACGCTAACGCCGCCGTCTCGACGTAAAACAGGAGCCCTCATTGGTCAATTCGCAATTAAATGCCTATGCCGAGCGGCACAGCAGTCGTATCAAGGCAGAGTCACATTCAGGTTCAGACGTGTTACATATGTCGTGTGCATCATTGCAATTTGATATTTCTTTGGACGTTTTCGTTTGTTATCTTATTAAGTTGTTGAGTTTGTCGTTGTTATTGTTATACCTTGTTATTGATTGTTATTGTTATCAACTGCTTGAGCAAAATGCCCAGTAGTACAGATACTGCCGATGAAGTTGTAAACTCCTGTAGTCCACCTAGGAAACGCTCTAAAAAAAGACACCTGAGTGCAGAAATGAAAGAGGTCATTTTGAATATATATAAGATCGAGCGCGAGGAGAACGAGGCATCAACCATCAAAGAAATTGTTGTGAAGGTTTCTCACAAAGTTGGGGTGTGTCGCGCATCAGTGTTTAATGTTTTAAGACAATACAAAAAAAATCACACCTTTTCTGAGCCAATGACCAGTAAACATCGCAAAAGTATTGTTAAATCATTGGATGAAGCTGATAAGCATGCGATTAGGAGGAAAGTGCATGAATTCTTCTTTAGGAATGAAATACCTACTATAGATAAAGTACTGCAGGAGGTAAATGGAGATACAACGTTGCCAAATTTCAAACGATCAACTTTCCATGCGTTACTGAAGCACTTAAATTTCAAATGGAAAAAACGGGGTCGTAATAGTTTACTACTGGATAGAGAAGAAATTGTGCTATGGAGGAGGGATTATTTAAGAAAAATTGGGAAATATAGAAATCAAAACAGGAAGATTTATTACCTTGATGAAACGTGGGTAAACGCAGGACACACTACAAGTAAAGTATGGGTTGATGATTCTGTAACTTCATCCAGGAGGGCCTTTCTAGATGGACTGTCCACCGGATTAAAAAATCCAGCAGGTAAATACGAGTAATAGACAACAATCGGATGTTTTTCAAACCTTGGGAACAAGGTTCTAAACATTAATTCCAGGGGGCAGATAAAACATATTACAAGTAACAAAACTTTTATAACTTTCGATAAAATGCGTGGATGTTTTATTGTCATTTTCATTTGTTAGAACTTTTTTAAGCCATGTTTTTATGTGTTTTCGATATTTCAATAATTTTTTAATATAATCTTAAAATATGTCGAATATTATAAACTTAAAAAAAGTTACTAAGTTTTATATTGTGTACCGTTCCTAATATTTCTAATCATTTTAATTCATACTTTAAGCTTTATAAAGTTATAATTTGTTAATATTAATATTTGCGCGTATTTCAGGTTCCTGATCATTCATTTTTTAAAGGTTTATAACTTTAAATTAAATTGTGAAGCGCTGAGTAATCATACGACGTTCAATATTCTTTCTTTCAATATGCCTAAATAATCCCAATCATAGCAATCTGATACTCATGTCTCAATGTTTTTTCGCTGGATGTGATGAAAACATTTGAAAAAGGTTCGCTTATTGAAATAAATCTACACCAGTTAGTACTTCGATTTCCAGGTAAAGGGAAAAGGCTCATTATCTGCCATATTGGCAGTGAGGATGGATTTGTTGTTGACGGTCTGTGGTGCTTTGAGTCTAAGAAAACTGGAGATTACCACGAGGAAATGAATGGCGAATCGTTTGAACAGTGGTTTTCAAAAATTTTACCGAACTTAGAGGAAAACGCAGTAATTGTGTTGGATAATGCGCCTTATCATTCTCGAAGAATGGAGAAGGTCCCAACAACGGCTTCAAGGAAAGTTGATGTTCAAAATTGGCTCCGCTCGAAAAATATCAACTTTGAAGAAGCAATGCTGAAAGTACAATTATTAAGAATTGTCAAGGATCACAAGGCGGAATATCAAAAATACGCCATTGACGAAATGGCAGCAAGTCAAAATAAAACTGTGCTTCGTTTACCTCCATACCATTGCGAGCTCAATCCCATTGAGCTCATATGGGCAGAGGTTAAAAATTATATAGCTAAGCACAATACAACTTTTAAATTTTGTGACCTCAAAGGACTTTTTAAAGAAGCACTAGAATTAATAACAGCGCAAAAATGGGAAAACTGTATTAAGCACGTGAAAGACAAAGTTGAAAAGAGAATGTGGGAACTGGACAATATTTTAGAGGAACAAGTCGAGCCATTCATTATTGACGTTGGTGCTTCAGGCAGTAGCGATGATGAAAGCTCATCAAGCTCATCTTTCCAATAAAAGATGTCGTTCATCAAATTCGGTAAGTTATAAGTAATTATAAAGCTACTGTATTTTTTAATTAATTATTGACATTTTTGAACCCATTTTGGCAAAACCTATTCAAGAATCTACTTTCTGACAATGTTCAACCATGCACATTTTTTTACGTTTTGAACGTTTTAATTTGGTTACATATTTACCTATAAATCAAAAAATATACTAATCAATATTCTAAAAGCAATTTTAAGAGATATACGATTATTTTTAATTTAGGCTAATTTAAACGCCATTTTGAGATTATATTCGACTGTATTTCACCAAACATCAGGCGGCATCCGAAGCTGGAAATCGAAGCGAAAATTTTGAAACCCTTATGTATATTTACATCATTATATATTTCTTACCCCACCCCCACATGATCCTATATCCATCACCAATCGTATACACATCGAATTGTGCTAATTTACTACAAAGTTACGCAAAGCAGCATCTACTATCTAAAATATGTACTGCGTGACTCTTAATACGTCCCTGCCGAATGTTACAGCGTTCGATGATCACGTGGTCTTGTTTATGTCCGGTCTATCTCTTATCTGAATATACTTTAGTAATGGCGGATTTCAAAGACATTCCATGCAGTGCCCTCTCTTGGTATAAGTACTTTTTGGGTTACATTTAAGAACAGGGCGTGTATAAACTTTTTAGGTTACACTAGTACTTATTGCGGCACAGATTTGGCTCGAAATTGTACGTTAGTGTTTTAGAGGGCAAGTTATGTCACTCTCGATAATAGACAAAAATTATGGAAAATAGCCAAATTAGACCTACATAATATATGAAGTTGCTACAGATTTGATAAGCAAGCTCTTGGACTATGAAATACAGCTGTTGGCTGTGTAGTGATAGAAAGTTATACGTCATGGGCGTTAGGCAACCATGCATACATAACTATACATGTGGCTAAGTTTGTAACGGTTGCTTTTGATCCGATCCAAACTTTATAGACCATAGAACACTAAATGCAACGGGTTCAAGTAAGAAATTCATATCACATTTCTACATGACCTTCGACCTATGAAAACATTGACGAAGATGCTATATGTCGTGATAAAACTTTTCTCGATAGCTGGTCATTCGTTTATCTTCAGAACAATATCGAGCGGATCATTACCATCCCACTGAGTAGAAGAGTCAAGACTCCTAAATTTCATGAAGAGTATTCTCACATTTACCGTCACCAGCAAGCAATGTCAAGATGATTGAGGTCCAGAATTTGGATCCAAAAGGGCCACGGCACCGGGGCGGCTCAAGTTTTTGATTTTTCCCGTACCTTTATGGGGCAGCAAACCTCAAGAGGCAAACTGCGCTGAAACTTAAAATACCTGTACGCCTCTAATGTGGGTGGAACATCTATTGAAGCCTTCTTGTGCCGTTTTTTTTTTTCATTACAACAACCCAGGCCGTGAAGGCACCACTAGCTTACCGTTTTCTATAAGCTAGGCTACGGTGGCGCCATCTTTCTGCTAACTTATTGACTAACGGTGCAACACTACAAAAGGGCGTACCGTTTTTGCTGCAACGCTAGTTTTAGACTATGTCAAACATATTATTCAGCAGACTCGTGGTCGTCATATCTTTTTAGCTCTCTGGGCATAGCGTGAGCAGCCAAGCAAAGTTTGCAGTTCAAATTTGTTGAGAGCATGAAAAATGACGCATCACAGCTGTCGCGAATCGTTTCTCAAACTTTATGTTCTATGCTCCATGGACTACAAACATCCACCTATAAACTTTTGATACTTTTTATTACAAATTCCCTGCTATTATCTACTTTATTTAAAATATTAGGCTTAGCAGAGTATATATGTTGATTCAAATGCTTATGCAGTGATAAAGTACAAAACGCATATTTGAGTAAACATATAGACTGTTTTGAGAAAATAAAATGGAAATGTCAAAACAAAAATGACTGATACTACAAATAGATTGAAACTGCTCAGTACTTTTTCACAAAGAGACTGAACTTGAACTCAAAATAAAATGAATTTTCAACATATCAATTAGTATACTTACATATGTCTGCAAGCGTAACATGGGTACACAGCGAGTCCAATGGCAGGCTTGAAGCTCATCCATTCTTTCAAACTGTCTTCAAACAGTAGATCAAACTTTGTAAGCAACGAGTCCCTACGTTTCTGTTGAACAGAAAAATCAAAATATGCTCATCATGAATGAAAAATATGCTCACCCCAAATGTGTACCCAGAATCGAAATGTCTTTCTACAGGAACCGGCATACTTATGGGCATCTGACAATTCACTGGGTGTAGTGTCATGTGTGGCACATTTTATATAGCAGCAACCTTAACGATAAAAATAATACATATGTATCACGAGGAATATACTATTTGTATACAAATAATGATAATTGTATATAAATAATAAATTTACCTTACCTGTAGGTGTGTTGGTAAACTTTATGGACTCACTCAAATTATACAGAACGAAAATAGCTTCTAGTGTTTTGATTTTGCCAGATTTTTCTCGGTAGTGCAGTCATCTAGCTGTCATTTGAACCGCCTCCTTGCTACGCGCTAGCTGTCAAAAGTTGGGCGAGCGACTGAGTAAGTTTATAGGGATCGTTTTCGAAAGGATGGATGTAACACTGCATGTGGTGTTTTTGATATCATAATTTAGGTTCCGAAGTGGTCGATTCTGGTGTGATAGATGGCGCTTTGCGCGACTTATTTCGATAGACCGTACCTCCGGTATAGAGGATAGTAGCGATGCTTTCGTTCGTTCATCCTAGGAACCAAGTCTATACCATGCGGATGAGTAGCCAAGAAGCACGAAACATAATGTTTACGTTTAGTTCTTCCTACCTCACTTTCATGTGAATTTTGTAAGCACAGGGTGTCCGCAAAGTTGGGGTTTTCCTTTACACGGCGTGTAAATCTTGAGAAAATAAGAGGATTTTCTTAGTAGTATATATACAGATATACACCAATGTCTTAAGAGAACCGAGATATTGGGCTCTGCAAACTCAATCAAACCTGAACCAAACCGAAGTCGGTCCTATCTCTCGATCACATCCACAGTACCAGAGGCAGCGGCGAGCGTACAGTTAGTTATACGACATACGAGTACGATGTAAATATACTAGTCTGCAACCTAACCTAGACGCCGGTAGTGTAGATCAACAAACCATTATATTGGTAACCGATTACTGTTCAAAAAATACCATACACCAATAGCGAACTAGTCGACATGCTGTTAATTTACGGTGAGTGTCTTCAAAATGCGACCGAGGCTTCGCGAGTTAATGCAGATCGTTTCCCCAGACGTCATCATCCAAGGACCCGTAGATTTGTTTACCTTGTGAAGAGACTCAGAGATACGGGTCGTTCGGAGGAATGACGAGGTGGGCATAGTGGTAGACCTAGACAACCCCGAATGGTGCAAGCTGAGGAATAAGTACTGAATCTTGTAGACGGGAATCCTTCAACAAGCACTAGGGATGTGGCTAGACAAGTGCAAAAGACTAAACTGTGGCAGACACTGCATCATGAGGAATTGTACCCGTTTCACGTGCATCGTGTACAATCCTTCCAAGTTGAGAATTTTCCTGCAAGAGTGCGTTTTTCTAAGTGGTTGTTGCATTCGGGACAGGGACTCCACTCTAAAAGCCTGCACCGATGATTGGCCATGTCGAGCACGCACATGTTTTTGAATCCAACGGTGCTTATAAAATACGTTCACCAAGAAAAAGTGACACCGACGTCATATTTTCGATCTCTTTTAATTATTTTTGTTACATGTGCTCCTAGGATTTTACGACAGAACCGTACTTGGAATTTCAATTCAACCGAACAGTGTGTACTTTTTCATTTATTTCTTTTTTACTTGTTCGCTCACGTTTCACCACACATTAGCTGTGTTATATCAAGCGTAGTTGTGTCTGAAAAGGAAAACCCCAACTGTTTTTCGAGTAAAACCCCGAATATAAATAATTACTGAAAGGACCGAGAATACAAATGCACTGTGTAATGAGGTTCAAAAGTCTTGTTTTTTGCTCTCATTAAAAGAATAGGAATGTCTGCCGATGATTTTAACGTCATAATTATGTTCTATCTTGATCACTGCTGATTTTATCAATCAAATGAAGTCCAGGATTCGAGATAGCAGTAGCCCGCATTTTGCAATTTTTAAATATTATTCTTAATTAAAGGAATATAACTGATGTTTTATCTATAATATTTTATTGATAATTCTGTGTTCCCCACACAAACCTTATATCGATAGTAATTCATACATTTTACTTACAATATAATAAATACACAACATACATATCGTTATGTTAAACACAAACATATCACTTATTTTATGGAACACAAATTCTGGTAAAATAATTCAATACAAATATTCAATTTCATTCGAAGTCTAATTTCTGTAATACACGCGCTGTGATGCTAAAAATCATCAAAAGTTGGTAGAACCGAGTTAATTTGAGGTTAAATTCTAGACTTTGATAATTTCAATTACAATCACCATTATAATTTACGTATTGTTTTCTTTTACAACTATGGCTAATACAAATCGGCAATAAAATTGAAATAAACATCAACATAAAAGCAGGAAGTATATTTTTAAAGAGTTGAGTTCTTGCAAAAGCAAATTTAGGCTGCCAGTTCTTGAAGCTAAGCTAAGTTTAATCCACCTCAAAAAAATATTTAAAATAATACTGAGAGTACTATCAAAACAAAATAAACATAGAAACTATATGACGGCTAGAAACGTTAAAATTAAAAAACAAGCAAATAAATAAATAGGAAAATAACGCATATAAAAAATATCTATCACAATCACTGAAAATGAGATCACAAAATAATACTTGTAAGTTTTCTGGGATCTAATCTGTGGAATGACAAGAATACTTGAAGCTATAAAAATAAACAAAATGCAAGATTTTAAATAGATTGCTTGGGGCTGAATGTAGAGTCGTTCCTTAAGGCTTCCTTATTCTAAGGACGCCTTATTTATCTTGTCACTTGGGCGCACCTGTCAAATATGAATGGGACAACTTTCTAGGAACTTATTATCTTGGTTGGGACTCTGCGTTTTTTTATGAAAGGTGGTGAAATAATAAGGAAGCCTTAATTTAACGATAATTCAAGGAGAAGGTCTCACATCAAACAACTTCGCCCTCTCCTTAGAGAAAAAATTTACATCAAGAAGCAACTGACTAAATTTGAGGTTATGGGCCCAAATTCTAGACTTCAATCATTTCAATTAGAATTTTTGATACTATTATAATTTACTTATTTATTTTTTTGGAAACTTGACAAATATAAATTGGCAATAAAAATGAAACGAGCATTAACATAAAAAATGGAAAGTATAGTTCTTACAAAAACAATTGATGGCGGCTGGTTTAATCGACCCCAAAATAAATAATATTTGAAATGGTAATACTGAAAGTATTGTCAATCAGTCATTACAAATTAAAAACAGGATCTAGATGAAGACTAGAAACGTTAAAATTAAAATAACAAAAAGTAAATATAAAAATAACGAATATAAAAAATATATATCACAAACACTGGAAACGAGGTCACAAAATAAATTTTCTAGGATCTAAGCAATCGAATGACGAGAATACTTAAAGCTATAAAAATAAACAAAAGGTAAAATTTTATATCGATTGTTTAGGGCCGAATGTATAGTCGTTTTTTGACGCTTCCTTATTCTAAAGAGGTCTTGTTTGCTCACTTGGGCGCAACAGGTGACTTGTCAAATATCAAAGAAGGTAACTTTTTTCGATATTATTATATCTTAATTCATTATTTATGTGATGCTTGATGCGGTATGTGCTATGAAGACTAACATGGGTAGGCCTCTGCACTTCTTATGGAAGGTAGTGGAATAAAGAAGCCTTAATGTAACGATATTCAAAGAGAAGCCCTCGGATCAAACATGTTCGCCTTCTCCCTTGAGAAAATAAATAAAATCAAAAGCTGTCAGAAGCAACTGACTGAATTTAAGGTTATGGGTCCAAATTCTAGACTCCAGTCATTTCAATTACAATTTTTGATACTATTATAATTTACGTATTGTTTTCTTATTCAAATGTGACAAATACAAATCGCCAATAAAGTCGAAATAAATGTTAACATAAAAAACAGGAAGTATATTTTTCAAGAGACGAGTTCTTACAAAAATAATTTTAGACAGCTAGTTTTTGAAGCTAAACTAAGCACATCAAAATAAATAATACTTAAAACAATAATACTGACAGTATTAAAAATAAACAACTAGGTGAAGACTAGACGTGTTAAAACCAAAATAACAAAAAGTAAATAAACATGAAAATAACGAATATAAAAACATTTGTCACAAGCACTGGAAACGAGATCACAAAATAATATTTGAAGTTTTCTGCCCAAACAAACGATCTGGAATTTAACATCCTTCCTCTTCGTCCTCAATTTTGATAGTGATGTCTTCCATATCTTCGAGGTTATTGATAACATTCTCTTCATGATGCACCTCTTCAAAATGCTCGATCAATTCTTCCCTATTCGGGAACGTTTCATCGCAAAAATCGCAGTCGTGTTCGGTGTCCTGTACTTTCTTATGTCTACCAAATGTCATGTGTTTTTCGTAACTTTTCTTATGCTTGAAGCGTTTTTTACACACGTCGCATTCGAAGGGTTTAACAGTCGAGTGTTTGTTCATGTGGTACTTTAAGTACTGCTTCACCCTAGGAGTGAGATAAGGAACCTTAAGTTTTACTATTGATTAACGCATTTTCCATGGTGACAATTCTACGATAAGGTCAACCGGGGATGACCAAATCGTTACATATACACGATTTTACGATATAGTCAATGGTAGATGGCCAAACCTATGAACGTTGACAATTTTATAATATGGTTGTTTTTTTATTTGTTATTTTTTGTATATTATTTAATTTATTATAGCTCTGACATTATCATCGACTGAATCACAACTTTTTTTTCATTTTATATTCCTTGACAATTTGAGGATACTTTTTTCAAGTCACATGGCAATAAAGATATTATACATTGTGGATGACCTAATCGTTAAATTTTGAAGATTTTACGATATGATCAATCGTGGATGATCAAATCGTTAAACATTGACGATTTTCTGATGTGGTCAATCGTGGATGGCCAAATGGTTAAACGTTAACGATTTTACGATATGGTCAATCGGAAAAATCATTAAACGTTGAGAATATTACAATATGGTCGGTCAATCGTTAACAGCAAACTTGTTAACCGTTGGTTTTTACGATATGGTCAAAACGTGGATGACCAAATCGTTACGCTAGGACAATTTTATGTTATGGTCAATACTGAATGACCAAATCGTCACACGTACACGAATTTACGATATAGTCAATAGTGGATGGCCGAACCAATGTTCGTTGACGATTTATGATATTGATTATTGTGGATGACCAAATCGTTAGATGTTAACAATTTAACGATATGGCCAATCGCGGATGATCTGATCGTTAAACGTTGACGATTCAACGATATGGAGAATCGTGGGTGATCAAATCGTTAAACGTTGACGATTTTACGATATGGTTAATCGTGGATGACCTAATCGTTAAACATTGAAGATTTTACTGTTTGGTTAATAGCTAAACATTGACGATTTTAGGATATTGTCAAACGTAGATGATCAAATCGTTACACATTGAGTTTTACGATATGGTCAATTGTGATTTACCAAATCGTTACACGTCGAGTTTTACGATATGGTCAATCTTGAATGACGAAATCGTTACGCGTTATAGATTTTACAATATAGTCAATCCTGGATAACCAAATCATTAAAAGTCGACGATTTCACGATATGGTAAATCGCGGAAGGTAAAATCATCATGTGTTCATGAAATGGACAATATACTATCACTTCCTTTTAAATTCTAACACGAATCTAGACAGATCAGCATGTATGCATTCAGTAGTAGAAGAGTGTGCTAGATATCCTTCAAATAAAGATGCGCGTACATATTAAAAATTGATATCGGAATTTTGTGGCATACCTAATACATAATATTATAAGCTTAAGTGGGACTGGCTATTTTCTGCTGGGTAATTTTGATCAATGGTTAAGTTCCTTACTTGAATTTCTGGAGGCATATCTCGCACTGATACTTCTCTTCTGTAGCATGACAGAACTTGTGCACATACAGCCTTCTATTGGTCTTAAACGTTTTTGAACAAACTTCACATTGAAAATTTCTGACGTCACTGTGCGTAGCCATGTGGTTTTTCAGGCTGGTTCGTGTCGAGAAGGATTTTTGGCACACGTGACATTTGTGGTTTCTCGCACCCGTATGAGTTACAGAGTGGATCTCAAGGTTGTACCTGAAATAATGGCGTCAAGTAGATTGACGATAGTAGGAATCAGGATCAGATCAATAGGAATCAGGCAAGGCAACATAAAAAATAATTTCAAGGGTCGAAATTCAGTTAAAATCAAGATCCATGCATTTACTGTCTTTACCGTCTGATACATTGTCCACCTAGTTCCTTTGGAACTATGTTTACAGGGATAAGAGAGTACAATTGAGGAATTAGAATTCTACATTACTTGTGTCAAAAAAACACTCTAAATGCGTGGACCAACATTTAAAAAATGTCTTTCTATTAAACGAATAAAATAGATGCTTTTGTTTGATTTAATATGAAAAAAATTGTCCCTAGAATCGGGTTTGAGTTTACAGGGATAAGAGAGTTCAAATGAGGAATTAGAAATCTGCATTACTTGTGTCAAAAAAACACTCGTAATGCATGGACGCCAGTTACGACCAACATTTTAAAAATGTCTTTCTATTAAACGAATGAAATGGATGCTTTTGTTTGATTTAATATGAAAAAAAATCCTCTAAATGTCTCTAGAATCGGGTTTGAGTTTCTTGATTCAACAGCACAGTGACATACTATCAATCAAGAAATAGTGTGGTAAAAAATTAAAATTTTTAGGACTGATCATTGATTTTAAATTAAATTTTAGTAATCATGTAGACCAACTGCTTATTCAACTAGTAAAGATTTCCTTTATTTTAAAAACAATTAGTTACAACGTAGAAAAAAGCACAGCCTTAAGCAAGTAGATTGAAATATAGCATTTCCTTTTGGTGTGTCTGTTCCCAAAATTGTTTAACAAAGGAACTTACAAATACGGACTATTATATAACTAAAAGTAATCTCCGAGGTGCATGCAGGCCTTTATTTATTAATCTCAAAATAATGTCTGTTGTATCATTGTTCATTTTAGAAACAGCAGATCTTATTTTAAAAATAAACCCAAAATCGAGACGTCAAATAAGGGTTACGGTATCAGACGAAAACAAGATCTTAAATTAGTAGTACCTAAAACAATGGATCATTTATGATAGTCTGAAAATGTACATGTGCCTCAAATCAAAAAAATCAACAATTTAAAGATATTTTGCCGTGAACGTAAAAACTTCCTTGTTTTTATTTCCATATTATAGCATATGTGAATTCTACAATTATTTTACTTGAGATCCACTTATATAATCTTGTTTAGTTTTAAGTTAGCTTTGTCATTAAGAATTACTGTATTTTTCAGACAATATTATATATATATATATATATATATATATATATTATATTTATCTATCTATAAATGAAGACTTGAAACTTGTCTCAAAATGGTTAGTATCTAACAGACTAAAATTAAATGCAAGTAAAACGAAAGCCTTGTTAATCGGAAAAAAACAATGTACAAATGTTCAACTGGATATTGATGGTGAAGATATTGAATTCGTCGAAAATTTTAAATACCTGGGGGCTTTTGTTAACTGTCGATTAATTTTTGATATTCATTATGAAAAAGTTATAAATAAGATTAGTAGTAAAGTGGGATATTTATCGAGAGTTTCTGCATGTCTGAGTTCATATAGCAGAAAAATTATCTATAATACCATCATTCTTCCAAATTTCTTGTACTGTTCGACTATTCTATATTTAGCAAATAATTCCATTTTTGGAAGACTGCAAATTTTACAAAATAAGTGCATGAGAATAATACTAAATAAAGATAAATATACTCCAATTAGGCAAATGCTTAGCAAATTAAAATGGCTCAATGTAAAAAATTTTATCAAATATCTTGTAATGATATTCATTTATAAAGTAAAAAATTATATATTTCCATCAAGTCTAACTAATTTAACATCATCAAATGTCGACCATCATTTACATAATACCAGAAATAAAGATGACTTCCATTTAATGACCAAAAAGTATAACATATGCTACAAATCTGTATTCCATCAAGGGTTGATTGAATATAATAAATTATACTCGGAGATAAAAGACCAGAAAACTTTGACAAAATTTAAAGTAAAATTGTGAAATCACTTGTTAAATCTACAATTATAGGTTGCCCAGCATTTACATCATACACCATATGGCTTGAATTTACTAGTTCTAAGTTGTTTACAATTATTCTGTTTATGTAGCCAAATGTGCTAAATAAATCTTTCTACTACTACTATCTATTACTTCCATTTAGCTATTTTTTCATACCTGGATGAAAACACCATGTCACACTCTGGACACTTGAAACACTTGTCGTGCGTTTTCAAATGATTCTTCAACAATGGCAAATTGATAAACTCCTTATCACAAATGTTGCATTTCCTAACTTGCTCATCTTTCCTGTGTTGCAGTCTGATATGCTCCGTTAAATTTTTCGCTTTAGTAAATCTTTTTTGGCAAAACTCACATTCGGCCGGTTTCGAATCTTCGTGGGTTTTTTTGTGGCGTGTGAACGCTGCTCGGTCAAAAAATACCTGAACAAAAAGACAAAAAATGTACACAAATGGCATTCAGTTATGTACCCCAGCTAATAGGTATTTTTTCTTTACAAAAAGTGCAACAAAAATTGAAGTTATTAGCGTGCAGAGCATTGTTCATGGATCCAAAATGTGGTGATTAGTATTTCGATACCTCAAGGGCATCATGTTGTTTGTCTTTTGGGAAAATAATATGACAGTTTGGCCTTGAGGTAGCGAAGCAAAAAAACTGGTTATTTGGGTTGCACCAACGCACTATTTTTCGAATTGAAAAGTGCATTTGCAGCATCAATAGTTCAAGATTGCACAACAGTTACAACACTTTTTGGGCGAGTTTTTGCGTTCTCGAAATGGTTTCACGTTTCCGGGGCGATCAACGAGGGTGGCCTGTCTAGAACATTCAAAATTCAAATATTCGCTTGTTACTTGGGGGGCTGTACATCTTCTGGGTTCTATTTGGCAACTCCTGCTGCCAACAGCTGTCCATGATTGGTCGTCTGTGGTCGGACGAACGGAAGCTATATCACCGGTTATGTTAATCAATTTTTTTGCTTACCTCATTACAAACGTCACAGTGATTCTTTACATGAGCCCTCTTAATATGCCTCTTTATTCTATACATCGATGGGTATATCTTTCCACAAAAATCACAGGGGAATTTGAGCTCCTTATGAGTGCTGAGATGGCACTCCAATCCTCGATCATTATTGAATTTTTTGTTGCAAAGGCCGCATTTGATGTCCACTGTTTTTCCATGGGAGGCCATGTGTTGTCGGAAACTGGGACGGTCGGCACATTCTTTGTTGCAAACCTGCGATATGTCGTTTTTTTATCAAGATCCACATATCTTTTCGAAAAAATTATCAAAGGAAGTCAACAATTGCAGGGTTTGAAGCAATAAGGTACCTAAGCAACATATACTTTAAAATCTAAAGTACTAAGTTTTATGTAAATCCTGAAATCACGTTTTTTGCTGAATTTTGTTTATTTGTTTATTGAAGATTTATTCAGCATTAATGCTACAATGTCAGTTTTGTATAATTATTAGTTTACATATTTTTTCTGTATTTACATTTTTGTCTATTAAAATTACTTCACTATGCATTTTGAGTAATCATAGTGATATTTTAATTTCACCTTAAACATTTTTGAATTTGAACACTATTTAATATCATTATTCAATTTATTAAATTCAAATACTCCCTACTGAAATACAGATTTGCTAGTTATCTACTATGCAGATGAACATATATACTGCATCCAGTTTCTTAGTTATGATAATGACTAGTAGTAGTAGTAGAAAGATTTATTTAGCACATTTGGCTACATAAACAGAATAATTGTAAAACTAGTAAATTCAAGCCATATGGTGTATGATGTAAATGCTGGGCAACCTATAATTGTAGATTTAACAAGTGATTTCTCAATTTTACTTTAAATTTTGTCAAAGTTTTCTGGTATTTTATCTCCGAGTATAATTTATTATATTCAATCAACCCTTGATGGAATACAGATTTGTAGCATATGTTATACTTTTTGGTCATTAAATGGAAGTCATCTTTATTTCTGGTATTATGTAAATGATGGTCGACATTTGATGATGTTAAATTAGTTAGACTTGATGGAAATATATTATTTTTTACTTTATAAATGAATATCATTACAAGATATTTGATAAAATTTTTTACATTGAGCCATTTTAATTTGCTAAGCATTTGCCCAATTGGAGTATTTTTATCTTTACTTAGTATTATTCTCATGCACTTATTTTGTAAAATTTACAGTCTTTCAAAAATGGAATTATTTGCTAAATATAGAATAGTCGAACAGTACAAGAAATTTGGAAGAATGATGGTATTATAGATAATTTTTCTGCTATATGAACTCAGACATCCAGAAACTCTCGATAAATATCCCACTTTACTACTAATCTTATTTATAACTTTTTCATAATGAATATCAAAAATTAATCGAGAGTCAACAAAAACTCCCAGGTATTTAAAATTTTCTACGAATTCAATATCTTCACCATCAATATTCAGTTGAACATTTGTACATTGTTTTTTTCCGATTAACAAGGCTTTTGTTTCGACTATTTGATTTTCTGAAGTTTTCTAAATGTGGTGGTAATAAATGAGAACTAAAATGTTACAAATTTCTCTTATTTCTGGTGTTATATTCGTGAACATCTTTAAAGATTTGGTATGAGTCACATGTTGTCTTGACAAACATTGGATAGAACATCAATGTGGCTTTTCCTTTGGAAACTAGGGTCAAGTGACACACCGAAAAATTTAATGTGATCCTCATTTTGGCTGTTTGTTTCTCCCGAAGAGAATACAAGTTGCTTATTTTTTTCATCATTTAGCAAAAACTTGGAATAAAACCAGATTTTGGCTTTTTCCAATTCAGCATCTGTTTGCTGTTGTACTTCCATCAGATAGCTAGCTGCAAGAGATATTGATGTGCCATCTGCAAAGAGGGTATATTTGGGCATTAACCCATTATTTGGAAGAGTATGGGGCCTAGCACAGAACCTTGTGGCACTCCACCCAATGTCTTCCTCTTTGCAGACCTCACGCCATCAATCTCTACGGTTTGATATCTCTCTTGTAAACAGGACTCTCTCAACGCAATGCTAGTGGGGGAAAAGTTATAGCAAGCAAATTTTCTCAGATGAATCTTGTGATTGTCACAAACAGACAATGGTATGTTCTGATAAATACATGGTTTGAAACCATTATCTAGTGATATTGTGAGAATAACCCAAAAATAGTTCTATCAGTGAATTGTCAAAAAAATCATGCCACCGGTGCTTTCAGATGGAAATATGGTTTTTCAATCAAATGTGCCTTAAGTACCTTATTTCCTCAAGTCCTTCAATGATCATGATTTTGTAGGGCAAACATCCTATGTTGCAAAAATTAGGTAACATAATTTGTAATATGGCTGTAAAAAAATGTTACACTGTCTTGAGTCAAAATGTAAGGTATACAATAATGGTTGTACAATTCCTGTCAGTTTTGGAATCTATGCACCTGATTTACATGCCAGTGATAACAGCCTTCATGAATTTGATCCTCCATAAGATAAAAAATTTACCTTGCAAATGAACTCCTTGATTTTCTCATAATGAACAACCAGGTGACTTCTCAAAGACATCTGATTTTTGAAGGCCTTCTCACACTTTGTACATTTGAAAATTTTTTCAGTGCTGTGACATCTTTTGTGGAGCTTAACATGGTGTTTTGAAATGAAGCATTTGTCACACTGATCACATTTAAATGGCTTCAGGCCCAGGTGTTTATTGATGTGATCTCTCAACTTGCTGATGTTTTGACAAACTATGTTACAAATATGGCATCTAAAAACAACGTATGAAGTCAAGTTAAACAGTAGTATCTAACTGGATTTTAAGCGTAGTCACCATTCTTGGTGGTTACATCATCAACCCCATATGACATAAGTAAAGAGTCTCCATACCATGGGTGCACACAAACTGGGGGACTTCTCCATTAATCATATTTCCAGGCATTGTACAATTTTATATTGAAGATAGATAACAGAACAACTCAGATTGCACACCAATGTCAAGTAAGTTGTTACTCTAACAAATATGATTAAAGGGCACCGATACATAATGACAGAGTTTTCGAGATGGAGACACGCAACTAAAAAACGTACGTCTTTCAGCTTACCAAACAAACGTTCACACACAGGGGTCGGTTGCATGTGTATGTATGTATGAGGGAGATGGAGATATATAGAGGGATACTGGTAGTCTTACATTGACCCACCAAGAACAGTGACCACAACTATAGCTATGCAATAATCACAAATCCTCAATTTAGAATATTAGATAGATCATGGCATATTTAATGCAAAATGAAAAACAAAGAATTTTAACAAATATGTCTTGACAGTTGTCTACAAAATTCACATATTCACCTTCTTTTTTCTATGCTGTGATTCTTTTTATGTATCCTATACTCTGGGAACTTCAAGAATATTTCATTACATATTTGGCACTTATATGAAGTATTTGCTAAAGGTGCCTTTCCAGTGTTTATGTTTTCATCTTGCTTGTTGATTTCCTTAACGTCTTTTTCTAGATCTGAAGGTAACAATTCATAATTATCTTCTACTTCTTCCTTTATTTCTTCTTTGGTTAATATTAAATTGTCTATATGATTTGTACTATTGCTGTGCTGAAATTCATTTTGCTGGTAAATTTTGATTTTTTGGAAGTTTTGCGAATCGGGGTCTTGTTTTATAGAATTTAGAGGTAAAGCGTAATCGGGAGGCTCTTCTTTTATCTTGATTTCAATATTTTCTGTTCCAGATTGTGCCATATTTGAAGGTGAAATTTAAAAAATCAATGGAATATTCTTCAACCCTCCCCTAAAATTGCTCTTAGAAAAATCTCATTTTGCAGGTCGTATTTTTTTTATCCGTCAGTGGCGTTTGATTCATTGTGGCGTACTTAAATGTTGCTGCTAAAAATTATCAACACTTTCTTTTAACTTAAAGGATTATTTTTACATTCATTTGGAACGTATATTAATTTTTTCGCGACTTGTATTCCTAGAAGTCGGACATCTGTCAAAATAAATCCATCTGTCAATTAGCGATGGGCAAACTTAACCGGTTAAGTGGATAACAGAATTTTCTAAATCAAATTAACCTGCTATAACCGCTTATTTCATAATGTACGGTTAACAGGTTAAAAAATGCAATAAGCGAAAGGAAGGTTTTTCTTTTTCTATCTACACAAATCTCGGCAAATATCAGCGTAGTGAATATTACTGCTGTGTTGGTTTTGTTTTTCTTTAAAACTCCCCCAACGCACCGCCCCATATGTATAGCAATGCCGGTATAACCGCATCGTTATTATGCAAAACATCTATATAATGTCAAAAAAAAAACAATAAAATGCCATTTTGTTGAGTATGTAGACTACTGGGCAAATAGCTCATTTCGCGCTTGCTACATGAAATGAAAGACAGCTCGGTCTTGACTTCTTGTTGGAGTTGTTGAATCTTGTCGTCCAAGTTACGTAATACCCCTGCTGCTTTTGGGCTAGCTCTAGGTTCTAATAGATGTTCTGTGGCCACAAAACGCCTTTTTATGTCATGGTTTATGACAAGATTTGTCGTTTGACAGATTCCAACTTCACGTTTCCCGCATTTACATCTATTGTAAGTCGTAAGTCTACATAAATGCCCTTCTGTGTACGTTTATACTATGTACTATGCGCTTGGCTAGCCACAGTGTAAACATGACCAATGACACTTTAAATTGTTGATGGACAAAAATAAAGGTTATTTTTCGTTTAACCGGTTAAATTTGTTCCGGGTGCCGGTTAAAATTATTGATGTAATAACCGGTTTTTTTATCAACAACCGCCCATCTCTACTGTCCATAGAATTATCAGAGATGGGGAACTCAAAAAAGTATGGATACTGAATCGAATAAATATTCATTCCGTTGAGACGAATTTGGGGTAGAGAATGGGTTTGATTCTAGCGCCAAATTGGAAGTGGATTCGGAATCTACGCACGCAATTTATCGAGAAGAATACACGCGATTTTCGGAAGTTATTCCTTGAGTTGAATATATCCCGAGAAGTCCCCAGTCAAGCTGCTCTGTATTTTCCAGGTAAAAATACTTGAAAAAAGGTAAGATCCATTCTACTTATGAACAAGGACCACAAAGATGACTTTGGACTAAACCTGATAATTTTTGACGAGGATCAATGTTGACCTTGGATTCAACCTTAAGCCTCAACTTCAAAGTCATTATAGCACACAAGAACATATCAGAGCGTACAATTTTCCGTGCGCCGGTGTGAAAAAAAGTTGACCTTCAAATGAAGGTGAGTTTCAAGTTTGAATCCAAAGTCAACAATAATTCTGCTAAACATCTAGAAATTCCTTATAGCCTCACACATTTGACATTTTTTTCTTAGATTTTAATAAATATTCGGACGTTGAACTTTCCGTTCTTTTAAATTGCGATTTCCGTTTAAAAAACAAAAGTTGCCTTGAAGTAACCATAAAACGAGGAAGCTCAAATCCAAGGTCAACAATGAATTCCTTGCTCAATGTTAGTATAGACTGTTTTCAAAAATACCTTTCCTTCCGGTATTTTTGTTATACCCTGTATGTAGTACTTTAAGGTTTTGGTTGATGGAAGTGTAAATGATTCTTATATCTTCATTTTATTCCCATTAAATATTTTACAAATTGTTCCTGCAGGGGGTTTACAGTGATTAGAATATTAAAAAGAGTATTTAGAATAGTACAAGTTAAACTATTTATAACTATACAGCTTACATAATTTAAATGAAGCATACAAATTTTACAAAAATGTTCATTCGTTACATTATGTACAAAAATCCGTTATTACTATCAGAAGCATACTATGTTTGACTATAAAAGCTAACATTTTTTTTACAAATGGAAAATCTTCAATTTGAAGAAACGAAATTAGTGAAATCACTAACTAGAATGTAACTGAAACCCTAATCAAATTATCAAAGAAAAAGTTGTACTAATGTTTAATAATATACAAAATCGATGGATATAGAAAACACGGGTAACATTTATAACTTCAATAAAATATATTTGTTGTTTAATTGGTTCTACACACGGTATCAGGGTTTATACAGCTAGGTTCTGTGGATTTTTTTCTAAATAACTGCATTGAAAATATTAAATACAATAATACTGACACTTTATATTAGCTATGGATCAACTATTTACATGTACCAGAATGCAACAATAAAGGGATTTACCTAAGGAACCATAAAAATTAAGGAATAATGCAACAATTGTAGTATTGTAATTATTATTTTTGTATTATCACAACCAAGGACTATATTATAAGGAAAAAAATATATGTATACGCATTGTAACGTATCGTACCTGAAGACAGCGCCATCCTGGTACTATTTTCCCGCGTCCTAAAATTATTCGAAATGAAATGAGATAGCATAGCGTCATCTATGACAATTTGTTACATATGTTTCTCTAAATCTCCTTTGAAAAGGTTAGTGTCTCATAGATGGCGCTGTAGATTTATACTCATATATATTTGGCTACAGTTCAACATTAAGGCCCGTATCGTCAGTCGTCCCTACAATTGTAGGGCGCCTTTATGGCCTCCTTGATTGTCATAGTTTTCCACTTCTCCGTGTCAGAAATCTATTTTGAGGTTATGTCACAAACATCTATTTGCATCAAATTGTGCTTGCTTTTGAGTTATATCATGTTTTATCAGCCTGAAATTTCCTACAATTTAAAAAGAAAACATATCTTCACAGTAGGAGAGCGCTGACGCTGACACGGGACAAGTGTAATCTAGAAATTTTTGAAGGAGAGAAAGGAGTATGACAATCAAGGAGGCCATAAACGCGCCCTAAAATTGTAGGGACGACTGACGATACGGGCCTAAGGCAACACGTTCTATCTACCTGAAACAAAGCTGTGGGAATTTTTAAACGACTATGCCCCTGCTACGAGGAAACAGTCGATAATCAACCACACTTAATTACTTTTATACAAATCTATTATTAGGCCTATCATGATGTATGCATACGCGGCTTGGTGCTTTTTTGCTGAGATGAACATGAATGCGTTAAAGGTAATCTAAAATAGAGCTATCCTCTCCATCACGGGAGCTCCATGATATGTTTCAGTCATTCTAACCCTCTGGTAAGGGAGGCTATGAATTACCCTGCAGCTGACGTTCAAAAACATTAACATCCAAGGCTATCCCTATAATAATTAATTTATTAATGGTGCGTTTCTATTATACGAGTATATCTATCTGATTGATAGATTTGCTCTTTCTTTCACTTGGAAAAAACGAGCTAAAGACCCAAGGTCTGCATGGATGTCAAATCGGTTCAGATGGCTACAGCCCCATCTATGAGGCAGTAACCTTTTCAAAGTAGATTTCTAATAAGGAGACACATAGCTGAGACAATTTCTCACAGATGAGGTTATGGTATCTTATTTCATCTCTGATAATTTTTTAGACACAGTAATATAGTATCAGGCTGGCTATCTTCAGGTAGTTACCAATGGACATATTGACACAAATGTTATACATTTGCAAAAAAGGCAATTTATGTGGTATTTTCCAAATTGAATAGATAAAAGTAAACATTTTGTGTTGCTACCTTTATTGTGGAAAAGGTTGTATCTAATTTTGACTCACTGTGTATTTGTACAAAATAAATTCAAATATTACAAAATCAAGTTTCATGTTTTCGAATAATCATTATGGCATCCATCATACATATGAGAATTTATTTACACCAGATGTACAAAACGCATGTATAATAAATAAACTAAGAAAAATCAACAATAAGAAAACGTAAAGCAGCAAACATACCCCACGAACATATACAACAGTTACTCAAGTGCAGGTAGTTTTTAAGACACTACTTGAAAGAACTTTGCGTAATTTTTCGGTAGTTACTTCCTCAAAAATCCAGCCAAGTGACATTAGATGAACACCAAAAACGTCGAGTTAAGGTTCCCCTGTACCCAGCGCGAAATTGAGAATGCATTTTCGAATCAGTTAAGAGGCGTGTTTTCAGTTCACCTTCTCCTTCCTTCTGTAAGCGAAAGAGGGTAAGGTGAAGGTACAAACTATGTATACGGCGGAGATGTTGTCGCTCCAACTGCTACCACGTCGATTTGTTTGTTTTTAAATCTGCCTTCAACATTTCAAGTGAAGATCATCACTTGTAGTTATTCCTAAGATTTCACAGTCTCGGAATTTTTTAATAACTGCTATGGAAATCCCATAATCCCAACCCTCCAAGAGGTAGCAACGCTGACACTCAAAGACGATGGTTTTTCAGGCTGTAAGTGGTTGACCAAGAGAACAGAAACAATTGGAAATAAAGTGCGCACTTAATAAATTAAGATGTCCCTTGAAAGTCCCAATGTCCATAGATGAATTTATTGGTGGCAATTGTCCCTAGAGCACACGCGGCCATGTCGTAGCATTAGGAATATATCCCTAGACCTGACATCACTGGTGATAGACTCAATAGGGAAAGTGGGATGCGAACAGCGTTGCCAGATGGGCCAGACAGAATTCCCTCAGAACAAGCACAAACATCCCACAGAATCGACCCCTAGCTGATTAGTTTTTAGGGCCTGGTGCAGGAGAATAAAACGATTTATCATTTCATATCACCAATTATCAGTGTTTATAATCCGTTTTTTATCTAATATAAATACTCTGTGATCGTGGCATTTAAAGTAGTTATGGTTTTTGTGGAATCGCAGACTCGTCAATTTACAACACGAGCAAATCGGTGGAACATCCAGTTTTTTCTCTCTAAATACATGAGACAAGAATAGCTAGATCAACTGGCCGGTTCACATCTTACTGTTTAGTTTTTTTTTGTTTTATTACTATAGAAACAGGAGGAAAGAAAAAGCCACAGAAAGATAAAATTGTTATTCAGGAGTGTACAGTTTTGTGAGGTTAAAAATACCCAGTTTCTATTTTCCCCCAGTAAATTGAATCCCTCTAAAATTCCCCAAGGGAAACATAACCCAAATTTGTGGGGAAAATTCCCCAATATGGCATCTCTGCTCGAGGCCGCCAGCTCTCTTTAGCTCAGGCGGAGGGAGAATATTCTAGACAGACGATATCGACTTGAGCACTTCATTAAAAGAAGACATGAAATATTATTCGCTTTTGCAAGGTTTACTGTACTGAGTACTCGGTTTATGCGTGGTACTCGACGGATTTTACCGAATACCTGGTTTTGCCGAGTATAAAATTACTCTGTCTGAACGCAAGACGCATAACTGCGCAGATCGAAGAGCACCGGGTGTGATGTGCAAAGCTTAGGCACATATGCCTTTTTCCACACCTTTCTGAAGCTTAAAATACCTAGACATCGCGGCTGCTATGAGGAGCTTAAAGAAACATTGTTAATCCGATTTTTGAACTGCCTAAGGTTATTAAAGCTGGGAAAAGCCTCGTCACGTAGACCACAATCTCGATACCCTAGGGACAAAGGAGCAGTCGTACTGGTCAGTTCTGGATGTTCGACACGGTTAGAATGCGAGGCCGAAGTCAGGCGGGTCCGTTTGGCAGGAACATCGCGCAGCGATAGCACGGAGGAGAGCTGTGAGGAGCCAAACTCGTTGTCCGTTAGAGAAGTCATCGACAGTAGGAGCAGTCCGGCACTAATCAGCATCAAGCATGGATAATGTAGTCGGGGCAGCAGCACCCCAAACATGTGAGCAGTATTCGAGCTAGGTCTTATTGGGAGTGACAGAAAAATACTTCTTAACCCTAAATAAATAGCTGAGCTATTCCCAGGAGCAGCCGCTATTCAAGATCAAGTCTTCGGTGATCTGGACTCCCATCAAAAAAATAGCTAAGATTACTACATATTTTTTCTAGAATCACTTGCTTGATTTGGATAATTTGTTTAGTTGATATAGACAACCTTCCCTAGTGTGTTTACCGTATTTGCGTGACTTTTGTATAAAACTGCGCTTCCGTGAAGCAGCTTTTGAAATTGTTTAAACTGAAACCTATGGTATTTTGCTTTTTCTATTCATTCTTTTATCTCTTTTATGGACACTCAAAAAATAACAAGGGCAGCAGTCGTGGCCAAGTGTTAAGGACTGTACCAAGAAATCTATGGTGTTCGAAATATGTCTAATCAAGGTTGGGAACGTATAAATATACCAACATGAAAAAATTAAGATATACCCTCCCCACCATCTACAACCCCCTCAGCTTTTTTTACATCTAAAATGTTTTTCAAAAATGATCCTCTGAAACGTCAAAAACAAAGTTTGGTCGGTTTTTATTTTTATAGTTTTTGGCCTTTTTCGTCGCCACCACTGGACATATTTTCAAAAACTACAAAGCTTTTTCGCCTTTGGCATAGTAGCAACATTGTGTTTGATCAAAATCCGAGTGGTACTTTTCAAGTTATAGGCGGTAATATGATTAGCGACTAGACAGACCGACAGAAATGAGTGACATGGTATTTCGTGTTCCAAAAAACAATATATCATTTTCGAAAATGTTCGGCCCAGTAGGCGTGGGAAGTAAAAGTAGTGCTGCTTGGTGGACCTCTAATAAAAGGTAGATCAATTTCCTGTTTGTATCTTGTAAAACAAATGAGCCATGCGAGCAGTCCAGATGCATGTTTTACATAAGAATATATGACTGTACAAGGGAGCCTTAGCCTCAACTAGTTTAAGGTGCTGGTCCATACAGTACCAACCACTCGGGCAGTCCGGTAAATTTTTGACTGATTAAATTTTTAGACAGACAAAATTCAAATCTACATTAGTGAATGGTTATGATTGCATCAAGTTTAGCATGATGAAACTATCATGAACTGGAACCTTGATGCAGCTTTATCGTATTTGTCATCGAAACGTCGTGTCCAAATCGACTCACCTTACAACGCGCCATCAAGGCCGCGATGTATAACATGTCACTAACTGAAATGCAACCAGCATAACCCAAAAATAAAAAAAAAATGGTATCGAAAATATATTATAACTGTACAAGATGGTGCCATTTCCTACTACCCCACAAATATCACTTCCACCCTTCTCTCTTCACAACCGTCTGTCTTCAATCACGCACCTTCGTGCTTTCCGTTGTATTTTCTCGTTGTTCAGTGTTAGTACGCCTGGCTAGCCGTGCTAGCCTTGCGTCTGTGTCACGCTGACGTCTCGTTCTCACCCCACCCTTCGCTGTCGCATTCCGAGTCGGAGGCGGAGTCCGAATCGCTGAATTCTACTGCAACACGTCGGGCGAGGATGCTCGCCACGTCGTGAAGACCGTTGCCACGTTCCACCTGAAATCAAAATGATCGCAATATGAAAAAATACGCAAATATCTTAAGATCAGTCAAGTATTCATTTATGCGTAGGCTTTAGTATTAAGAACTATCCAAAATAAAAAAGCATCTGGTATTGATCAAATTAATTAAATATTAATTTAGATATTTGTTCATCGTTTAAATTTGAGTATAACTGTTGGAGCAATGTAGAAATAGCATTTTTGGTATTTTTTGTTGTTTTTGAGATCCAAATTTAGAAAGTCTCTTAATCTAATTTGGACTACTCTATTATTTTTGCTATAACAAAATGATAAATGGATAGCCTTTATTTAATATTAAGATCTATCAAAAATAAAAAACCATAAGGAATTGATGAAATTTCTTTAAATGTTATAGCTAATCTTTCACTTGATGCTCTGGATACTCTCACAAATTTCTCATATACAGGCATCCAAATGATATACTAGAATATGATAGTGACATCAGTTTAATCAGTTATAGCAAAAATAATAGAAAAAATAGTTAATATCAGATTAAGAGACTTTCTAAAGATCAACAAAATTATAAGTAAACACCAATTTGGTTTAAAAAACATCGAGCTATCTTCACATTACTCAAATTTAAACGATAAACATATTTTGATGTTGCTTTTTTGTGACTTTTCCAATGCTTTTGATTTTGTAAATCATGATAAACTACTGAAAAATTTAAAAAAATATGGTTGTACTGGAACTCGATTGGTTTAAAACATATTTAAATAATCGATCCCAAATTGTAAGAGCATCAAGATATTTATTATACTTCAAATAAATTAAACATAGAAGCAAAGGTGCCTCAGGGATCAGCACTAGGTCCGATCCTATTTTTAGTTTGTATTAACGATTTAATACATTTAAACATAAATGGTAAATTCATGGTTTTTGCTGACGATACGGCCAGGCACAGATATCAAAAATTGACAGTGATATACTCGTACAATCAATCAAAAAATGGTGTGATAACAATTACTTAATTTTCAATAATACTAAGACTAAATTTATGACATTTAAATGCTGCCTTGATTTTATAAATTTAAATAATGATTTACCATCAAATTTTTAGGACTAACCATTGGTCATAAATTAAATTTCATGTGGACCAATTATTGCTTACTTAACTAGCAAAGATTTCCTTTATTATAAAAACAGTTCTTTACAACGTAGAGAAAGGCACAGGCTTAGGTAGTTGTTTTGCCTTATTGAAAAGTAGACTGAGATATATATACCATTCCTTTTTGGTATGTTTGTTCCCAAAATTGTTCAAAAAAGTACTTGTTCTACAAAAACAAACTATTAGATATATAACTAAAACAATTCATTCACTTGAGATCCATATAAGTAGTTTTGTTTAGTTTTAAGTTCGCTTTGTTATTAAGATTGATTGCATTCTTCAAACAATAAAGCATAATTATTTATCTACTAATAAATGAAGCAATGATTTACAAGTCTAAAATATTGTTTGTGGTCTCGTAGGGGAAGATTTGAACTTTAATTTAGACACTTGGCAACCTCAAAATTAATGATTTTCAACAAGGTTTGTAAACAATGAATACGCCCACTTTCAGAGTTTTCCCCACTTTAAATGGCTAAATACTCGAAAACTGCTAACTTTAAAGTAATGTTACCATGTTTTTATTCGGAATGAACAGAAAACTTGAAAAAACTCCCGGAGCGTAACAACCAATTTTTTGTAATTAGTTAAAAAAAACTCTGCAATGGATTACTGCCAGGCAACTTCACGTTTCATGTTAAGCCCTCAAACAAAAATCGGAAAAAATCTAGTTGGAAAATTATAGAAATCCAACTTACTTCTTTCTGTTCGATCTTCTCCACCTTCCTCAGCTTAATCCCATCTCTGATAGCCTTCAACAGATCGTTCCTTGGATCGATAATCGGTGGTTTGTTCATCGGTCTGTCCTTGACGGGCGTCAATTTGGGCGGGGCCGAATTTAGGATCTTGGCGAGGTCACCGTTGAGCAGCATCGAGGGTGGCGGTGACATTGTTGGTCCGTTCGGCATCATGGCGGGCATCGGTGGCGGGGGAGGCGGTGGGGGTGCAGCAGCCACCGCTGCGGGTGCAGCTGGAGTCTGCTGAAGAAAACGACCATTAGATGTTTTGTTTATTTAATCGGTTAGTTAAATAAAGTGGACCAGGGGTAGTACGTAAAAAATGGCGTCAAGCAGATCGACTCTATACTTCCTACGCCTTCGTTGGAGGTTTCAAAGAAAAGGGATCAGTCAAATCATTTCAAAAGGCGGAATCGAATCGTGATTAAGTAGGTTCACTTAAGTGCCATTCACGAATAAAGCAAATTATCAAATTTCTGTTTCCATGACAGATGTATGGGGACTATGTGTGACTCAATATGTCTGACAGGTGTTCAGAATCACTGAGATCAACAGCTTCTTAATAATAGAATATTTTTCACTGGCATCTAATATGCAACAAGTTACAAGCATTCACCGCATACAGCTTCCAACCTATGTTACAATTTTCATTCCCTTCAAACAATGTCTGAAAATTAGCAAGAATCTCTGAAACGTTGTCACACAATGTTTCAGCGATTTTATTTCCGTCGTCTATGGATCAATTTTCAAAATCGTGCTACCTTAACGATGGAAGTGTTAAACTCGCGATGATAGTCGAAATTCGAGTCACAAGTTTTCTGTTGCTTAAAGATATCTGCATCACACAAGTCCGTGTTTCTCATTTATGTCGGTTTGTCAGTCTGTTGTATATTAATGCGTGATAAGTATATAATCTACTTGACGGAATATTCATGGAACCATCATAGACGGAATAATACAAATTAGGTAAGGCGAAATAGGTGGTACATTTAACGATCATAAAATTCAATAAAATATATGTGTAGATATAAAACCGGTTTAGTCAGAATTGACAATAGCGTCGCAGAACGCTAAAATATATAAATATTTATCCAGTGGCGATGTGTTAGTGACGATACCACCGCAGACCAGTTGGAGTTTGTTACCGATTGCAAAGTCAGCAGTGGTCTCACGATGATGCAACGCTATCGATTGCTAAGTTATTTCGTATTATGAACAGATTATACAGGGTATTAATAAAGTATGTAAAAGAAATAATGATTTTGTTCTAAAAAATTATAAAAGAATCGAACGTATTTTATTTTAATTAAGTATGCCCTGTGCTGAATATCACATAATTTACAGTTGTTTTCAGACTCTCCACGTTCGTAGATACGGATAATGTTATCCAGTATTTTTTTTAAAAATAGCATGACATTGATTTGTGTTGATCGGAATACTTTTAACATTTAAGCGTTGTGCTTATCCCGTACCCGAAAACAATTCAATTAATTTATTTTCTCAAATAATTCGTTGCCACTTTGAACATTTATTGTAAAAAAACTATTCGATATTTTCTATTGTTGCCGTTCTATTCGAATGTTACTGTTCAAAACTATTGACCTTCTAAATATTTTTTTTCACAAAAATACAGGATAATACTATTTTCATCCACGTTCATATTGAGCCTCAGCAACTTGTAAAACATGAAAAATTTATCATAGGTTATACCAACTATTCAATAAATACGTTTCATTATTCATAGAAATATTTGGAACATTACTCGTATTTCTTTAGTGATAGTGCTCTAGCCCTTAGCCCCTACAGCATTGATTCCCAAAGTGGTCTATATCGACCCCTAGGGGTCAATGACAATCTGCAAGGGATCTACGTTAGCGAAAAAAAATTTGGGGGTCCATGAAATGAATATGGGGGTCCACGATAGTGGATCTCAACACATACACTGATAGTACCTATTTACTTACATCATACTATCTTATAATATCAAAACATATACATTATTTATAAAAGTACCTATGAAGTAAAAAATTTATTATATATGTTTATAAAATTGTGTAAGTTGTAGGATGTTGGTATTCGCTTTGTAGTCGCAATACATTTTGAACTTGTAAAAACCTGAGAGTCGCAGTCTCAGAGCTTCGCTACCTTGCACTGTCTTGTTCAATTCGTCACTCTATAAATACGAATGTGGGACAAATACGTCTATTCGTTTCCTATATATAATATAAACAGATAATATATCACACAAATTATAGTGAGTCAGTGTTATTTTGTTTGAGAGTGCTGGAGAAAAGTAATTACATTATTTTTTATTAAATTTTAGTTTTGTACTCGTAGTTAGCAAATATAGATAAATTACGCCAATCATGACTTTAGTTATTAGTAGTTAAATATTCAATCATGCAAAATTACACGAGTACTCCTCAATAGTTTCTTTTTGAAAGTTTTAGCAATCGGTAATATAATTACAGTGCAATCTCCGTAATTCGAGATAATTGTTGCAAGATGTTCGAATTATGGAATGTTTTCGGAAAAATAAAAAAATATTTTTAATATACAGCTGCTGGATTTTCTGTCTTATTTAAATAATTTAATTTTGCCCACAGATGACTGATGCCATGTCCAAATCTAAAAAGAAATGTAAACAGTACAGTGTTGATTATTTGAAATTTGGCTTCATTCCATCATTGCCGGACAAACAATCGCCTATGTGCCTTTTATGCAACAAAGTTTTGGGAAATGACGCTATGAAACCATCTAAACTGCAAGATCACCTGCATCTGATATCATTAAAAGAATTCCCTTAAGCAACAATACTGTTGAAAGACGTAATGATGAAATGAGTTCTGATATTGAAAGCTTCTTATGTAATTATTTGCAAACGACCCATTTCTCTATACAACTGGACGAGTCAACTTTACCTGATAATGCAGCATTATTATTGGCATATGTTCGTTTTATTATGAATCAAGAAATCTACGAAGAACTGCTCTTCGCAAGAACTTTGATAACCGACACTAAAGGTGAATCAATATTTCATGTTTTGAAGGATTACTTCATTGAAAAAGCAATTCCTTTATCAAATATAATATCAGTAGCTACAGATGGAGCACCTGCCATGGTTGGACGTTATCGTGGATTTATAAGCTATTTAAAACAAAATGTGTCAGGGGTGTTAGCAATACATTGCGTCATCCATCGACAACATTTAGTTGCTAAAAATTTGAGTGTTAGATTGCATGAATCACTTCATTTAGTCATTGATGTAGTAAACCGAATCCGAAGCAACGCGTTGAATACACGGTTATTTGCGCAGTTGTGTGAAGAAAATGACGAACACTTTCATCAATTACTCCTTCACACTGAAGTACGCTGGCTGTCAAAAGGCTTATGTTTGACAAGATTTTTTGCACTTTTTGAGACTATTTTAGAATTTCTGGATACTAAAGATAAAATTTTAAAAGAAAATTTAATGAAGAGGAAAATAGACATCGCCTATTTAACAGATTTGTTTACAAAATTTAATATGGTTATTTTGCAATAATTACAAGGCGACAGTTTAAATTTGATTAAAACAAAGTCCATCTTATCAGCGTTTCTTGCCAGAGTTAAACTAATGAAGCAAAATATTGGACGGGGCGAATTTTCTCAGTTCCCCAATTTGTCACAGACAAGCTGCCAGGAAGACGACGTTTCAACTTACGTTCAACATTTAAATGCCCTCTATTCAGATTTTGAATCTAGGTTTGAGGATATTTTGACTATGGTAATACCACCGCGGATAATTAATCCATATGGTGACATAGAAGAAACGAATGTCATAATATAAGAGGAACTGACTGAACTAAGTACAAACGAAGAACCTAAGTTTCAGTTTAAAAACGGATATCAGCAATTCTGGCTGCAAAACAACATACCCGTTACTTATCCCGTATTATGGAATATAGCGAGGACATTTTTAATTTCCCTTCCATCGTCATACCTAGTGGAAAGGGGGTTCAGCGCTATTACCAATCTCCTAACGAAAAAAAGAAACAGACTGGATATCATTTGCCGAGGAAATTTAAGATTAACCCTTACAAAATTGACGTCAAATGTTGATAATTTATTATTAAAGCATCAGGTTCATCCTTCTCACTAAAAATATTGACTTATTGCTTATGTTATTTTATTTATAGTTTATTTTATGTTTATTAATGTCTGACCAATAAATGCCCGCATTGGGAATAAGTGCCCGCATTGATTTTTTAAAGAACCCCCTTTATAGAAGATATTTTTTTTAAATTATTCTGAAAATTCAAGGATAGGTACACACTAAAATTCGTTAATTTTTTGCCTATTTTTAGATAACTTAAACGTATAAGAAGCGGAATTCAATCAAACTAACAGTGAAATTATTGTAGAACATACGTTTATGTTATAATTAATAAACGAACTCGCTTATTGTATATATTTATATTTTAAGTAAAAAACTTTTTTTTAATTATTTTTCACTTTTTTTTTATTTTATCCCTCTTATTTTTTTTAATGCGGGCACTTATTCGCAATGCGGGCACTTATTGGTCAGACACCTGTTTATTTAATGTTACGTATATTTTACATAACAGATACGAAATTTTATTTTGAGTAGTTTTAATTTAAATTCAATTAATAAATGTATAAATTAACATGTGTTTTTACTTTAAGTTTTTAACACTAAACTTCACTACAGTTAGAAATATACAGGAAATCAATATCAGGTAAGTAGGGGGTCTACCCTACACGGAAAAACATGGCAAGGGGTCTACGACACAAAAAAGTTTGGGGAACTCTGCCCTACAGCATTTATTCGAAGGGATAAGACCAAGTTCAGGAAGATACCTTCTTTTGATATTTGAGGTTTTATAATATCAATCCATGTTATCATTACAATATCATATCATTAAAACAGGAAATAAGGACTTTTCACCTATGCCTAGTTGATGAAAGCTCAAGGGATGCTTGAGTGATATTATTGAACGTAGGACTATCTGATAATTTTAAGGCCTACTTAGGAAATTCTGTTTCTTTTAAATAACTAAGGTTTTGCAATGTCAGTGTAGGACATTTACATTTTTGAAATCAGAATTAAAAACTCTATTCATCTGCGCAAAAGTGTAATATCGCGTCGCTAAGAAAAAATAAAGTTGATGGAGGAAGAGAGACGAAACGTCATATTTGAATTCTAATTATGCCAATTTATAGAGAAGAAAAAGTGGCAATGTCAATGTACTTTGAATTTTGAAGTCCCATCTCAAATAAAGTTAGGAAAAAAATAAGGACGATCTAGGGGAAAATTCGGTATTTTTCATCTCTCTCCGCAAATACTCTGAATTGCGAAACTTTCTAAGCGATCTAAGATTCCAATGGTAAGAGTCGAATTTGAAACACCCGGTATGTAAACCATATACGGAAGCCTTGCGCCCGAGGAGAATACAATGTGCGCGATAATAAACATACCATCTGTTTTGGTGGTGACGCCTGTTTCGTCGCAGTTATGACAGCTGTCGGTACAGGAGGTGGAGGTGGTAAATCTTGAGGTCCTACGGCAGGTTCAGGCGTAGCCACGTGAGAGTGTGGACTGTTCGAACGAGACTGGCTGGACTGTCGGATAATGTGTGCTGGAATACCTAAAAAAAGAAAAGTTCATATATGAATACGAATACACAAAAATGCGATGATCAAAGCTATACAACTTTTTGCCTAGAAATCTGATGATGCCCTTGCGTTCACAAACGAACTAGTTCAAACGAACGATTCTTATGAAATAAGTGAAGTAGTTCACTCTTCGAAAAACTCGTTCACCATGGGCGACTGGTAATACAGGATCTCGATGTTCCATTGTTCCAAGCGAACTAGTTGTGAGTGGACGAACGAAAATGAGAAAGTAGCCGGGAAACCACCATAGACAACCAAGTAAGCAGAAGCTTGTATTTTTTTATATATCGAAGCAGGCGCGCAGGCAGAAGCCTAAATGCCGGAACACCGCGGCTGCTATGAAGATCCCAAAGAAATTTTGTTAATACTATTTTTGACCTGCCTAAGGTTAGTAGAACTGGGAAAAGCTTCCTCTTGTAGATTATTCCACAGTCTCGACACCCTCGGGACAAAGAAGCGGTCATATAGAGCTTGTATAACTGCTTGCCTGAATATATCAAATAGGATAACGATGCTGTTAAATGCAAAGAAATAAAATGTTGCTGACTTGCCTACAACGTATCACCACTGACGCTAATGTAATTAAAACAATACTAATATGAAAATGTACGTAAACTACAGCCATTTAAAAACATTTTTTACTTTATCGGCTTCTGGTCAATTTCTTGTTTTTCGTATGCAATACTAAAAAAAGAGGAGCGTTCTCTCGAACTCCTAATCAAACGTACCAGGTCTGTAATTAAGTAATGCGACTGACGACGTAGCGTTCGATTTGGCAACAGTGGAGGAGCCGGGCTTGAGGGGGAGACAGGGGAATATGTGACCCGCATTCAGTACAAGTTTGAACTCGCTCGAGTCATTTGGTTGTCCGTAGCGGTTTTTTTATGAAACAGTTTTTCCCATTGTGTTCTAAAATTGAGTGACATCAATTTCGAACGGGTTTTGCACAGTGCAACGTGAACTCTTGCTAAACTTCAGCAGGCCTACGGAGATAGTGTTTGGTCAAGAGCCCAGGTTTTTCGGTGGTTTAAGACATTTTCGGAAGCGAGAGCGTCGATTGAAGATGAACCACGAAGCGGAAGGCCTTCATGTTCAAGAACCTATGAAAATATCGACAGAATCCGGGATCTTGTAAATTCTGATTGACGGTTGACAAACAATGTTTGGGAAAGAGTTAAATTTGACTCTCACCGCACCGTTCATCAGATCAAGTACAACCGGGTGTTGCACTACTGATAATGCTCCTTGTCACACAGAAATGTCACTCAACGAATTTTCGGTCAGTAAAAACATCCCTGTGGCTCCTCAGCCTCCTTAATATTGCCTGACTTGGGTCATTGTGATTTTTCAACGTTATAAAATCTTCCATATAGCATTAAAAATACCCTCTATAAAATTGTATAACAGACTCAGATTTATGTGAGGAGCCGGCAATGATTGGGAAAGAGTTAAATTTGACTCTCACCACCGTTCATCAGATCAAAATAAAATTTTATTTTATAAGTTCAAAAATCACGTCAATTGAACTCATTTCGAAACAGTTGAAAACATTCAAACCGCTGTTACCGACCAGCTGAAGTCTATTCCAGTATCGGAGTTCCAGCACTGCTATGAAAGTGCAGCTCCAGCGCTGGGTGGCTTCAGAAGGAAGTTATTTTGAGGGTGACAATATAAAATTGTAATTATATTTGAACAAAAAAATTAAGTGTCATCACTTAATTTACAGGCCTCGTAGTTTAGGTTAGATTTTTCGGGAGTGGGTCAATCACGATCTTCACTAATCTATTATGGCTAAATCAAAGGTATGTATTATTCATTAAAAATCTGTTACTGGTAAAAACAAAAGTGTATCCCATCACATTATGTGAGAATGTTAGGAAAGGTGTATGTCCCATAGCTACATCTACTATATCACATGTTTTGACATTTTTTCCGAAAGTCGTTTTTATCCAGTTTCGGGTAATCTTTCAGCAATAATAAAATAAGAACAGCAATCTCACCGTTTGGAGGAGACATGGTGGCTTCAGGAGGTGGCGGTGGTGGTGGTAGGTTGTCCCTTCCTGCAGACATGCTCCTGCCCCTTGTGGGCGTGTTCGCTGATGGCGTGCTTTGGTTGCTAGGTGGCGCTGGTGGCGGTTGACTCGGTCGGATCTTACCGCCACGTGTCGGTGTCCCACCTGTTCACACATTTTCAACATCTTAATAAAATTACGAGTACTATGGAGCATGAAAAAAGATACTTCTTGAATTTGTTTTTAAATAAAAGCATTAATTTTGAAAAAATAACAAATTTGTCTATGTTATCAGATCTTAGAAGTATAGCACCTATATTTTCTACAGATAACGATTCTTCAACAAGACTGTTGATTAATCTTATGGCACAATTGCAGCTCAATTCAGAACAATAAGAAATATCCAGGATGCGGGAATCTTACTCGGTGGCGTAGTACTAATAAGATCAACATCAATTTCAATAAATTGTACCAGATAAGCTTCAGCCATAGTATGAATATAAAGTTGAAAACCGTAACGTCACGAGAAGTGGTACAGTTAGGGATTCAGGTTTAATTTTTGATACAAAGTTAATTTTGAAATTACTTCTAAATCATAAAATATTGGAATATATTTTTAGATCGGTTTATTGATATTTATTCATTCAAAAGGGTTGTCCAATAGGGACGCAGGAAAGTAAACGTCAATTTGACATAGACGCCATCTTTGTTTTCTGTCACCGACATGTCATTTTGTTAGTTAAATGTTTACCATTGATCGCTATGGAGTCGTATTCGATTGAAGACCGCATTAAAGTTATTCAAGAGCACTACAAACATGGTGCAAAAATAAAAAACACGTTTCGCGCGCTTCGTGAACATTTCGGTCGCAACAACCGCCCAAACGAAACAACCATCGGTCGTCTGGTGCGTAAATTCGAGGCAACAGGTTCTGTGGCAAATCTGCCAGGCTCTGGCCGGCCAAGGAGCGTTCGCACACCGGAAAATATTGCTGTTGTGAAGGAGAGTGTGAGAGACGATCCGAACCAATCAACAACGCGTCGATCCCAAGAATTGGGCATTTCGAGAACCAGTTTGCTCCGCATTCTCCACAAGGATTTGAATGTACAAGCCTACAAGATCCAATTGACGCAAGAGCTGCGTCGGGCCGACCATTGATGCCAATTTTTCATCAAAAATCATGTTCAGCGACGAAGCGCATTTCACATTGAATGGGACGGTAAACAAGCAAAACTGCCGCATCTGGGCGAACGAAAATCCCCGTGAGTATCAAGAGCAGCCGATGCACCCTCAAAAAGTGACTGTGTGGTGTGCTTTGTGGTCAAAAGGCATCATCGGACCTTACTTTTTCGAAAATGCGGCCGGGGACGCCGTTACCGTCAATTCTGAGCGATATCACGTGATGATAGAGGACTATTTTTTGCCGCAACTTGAAGGAATGGATATGGACGATGTTTATTTCCAACAAGACGGTGCAACATGCCACACAACCAACGTCAATATCCATCGATTGCAGTCCTTCTTCGGTGATCGCGTGATTTCGCGCAGAGGAAATGTGCCATGGCCACCAAGATCGTGCGATTTGACTCCCTTGGACTTCTTTTTATGGGGATATTTGAAAAGCAAAGTCTACGTCAACAAACCAGCCACCTTCCAAGAACTCAAAAACAACATCATTGCCGAGATAAATGCCATAGAACCGACCATGTTGCAAAATGTCATTGAAAATTTCGACCATCGCGTGGACGTCTGTAAATCCAGTCGTGGTGAATATTTGAGCGATATTATTTTTCATTCATAAATGGTATAAATGAACCTTCAAAATAAAGTATCATCAATCTTTCTTGTTTTAATATGCGTTTACTTCCCTGCGTCCGTTTTGGACAACCCCATATATTGCTGTTATGGAGTAAATAAATATCTACTACAGAATGAGATTTTGGAGATAAGCAACTCGTAGGCTTGCTCCTTCTACCTAGTCCGCAGGTAACGAGAGACCGTTTATATCCCCTGTGCCTTTGTAAAAAAACAACAATTTATAGAAAAACCCTCACCTGCCCCCGCGTACAATGACTCGTTACTAGTCGGCCCCTGCTGGTACAACCCCTGCTGATACGCCGCTGCCGCATCCTCGTAACCACTTGGCTGCTGATAAGTTGGGACTCCTGCGGGACCGCCCGTCGGCGACGGCGGCATCCCGTCCGGCATCTCGGTCGTCGGTCCGTAGGACCGCCTGATCTCGATCGAATTGGGACGCGCCGGCCGCATCTGCTGCTGCTGTTGCATCGGGGATTGGTCCAACGAGAGGGAGCTGTCGTCGAATTGGAGTTGTTGCGGTTGCATCGGTGGTACGCCGGGAGCGCCGCCAGGTTGCTGGATTTGCTGGGGCGTTCTGAAAAAAAAATTAAGTCGAAATAAGAGTGAGATTTTCTCTAAAAGGGTGCTTAATGAATGTTCTCATACGAGGTCTGTAAATTAAGTGATGAGTCGGGCACCGTAGCGTTCGACTTGGCAACCCTGGAGACGCCGGGCTTGGAGAAATCAGATGAATATTTTGCGTCCTGATATAAATCAAAGTGTCATCAGCGAAAATTTGAATTTTGCATTTTTTGACTACAGCAGGTAAATTGCTTGTGTAGAAAATAAAAAGAAGTGGTCCCAGGATACTGCCCTGTGGAACACCAAACGTATTCTCAATTTTTGATGAAATAATGTTATCAACTTTTGTAACTTGCATCCTCTTAGATAAATAATTTTTTAACCAGTCTTAACCAAAAAAAGTCGCCAAAATTGTGCAGAACTGGAAATAACTCTGCAACTTGGATTCAATCCCAACTAGCAAAGTAGTGGTATAAGCTTTTGGTAAAAGAACCGTTCAGCCATAAAAGCTCTCTATTGTTGTTGCCTGAACACCAAAATGCTGGCTTAATGTTGTGTGGAATGCAAATTTGCTTTCTGCAACATATTTGCTCTAAAATGAGGTGTTTAAAATATTCTTGTAGCATAGTTATACAACACCTTATAGGGCAAATTTTTAACTGTTGCATAAACGTTTATACAACTATTTTATACGGCATATTTGCAAAATGGTCAAAATGGTTGTGTTGTGGCACCCATGCTAACGTTTATAAAACAAACCCGAGCCTTGTTGCTTTGCTGTGCAATTTACTACATTAGCCAACAAATTGCTCCCAACGGAAGCACTTATACAACTGTTACATATGCTAAATATGTTGGTAAACAACTTCAGCATAACCTAACTTTCTGCTGTCATATTTTTGTTAAAATGCCATAACCAATGTTTTAAGACAAACAACGCATGTATATCGGTTCAAAAGGTTTTATCAACTGTTCAAACAGAAGATATAGATCTGGTACAAATTCTGGGTAAATCATTCGACTCTGTCGGTATTTCATTTCAGACATTTGTTAAATTGTTGTATAACACCTGCATGCAACACCAAAATATTCTAATAACCTAAAGACAACATGGACGATGCCATGATTGTACACAACCACCCGAAACATTGGGCAAACATTTATTCCTCTATTTAATATTAAATAATTGTTTCAGTTCGAAATTACAGATATAAAGTGATAAACATTAGTGCAATTGTGTCTAAATATAGGATTTGTGGAATATTTAACGCAGATAAGTTCAGTTTTCCATCTTAAAAATCTAGACATACTTTTGATCATTGTCAAAATATGAATCAAATACGAAGCCTGTAGAAATTGAGTAACTAATTTGCACGATAATCACAATAAAATTTGCTGCGCAACTAATTCAATAGCCCTATATCAAAGTGTAGAAGTTTATCATATACCTGTGTATGAAATTCACAATGGCCGATATTATGTAAGTAAACAAGATGACTGTAATGTGTTAGGTATATATTCTTCACTTCGTCTATACAATATATAGGAAATAGTTTGGTTGCAATAAAGTAGAATCACGTAAGAGAATAGATGTATAGTTGACAAAAACTGAATCTTGCACTGACGCAAATGTCCTATAGCGGCTGCAAGAGGCTTACACTTTTGTTTTATAACTGTTACCTGCAGCCCTTATACAACCTCTTAAATGACTGAAGTGTCCTATTAGGTGTGCCCATTCCGCTTGTATAGCTGTTCTAAGAGGGTTTTGCTAATGTTCTTACAGTATACAATGCTGTTTATGGAATACTGTATAATCATTCTTGCAACTCTAATAGGAGTGATAATTGTTAGTTGGGATATAACGTCGAAAAGGTTGGACTTACCTATATATACCACCAGCACTAGGTGGCATGATAACCTCTCCATGTTCCCTGGCAAGTTGTCTTTGTCTTTCTCGCGTGTTGTGAGGTTGACGTACCCGCTTTTTATGTCTTCCACCTCCACTGCTTTGGCCTCCTTCCGTCCTTGGTCTATGTGGTTTCCTACCCCTGAAAAAACAACAATCATTATTACCGATTTTATGACAAAAGCAACACATACAGAAATACAGGATGCGGCAGCATAATTTCCTTTGTTAAAATGCTCGCCAGTCGGTTGATGTGGTAGCGGAGCGCTAGTGGTCTCGTCAGAGAGGCGGGACTATAAAGTTTTGTCTCGACACAGTTCAGTGGACATCATGCGTTGGAAAAGTGAGGCGTGTGCTTTTGCAGATGAGGCCTACTTTTCGAGCGGATTTTCTGAGAGCATCCCAGCGCGCCTTTCGGAATCGCCTCACCTTAGCCCCGTCGCGGACCAGAAATCAATTGTTACATGCGTCACTGAGTGCAAGTGCGACAAGACGAAGAACTGGAGTCCTTCGGCCCATTAGGTCACCTGAAAACTTGAGGCAGTGAGAGCTTCAATTTTGCGATTACCACGGCGTTCTACGCGCAAACATACGTCTGCCGTTGGAGTTTTGGACCGTTCTGTGAGGAGAATTCTTCATGATGTTCTTCATTTCCATCCATACAAGATGGGAATTGTGCAGGAACTCTCTGAACTTGACTTCAATTCTCGGATGAACGCGTGTGAGCGTCTTCTCGAAGGTGTTCCTGAGGATGCTACCGATTTTTTTTTAGTAATGAAACCCATTTTCATTTGTGTGGATCCGTCAACAAACACAAAACATGCGCTACTGGGCTGACACCAATCCCCGAGAATTGGATCAAAGGCCTTTGCATTCACCTAAAGTCACAGAGTGGTGTGCAATTTCCTCAGCTGGAATTATTGGTCCCTGGTTCTTTGAGGAAAATGAAGTCGCAGTGACAGTGAACTCGGACAGACACGTAAACATGTTACAGGATTTTTTTCATAGCTACATAAGTTGAATTTTGGTTCCAACAGCACACACTTCAAGAGCATCGTTGGCTGTTTTGATGGAGCACTTCCCAGAGCGCCTCATCTCAATTAGAGGCGGTTTGGTGTGGTGATTTTTCTCTATGGGTTTTTTTGAAATCCCATGTTTATGTGAACCGTATAAGGAACCTACACTATTTGAAGACCAACATCCAGGAAAAAGCTGCCAACACAACGCATGCTATGTTAGCAAGGGTCATGACAAACGCCAGAAATCGGTTTACTCACTGTATGAAGAATGGGGGAGACAACACTTATCTAAGGTGATCTTTCGTCAAAGTACAGTACTGCGTTTTGGAAGCATTAAACTGTACAAGATTGTTGCGTCCCCAAGCAGTGAAAGCCTCCAGGTCTCTTGTCAGAGAGGAAGTCGTCGTTAGGCTTCTTTTTTCCAGCTCAGCGGCAGAGATCGGCTTGTCACTCTGAATTCCTGCGTGTAGAGTGCTGTCGTCAGCGAAGCTGTGCATTTTGTTGATCGTGCAGGAAAGGAGGTCGTTGATATGTAAGAGAAACAGTGTCGGAGCCAAGACCGATCCCTGGGGAACACCCGCGTGGACGTTGTGGGATGAAGAGGAGAACCCGTCAATTACAACGGATATCTTGCGGCCAGAGATAAAGTCAGCCACCCATCTGCAAAGCTCTTCTGGGAGACCATATGATGGAAGTTTGCTTAAGAGGGTAGCGTGCCACAGCTGATCGAACGCTTTCGTGATGTCAAGAGCAACGACATGAGCCTCACCATAAGACTGGATGAGTTTACTCCACAATTGCGTGACGTAAGCTAGGAGGTCCCCTGTGGATCGGGAACCATACTGCCTGTCGCTAACCAAGCTGTGACGTTCGAGGTAGTCCAGAAGATCGCGATTTATGCACCTCTCCATCACCTTACTTATAACAGAAAGCAGAGCTATAGGCCTGTAGTTGCAGAAAATAGGATAGGTAACCTGAGAGATACGTATTTCTGCTGGTTGGCTTCATCATTTTGCGGATTTTGCTCATTATTTTACTACTTTATATACCTTTCTCCGCACGAGAGAACCCCCCCCCCCCCCCATGAGCAACTTTGACAGAAGAAGAAAAAAAAGCTAATTTCGTGGGGTAGAGAGAAGGGGGACAGCTGCTCCCAAAACGTTCACAAACTACAGTACGTACAGCGAGAGCCAGAATAGTGAATGTTTTCAATAAAAAGTGAGTGAGAGTGAGATGGATCGAAAAAAGTGAGTCGCCAGCATCACTGCGCTATAATAACTAAATTTTTTCAACAACCTGAATTAGATATTTTATATTGCGTCCGTCTGCCTTTTGTAAACGAGCTCATAGGACTCTTTCTCACGATGCGGCGCACGCCTGAATGCGTGTTGTTTTCACACTAGGTCGGTTTTGTCCGGCGCGCATCGCTCCCGTATTTTAACTGTTCAGTTGAGGCTAGCTATTGAAATGAACACAGCGCGAAAGAAGAAAATGCTAGCCATGTATTTGCTATGGAGACGGTGAATAAGAAGAAATAGGCGGCTTTGGATTCACCCATTGCTTCAAAATCTACATACTTTTGGGTCCTTCAAAGTTTTATTCAATTCATTGGAACAGTGAGGATCTACAAAACACAACATTTGAACAAAAACAATACCGTAGTACACGTACGGCTTTACTCTCCAGTGGCAGATCCAAGTCTAGAGGCGCGCGCCGGACTGTGAAATGGGCGTTACAGTGTCAATATTTTACATTATTTCACAAACTTTTTATCTAGATTCTCAACTTACCTATCATGCATCATTCTTTCAGTGTCATCGATCATTTCTTGACGCCATAATTCGAAGAAATAGTTGGGATCCGTGTAGAACTTGAGACCGTCTTTTCCGTCGTCTCGATAACGATTCAGTTTGTCCAATGGTGGAGGTTTATCGCAAGATGTGTACGTTTCCTGAAGAGCTGTCGGCATTGTAGACTTCGAGAAAATCTAGAAAAAAATATCAGTTTCATAACCAGTTTCAACTGAGGCCCAATACATTTTTTTAAGCGAAATTTGGTCAAATATGTCGGGTTGTAATGTAAACCCAACCAACCTCGATCGACAGTATCGTAACAATAGGAATAGTCAAAAGATCACGATATTTTTGCTCAAAATATTTATCAGCAAAAGAATGCTTTGTTCAAGTTTCGTTCCGCAAATATCGATTTTGATGTACGGTGTATAGGCCATAATTATTTTATAAACTTATAGAAGTTTTTCCATCTACTTTTTTTTAGCTATACTATATTTGTTATTAGAACGTATTTTCAGTCATATTCTTGAGGTTTCTTCTAAACTGATTCTCGAAAATTTTGTAGGCCAAGTACTTATCGGACCGCCCTCGAATGATCTGGCCGAAGAGTCGTACTGCTGCGTAAATCGGATAAACAGATTCCAAATCCGATCACAAACTCGACCTCATAGCACTTTTTTTGACGTTCGTACTTGTACAAATATTTAGCTCCATAAATTACTTAAGTCTAACCAAGGCTCATCGGTTTGCAACAAAATATTTTTTTTGTGGTATCGTTAGATTACACTGATCAACAGCCAAAAAATATCCTAAATAAAATCAACAAAATATTACTATTTTTAATGTGCTAAAACCGGAATGAAACTTATTTTTTCAATATTAGCTCAAGTTTTAGAGATACGGTAATTATATGTGTTCCTGCTGTGACAGTGTTAATATACTGTAATTCACAAGAATGCACGTGCTACATTTTTATATTCGGCAAGGAAAGATGATGTAATCGGCATGATTGTGTTCCGTTATACATACGTGTACATTATATTGTTTTATATTAGCCATTTTTTCCTCAGTTGGCTGACAGCGTTCATGCAAGATGTCTCGAAAGTGTGTAAACAATCCAGATCAGTTTTGTTACGTGTGTGGTGATGTGACTATTGCGTCTCAGAGACGGTCTATTACTCCACTAATAACAAAGGCATATCAGCTTTATTTCGGTTGTAAACTAGGTGATCAAGACAAACAGTGGGCACCCCACATCTGCTGTAATACATGTGCTTCAAGTCTGAGGAGCTGGTTAAATGGCAAAAAACGGTCTATGCGCTTTGCTGTCCCAATGGTTTGGAGAGAGCCTACAAATCATATTAATGATTGTTACTTTTGCATGGTACCTTGTGTTGGACAAGCCACAGGTATGTCTAAGAAAAAAAAATCGGTTATTAACTACCCAAACATACCATCTGCGATGAGACCTGTGCCTCACAGTGACGAAAATCCTATTCCAAAACCCCCAGAATCCTACACTTGCGAATCAGAAAACGAATCAGATCATGGCGATCGAGTGATTCGTCAGGAAGAAGATATGCCATCAACGTCAAGAGATCCTGATTTTATACCGAGCACGTCATGCCACCAACCGCACAAAATAACACAGTCAGAATTAAATGATCTTGTAAGAGATTTAGAACTTCCAAAATCTAAGGCAGAGTTACTTGGATCAAGACTGCAGCAGTGGAACTTGTTAGAAGATGATGTTTCGGTATGTGTTTTTCGTAAACGCCACAAAGACTTAGAACCATTTTTCAATATGGAGAATAACTTGGTTTTCTACAGTAACATTAACGGCTTACTGGCGGCTTTAAATATATATATAACCCAGATGAATGGAGATTGTTTATAGACAGTTCAACATTGAGTTTAAAGGCAGTGTTATTGCATATTGGAAATATTTTACCATCTCTTCCTGTAGGGTATGCAGTTCACATGAAAGAATCATATGACAATATGAAGTACCTATTGACATGCATAAAATACGATGAGCACCAATGGCATATTTGTGGCGATTTGAAAGTTGTTGCAGCTAGGCTACACAAAGTTTTGCTGTTTTTTGTGTGAATGGGACAGTCGGGCAAAGGCACTTCATTACACCAGACAAAACTGGCCTGTTCGTCAATTCCTAGAGCCAGGTCAAAAAAATGTACATCATATGCCAATAGTAGATTCGAAAAAAAATTTATTACCACCACTGTATATCAAGTTGGGCCTAATGAAAAACTTTGTCAAGGCGTTAGATAGAGATGGGTCAGCTTTTCAATACCTGCGTCAGAAATTTCCAAGACTAAGTGAGGCAAAGGTTAAAGAAGGTATTTTTGTTGGGCCACAGATTCGAAATATTTTGAAAGATACACAGTTTGAAAACACTTTAACCGGTATTGAAAAAACTGCTTGGAATGATTTCCGTCTGGTGGTCACTAATTTCTTGGGAAATAGAAAAGCTGACAACTATAAAACCGTTGTCAAAAATATGCTGTCATCGTATCAAAAGATGGGCTGTAATATGTCTCTTAAGATACATTTCCTACACTCACACCTGGACTTTTTTCCTGACAATTGCGGAGCCGTAAGTGATGAGCACGGCGAACGTTTTCCTCAGGATATTTCAACAATGGAAAAAAGGTACCAGGGAAAGTGGAATCCTTCCATGCTTGCAGACTACTGTTGGACTCTTGGTAGAGATGCTCCAGAAACGATCCATAAAAGAACAGCAAAAAGACAGCGCATATAGTGATTCTTATAAGTATATGAATCTTTTTACTTTTTTTAATATATCATTAAAAATAAAAAGTTTTTTTTCTAAACCGCAACTAATTTTTTTATTTCATTGTCATTTTTGGATTCAGCGCCCCAAAATTAACAAAGAAGCGCACTTTTCCCACAAGATACAATTAAAAAACTAAAATTTGTTGTCCAGTGAAACGAAAGCATCATTACATGTACCTACATTTCTCGCAGCTTGTTGACTATATAGCTAATTTTCATACAAGCAAAACGATAAAGAATTCAATTCCCTACAAAATCGGTTATATTACTTTTTGCATAGTATCGATGTTTTCCGAGATTGTCGATCAATAGGTCAAACGATACCACAAAAAAACTGTCGAAAAAAATTAACATACAAAGAGAAAATGTAAATTTCTTCATACAAAATCCTACAATTATTTCAGGATTTCATATGAGGAAATTTAAATAAAAAACAGGGAAAAATGCATTTTGATTAAATTCCTGTTCAGACAAAAGTGTTTAAACTACCCTCCACGATGCCAAATACAAAAAACCGTCTATATACGAAGAAGGCACATCGTACCGTATTTCATACCTATCCATCAATTTTATTCGTTGTCAACACGCTCTGAAGGTCAGCACGACTCACAAAAGAATGCAAAGATATTCCTTTAAAAAGAAAATCAATACCACACATACCCTGCGAAGATAAAAATACCCTTTTTACATCCAAAGATAGGAACGTGGGACGAGCGACTGAAAAACTTCAGCGTAATTGAAATGAATGAAGACAAACCTGGGTATAAAGAGCAAACTGACAATGCAACTCAATTCTTTGGAATTTCTTTCACTTTTAATATTCGACTTTACCACTGCATTTTATTTTTGTTCCGGCACAGTTTCTGCTGCAATGACGGAAAACTGTATGCTTAAGATCTGAGGTTACAGTTGATATAACCGCCCACAAAAACATTTCATATCTAATTTTTTTTCAAAAATGATCAGTATCCTCTGTAACGTCAAAAACGAATTTTTACTTTTTTCCTTATAGGTATGTTTTTCTGCCGATGGTAAATTACTACAAAATTTTGCGTCGTTGACTTAGTAGCAGCATTGTGTAAAAATTTCATCAAAATCCGAGCGGTACTTCTCAATTTATACGCGGTTACAAGATTAGCGACAGACCGACGGAAATGACATGGTTTTTCGTGATGTACGAGCCCCTTTCCACTTCAGTTGGCCCAACTATTGAAATCCTAGTTTTTTTCTTATCAAACACAAATAATAAAAATGTAGCAGGGTGTCATAGGTTTGAAATATTAACAATGAATATTTTGATAATATATAGTAGAAAACTCCAACTTTATCACTCCCCAATCAAATTTGCAGCATAAAAATAACACATGTTGCAATTACAGCATATCAACCTATTTTCATTTCAATGCAAAATAAGTCTATAACGCATAGGTGGCTGTGGAAAATAAAAGCCATGACAGTTGTTTTTATTAATCATATCTGTCACAATACGTTTAAAATAGTTTTGGGTAGTTAAGGTTTTCAAAATGGATGGAGGAAAGATTATTAGTGAGAAAATTCGGTTACTGATAATTAAATTTTTTAATTCTGAGAAATCAAACTCAGAAATTGCAACTTTGTTAGACTTATCGCGGTACAGTGTGAAAAATATTGTTAGAAGATATAACGTAACTGGTTCAGTTAATATTAAGCCACGATATGTGAAAAAAAGTAATATCACAAATGCCAACCGAAGAGCATTAAGAAGAATAATCGTGAAAAACAGGCGTGCCAATTATTTACAATTAAGTGCTCTGTGGAGTGATGCTGTTGGAATGAGAATCTCGAGGTCCACAACTCATAGAGAGGCCCACAAACTGGGATTTAGCACTTGCAAGGTAAGTTTTCTTATAAAAAAAAAGTGAAGTAAAAACCCTAAAGTTGCACAACTTGTTTATAGGCCAAGGAAAAGCCACTATTAACTCCACTGCAAAAGTAAAATCGGCTTAGATGGGCTAAATAACATAGACAATGGACACCTCAACAATTGTGTGCAATACAATGGAGTGATGAGGCCCGATTCGAAGTTTGTGGGGGTGACAGTCGCAATAGAGTTATTCGCAAAAAAAATGAAGCATTCCATGTTGACTGTCTGAAGAGAAAAATGAAATGTCCAGCATCCATTATGGTCTGGAGCAGTATGTCATCAAAAGGAGTAGGAAAACTTCATTTTATTGATGGAAATGTGGATACAAACAAATATTTGGCAATTTTAGAAGAATCGCTTTTACCAGTGATGGAAGAATGTTTGACATCCGGCCAAGATTTTGTGTTTCAGCAAGATGGTGCAGCGTGCCATGCCTCAAAAAAGGCTATAAAATGGATGGAAGAAAATAATGTA